CCATTCCAGCGTCATCGCTGTACTTAACACTCACCAGCGCAGCCCTTACAGCCCTCACATCCATCTCCCCTAACTTCTAAACGCACCAGAATGATAGTTCACCATCCTCGTTGTCTCACGGATATACAACTTCCTAAGCATCCGATTTCCATTTAGTAACAAACACCTCAGCAAACTCAAGGAGTTCTCAACCCCAGTTTAACAATGTTGGCTCCCAAGACATAGCCAAAGCCACCCGGAAGATCTAATTAAAAACAATATCCGGTAGTTGGTGGCATCCGAATAGGTTGTTGGTCCCGAGTCGCTGGGTAGAACTTAGCCTTGGATTTGTGCCGGCCTGCGTTTCTCGCTTAAAATGTTGGTTTGTTTGGACTCAGGGCGTTGATTTTGGACGTGGACCTCTTGCGAGTGGGGATAATCGCTGTTTCCCGTCTTAAAGCGAGTTTGATATTTCTTTCTCAACTTATTATTTTCTGTAAATGGTCGAGCTGATGGGGATTGATGTTGGAGCGATTTCACGCTTATAAGTTCGAACTTGCGATTTCGCTGTTAAGACACAGCTGCATGTAGTGAGTGCATTGGCAAGACATGTTCGTTGTGCGTCAGTCAGCTTTGGTCTTTAGGCTTCAATGAAAACAAGACGGCAGATCGAAATGTTTGTTTTTGAGACATCATAATTACTTCTGCCAATGTCGTTTTTGACAACGTCAGTCCTGTCAGAACGAGATGTAGTGTGAAACGGTCATCACGCGTGAAAAGTGAACTGTCTCATATTCAACGAGACTGCCGGTTTCTACTTCTCTTCTCTGGAGCAAAATCCAAAATAACAATTGCTAGCAAGCTTTCATATATTCAACCACCAGGTCCGCTTTTCAAAAGCATTGCTAAATCGAATACAGGCAGAATATTCCGTGGTTCTGTGATGCTGCAATAGCAAAAATCATCTACATATCGACTTATCTGAATGGAAGCGATGTTTTTGGTCTCAGAACCATTGATGTTCTGGATTTCCCATTGGAGACTTTGGAGTTCTTGTTGAGTCCGGGAAATGGTAAGCCAAGTGGTCTGCGCTTTCTTGAGTGAGACCAACATGGCTTTTCAATGCTTCCGGCTGAAAACTACCACGGCCTCCATGCTGTGCTTATGTTGGTCGCTGTAAGTCAACTGCCAGGGACCGCTTGCGAAGTTTTCAGTAGTCATTTCAGCATTAATCTTTTGGTATAAGAAGGAGGACGGACAGCATCCTTCAAAATTAAACCACACTCTTCACTCAACAACACTTCAGAAGATCTACACATCCACATACAACAAGACAACATTTCTTCATCAACATAAAGCAGAACCGTCAATTCGTCTCCATCCAGCAATCAGATTTAAGTTCCACCCAGCTGTTCCTTACCTCATCCTCACTTTCATTTGTCTTTTCCTTCGTCAAACTCGCTCTCTCAATATCTGAACCACACCACTCATCAAAATGTACATCATCCTAACAACAACCCTCCTAACCCTCCTAACCACCACCCTGGCCCTCCCAACCCAACCCCCCTGCACAATCCCCCACCTCTCCATCTCATTCGACGATGCCTTCCTAAACAACACCCACGCCCTCCCACTCTTCCCATCCTGTTCCGCGCTCGCGGCCCTTATACCCTCCCTCAACGCCCTACAGGACATCCCCCCAGCCCGCGCCTTCACCGTCGACTTCGGAGTCCTCCGCGACGCCAATCTACGACCGCTCCCGGACACGAACCCGACGATCAAGGCGCTTACCAAGAAGTTTGGCACGATTGAGGTTTTTAGGCTGGCGATTGCTGTGGAAGTGCAGTTTGTGGGACGGGGAGATGTGAAGTTGGAAGCGGAATTTGAGTTGACGAAGGGAGTTGCGGGGGTGGCTACTTCTGAGCCGTTTCGGGGCGATGGGGGGAATGTTGGGGTTAGAGGGTGAGGGTTTGGGTTGATGGGAGTAAAGTTGTTGTGGTGGAGGAGGAGGATGATGAGGATGATGAGTAAATGAGCTGGCTGATGTTTTAAAGCGGGGCCTGTGGGAGCTGTATAATGGGGATATGTTTTCTGCATTTGTTTGGAGTTGATGCATTTCAGTTGGGAGGAGGATTGAGAAATAATGTGCTTCGGGACTCCTTCGGAGGGAATGATTGGAGTGTAATAGTGGAGTGTAATAGTGGAGTGTAATAGTAATACAACCATAATATATTCACATCAGGAAACTCACGTTGTTCTATTCATTTAACTGCTTTAAGAGTAGAAAATTCCTATCCTATCTGAGTTTTGAGCTTGAAGATCGTTGTTTGGTTACATTTGTAGTAGGTGTATTAAAGAAGCTGGACTGGGTGAAGAGATGTGCTTTGTAACTTTCAGATCTGGAAGTGCATCCATCAACCTACTCCAACACAACATGAGTCAGATCTTTTATCAGATTCCCTGTTTGAATCAATGATAGTCCGCTTAGTAGCATTGCAATTGCTAAAAATTGCATGTTACCTTTTTATCATGCGTCTAAACTATGCCCGAATTCTTTTTTCCTTTCTTGGCTTAATAAGCGATGAGTTATAAAAATATTTTCTCTTTAGTCCAAAGTAATAGTTGTTCTTGTTGTATGTTCCCAGATATTGGGTATTCGCAGTTTTGGTCGAGAATCTAACTAACACTCGTTTCATCCGTACAGCACAAACACCCCATTTGTAATACTCTTATGCTAGGTTGATACGTTAATACGTTAATGCGTAAGCCTAAAGTGCGTGCCATTTTATCTCCTGTACAGAACATTTTGCTGGCTAGATAGTTTGAAGTAATTATAGATAGAATGTTAATTCGACTACGCGAGGAAACTGGGTACTCCGTCCATCTATCTCATAACTTCCGGTTAGTAGCTTCTTAAAGTTAAGAATATTCTTAGATATAGAATTACTCTTATAACTTTAATAAGTAAAACTATAAAGACAGCTTTTCTATAACGAGTAATATCTAGAGAAAGGCGCATTTTATACAAAATAACAAAATACTACTATACTTAATACTGTTAACTGTTTGTAAGTTGTAGATTGTCTTCTAAAGTCGACTTATAGGTACTTATACAACTTAATAATATTTTCCCTCTACTTTGATCGGCCAATGGCTCAACACGTTGAAACCCCTTTTTAGAGTCAAATCTAATAAAAGTCTTAGAGAAGACCGTACGAGAGGCGTTGGCATTGGCGTTCCTCGCTAAGCCCTCCTCGACGTCGGACCGCATGCTTTCGTGTGGTACTCTACTTGACAAGTACACCCACTGCTATAATTGAAGTAAGGAATTCAAGAATTTCGAGATGTCTCGTTCTTCAATCGAATTAAATAGATGCACGCTTTTAAGTCATGTGAAGCAGTAAATAGGTGTCTGAGGGGATGAAGAATTTGGTGTGGTAGGGAGGTACAGCACAGACATTTTATTTGTCCCCATCGAGCCCGGGTCCTTGCCGTCTCTGCAGGTCATCATCCCACAACCAATCATCACTTTTTACACTTTCATCTCTCCTGCCAGCAAAGTCCAGATCCTACAGCCTATTCCCAAGAAGCTCACCGGGATGCTTGCCAGTCCTCAATATGGCGTACCAATTTGTTCTGCGCCTTTCCTTCAAAGGCATCCAAACCTCACTCGAACGATTGCATTGTACACCACGAATCGAATTGATGACCGATTGGTGTTGTCAAGTCGAGGCCCGCAATCCGATAGCCGTCATTATCAAGACGAATTGCGATACGCAGTAAAATGTCGCTTTTGAGTTCAGGAGACACATTATACTCCCCGGACACTTCGGAGTCATGCTCAGTTGCTCCGACGCTCAATTTGAAGCCCAGAAAAACTGGGCGACCGAAACAATGGACGGTAAAGAGGCTGTGGAAGCTGTCGAGGCTCTACTCGTACTCTGACTTGCCGCGGAGTGATATCCCGGCAGCACTTCAAGAGAAGAATTGGACCCCTAGGTACTCAATCTGCTTAGGCAATGGGTCAATTACTTATATATTTGTAGTGAAGATGCGGTAGCCAAGCACTCGAAAGCTCTCTTTGGTACCGATCCGCGATGGCTTCATCTGCGACCCAAAAACCGCGATGACATGGACAAAAGGATAGAGGCGTTCAAGGACTGCCAGAAGCCAAAAGGGAGGGCTGGAATCGATGCAGAAGGCTCAATTAGGTCTGACGAAGATCAGGAAACTCTTCTCAATGCTGACCCGTCGTCGTCGTGGACGGATGCATCGCTCGACGATCTGCTGGAGCTACTCGCGCAGCCGTCCTCCACACCAACTCCGTTAATTGTCCATGATTCTAGTGGATACAATCCTGCTCCCATCCACCCCACTCTCAGAAGTGCAGGAGACAGTGTCTTTCAAGACGAATCAGTCCTTCCAACTCTGGCCCGGCAGGCTACGCATAGCTTGGGACCAGGCCCTCTTAAATTGTTTCCGTACACAAATGGTGCTGGAAAGGCAACTTCGGACAGCCGGTCTACATTGTCGACTCATATTAGCACATCGAGTATTAAACGACGGCTGCCTCGATACTCCACTCAATATTTGAAGAAGATTGTGCGACTTCTAGACACTCACTCCCTGGATGATGCTGCTCCTACATCTATCATTACTCGTTCCGAATCGGCTAGTTCTACTGAAAATGAGTCAAATTATAGGCATCGTTATTCTGGCCTCTCTACAGGCGGAGTCGGAAATTCTAAGTCTACGGATAACATGTTCCCGAACACATTTCTTGTGCTCGATCGATTAATACATCGCCAAGGAATATGCATTCCTGGACTGAAACCTCATGACAATAAGATTTGTTGGTGCGCGGTCTCAGATGAAATAGGTACTACTGAACTAGAAGTCATGTCTCCTGAGTATCTGGGCGATGAGAATCTCGACTTCAACTCAAGAGACGACTTTGGTAATACAGTTCTCCACCTACTCGCTGCCCGTGGTTCTTCGTGGGACTTGATTTTGGAAGTGATTGATCTCGGTGCTGACGTTAACGCAAAAAACGTCGCCGGCCAAAATTTTCTTCATGTGTTAGAACATTCTGCGTTCCAAACCCTTGTGAAAGATCTTTCTCAGGGTCGATTAACTTCCATATTGCAGAAACTTGATGTTTCAAGGTTTGAATTCAACCATTGCGATTTATTCGGTCGCAGTTTTCTCCACAACTTGTTACGCGAAGCACAGAGTCTTTCCGAAATACCATTTCCGTACCTTGCGGACTTTAAGAACATCCCGTCAACCCGAGATGCGTTTGGATGGATACCAAACCCTCACCGGAGAGCCCAAGTCGGGCTGGGCGACGTCTCACAGATAACAGGCCTTCTTGCCCAGAATCCGCAATCGCAACCCATTGTCGATAATTACCGTATGCCCTTGAATGTTCCAAAATCCCCTCTGACGTCAACCCCAATGCTATCAACAAAAGGTGTCAAAAAGTCGAACAGACAGAGTAGTCGTGTTCCTGCCGCGGATATCAAAACAACCTCAGTCAAACCCGACGAGACCCTTTCTGACGACGAACTTTGGACACAAGCGCGACTCATCGAGACCGCTAGACTGGCGGCTAGTGCTCCGTGGATCGAAGAGTCAGAGGGAAGAAATGGACTTCAATGCTTAGCAGAAGTAGCACTTGACATTCATATTGACAACGGAACAGTTGTTGCTAGCAATTCTACTAAACGCAAGCGGAATCAACCCGATGTTCTACCTGGATCATTAAGGTTGAATCTTCGATATCAGCTTGTTGAAGGGCTAGTGTCGGCAGGTGTTGGGGTCAACAATTACGATGATAGTGGCTCAACAGTCTTAATGTCATTTGTTACCCACCTGCCAGACGGTGAGGATGACAAGGCTCTAGCAAGTGTTCTTGAACTTCTTCTCCACAAAGGAGCAAATATCCACATGCGGAACCGAAAAGGCGAGACGGCACTTCATATTGCTGTTCGTCTTGGCCGTAAAGTTGCTACACGCGTTCTCTTAGACCACGGTGCAAATGTACACGCTCGAACGACTGAAGGCATCGGAGTCTTACTTCTCGCACGAGCGCACTATCTCAAGGCGCGTAATGATCCTTCGCTTTACGCTTCAATCATCGTTTGTATGGCCATGGTTATAGATCGCGGCGGGGTGGCATCACCAACTATTGTACAAGAGTGGTCTTGTCGATGAAGGAATTTGGGCGTGGAAGCTGTTCCCACCTTTGTGTTTAATATATGCTAGCGTTGGTTGTAGAAGTAGATACCCCATGCGAAATTGAAATCGTAGCAAACCCAATTAGGGTAAACAGCGATGTCCAAACTTGGACAGACATGAATTTCTGGGCATTATGATGTATTGAAGTAGATATACGGGCGAAACGGAGAGCGCGCCTTCCCTCGGCTGGCGAAAAGGTGGCATGTTGGCACGCCATATCAGCTCTTTTCAATACTCCATCACCTCTTAAAAAACACCATTCGTCCGTTCATCGCTCGTCTGTGAGGTTCATATCACTTTATGAAGTTCCTAAAGCCTTCCCTGCCATTGTAGGAAACTTACAGGCCATCCTGAATAGACTGTTGCTTAAGACTTTCTTGTCTCGTCAGCTTCCAGGTGTATGAAATGTCACCATTTATGCTTTGCGTTCTCTCTCAATCACTTTTGCACTTTCTCAATGTTTCATCGAACCATTGTACGGCTCCGCTGCCGTCGTAATAGAACTGCTGAGGGGTGGACTTGCAGATTGGAGAGATGGAAGTGTAAAAAGTAATGATTGGTTGTGGAAAGGAGGACCTGCCAAGACGGCGACGCCCCTCGGTCCAGTTCAGGAAGGTGAGACTACCCCGCCATTCCACTGCAGTCTTCCCTCTGTACTCAGACTTGGTAGGGCAACGCGGGAGTGTCAGGCACACTTCAACCTACTTCCATAGTAGTGTTCCGGAATACACACGGGATGTAACGGTGATCCCCTCGCCTAAAACCGCTTCAAGTGCTCCCCAATCGATACATCTTTTTCACGGCTGAGAATTCATACGAAAGACTTGAGCCCGTCGTGGACCGCGAGAGCTTCTGCCGGTGACAGCAATTTGAAATCACAGTAGACTTTGGAAGCTACACTTACTCTTTACTTTACTATCGAGCTCTGGTTTATCTAGCTACTCATTTACTCTTCGCTAGCTTAATACGTGGTAATTCTAAGCGAGATATGCTTTCGTACCTACCTTTTTATACTTCGAAATTTCGGTTCTCTCTCGCTGGCAGCCCTGTTTTTCTACTTCTCTTCCCCAAACTTTTCCCACCCCCACGCCTGGCATTGCCCAAAAGGCTTCATGAATCAATCAACTTGTTTTTACACTTTCTCATTCTCGAAGTGTTACAATGGTCCGTTTCTTCAATTTTACAGTTTTTACACTTCGCTACTTTTTACACTTTTCATTCATAGGGTTCTTGTACCATGCCGGCACAAACTTCAATTTCCCGCAGTTCAAATTGAAGAATAGTTTGTAAAGATAGTATGTGGAATCTTATATATATCAAGAAATAAATCCCTCTCCTTCTACTTGTAAGTCACCAATTATCTGTAAATGAAAGTCCAGCAATTCTCTCCACAACTTCAAGTCACTCCAGCTCGGCAAATCACGCCAACAACTACACTTTCACATTCACCACTATCTTCTCCAAACATCATGTCAAGCGACAGGTACATCTTACTCCTAATAATCCACTTAGCCAGTCTCTCTACTAACATCAAACCTAGTTCCCACCAAAGCGTCACCTCCACAGCCCCAAAGCAACAAATCCACTACTCGGAAGCAGCACTGAATCAACCTCAATCCGGTCCCTCAACGCTAGATTTATATCTGTCACAAAAAGAATCACACGAACTGAGAGCGTTACGATGTGATACTTCACGTGATCTAGTCTCGATGAGGAAGCAATTAAGGGAGTGGGATGTGAAGTGGAGAGCTGCTAGCTCTAGGTAAAAAACAGAATATGATTTATGTTACAGAGTTATGCTCTGATGGGGCAAAGATGGGAAACGGAATTTCGAATAGCTGTGTTACTACTTTTGGATTATCGTCGAAGCGTTGAAGAATATTGTTGGCGTATTGACGGTTCAGTTCACTTCGTTAAGTCGCTCGATTGAGAAACCAAACACATCCAAATGAAAGAGGGTAAAAAGCCTATGGAATGTAATTAATATATTCCATTACTTTATTAATTAATTGTATCTTTCACGTTAATACCAAACCACAAAGCTACATCCTGTAATATTACTTGGCCTAATCAAAAGAAACACTATAATGTGTTACCTAGATAAATCAAATGTATTGTATTTATTTGGTAAAATTGTCGTCTTTTCACCGTACAGAGGCGGCCCGTCAGTCTTGTAGTACACTGATGCGTGATTATCCTACTCATCCTTGGCTCTGGCTACAAGGGCAACTGCTTACATCCAAATACTAAAGCGGACTAGCGAATATAAAAGACAAGTTTGACTTATCTGGTGGTTTATAACATTATAATTTTTGAACTTAATTCAACGAGTAGAGGTCTAGGGGATCGTGGCGCCCTCCACCAACAACCTCACATAAGCGAGAAAGGGGCGTTGTGGCCAACAAGCCGAGGGCTGAGGTCCACGGCCTAAGAGTCCGGAAGCATTACAAGGTGTTTTATGGAGCCAAGAGCGTAAGCCAACATGTTTGTTTTGTTTTGTTGGATCTTCCGATCGAGTTTGTGGATTCGATAAGTTCGAAATATGTGATTCGAAAGGTTAATTACCTGGCTTAGACATGTGTTGCTAAATTAGAAGCCGGCAGCTGTATCAATGGTTGGAAACTTGTAGTGTTTGTATATCCGAGAGACAGATACAGTCAGTCATCTATTTTCTCGGTATGCTATGTTACTCACATCCGAGACATGGTCTGCTGGCTGTGTTGTTGGGAGCTCACCACAGTAGAATGACGGTAGGTATGAAAAACATATATCTATCTTCTTTCTGGCACATCAAAGCAAGATATCAAACCATCATCTCTTTTCTTTCTTATTTCCTTATATCCCGCAACGCTCAGTCCACTTTCTTTTGTCTATTTCATTTCTCACGGGGCAACCTCTTACCTCCATTCACTTCAATTCTTTACTTACATTCTACTAATTCACACAACTCTCGTTTAGCTCTTCGCCAATTCCACACAATCTCCTCTCAGCACCATCGTCATGGCCTAAAAATCTTGACGACCTTCGCGCTTTTCGCTGCCACAGCATCATGTCTTTCCATTCGACAAAGACCAGCCGGTCCAACTCCTTGTATACACGTCCAGTTTACCTTCAAGCTGGGTGACGATACAACTATACTTCACAATATCCCAGTTACGAATTGCAATGGGAACGAAATCTTCAGAGCACTGGAAATTCCCATCAAAGCTGCCGGGCTCAACCGTATGTTTCTTTGTATTCGAAAATTCATTTAGCTTGCTTTGCTAACTATTGCCACAGCTCCCTTACCTCCTATCAAAGGTGTAAGTGTCAACTTGGAGAAGTTTTTCGATGGCTTTGGTGCGCCTATCAATTTCAACGGCAGCGACCAAGGACACCTGAACGATTTGGTTTGCGAATTTGAACCAGTCGGAGTCTTTGGTGTGGACGATTTGCTGATAGGGGTATTGTCTCGCAAATGTCCTGCTAGTGGAGAATTACGGAATGCAGATGGAAATCCCCTTGGCATTCAGCTATTGGGTTGCTTCTTTAGATCTGTTACCGGATCCTTCTTGACCGACTTAAAGAAAGGGGCGCTTGACAGTGAAGTGTGTCCTGCTGTTTAAAAGGATACTCCAAAACACCAAGAGGTATGCTTCTACGAGGAGAAGGAAATGATCCACGGCGTGAGGTGTTAGGGACTGGATATTCTTGATGAGTGTATATCGTGGATTTTCGGGTTTGTTTGTCGAAAACGTAGTCTGGTAGCGCGAAACTGTTTGGCAAATTAACTCGAGGCTAGCCCAACTCAATGCTGAGCCCGTACAGCTGGTCTCACGTGCTTAGTTTCGATAGCTTCAATCAGATTGAGAGTTTTCGAGTTTTTGTTTGGAAGGACCCTCTAGAGTCGAATTGGTGATGACTCAGTTGATATAAGTGGTTAATTTACCTTGCCTCGGCGGTCTTTGCAGTTTAATGGCTTTATTAGAGGAAAACTACCTTATCGAGTGTGAAAATTCTCAGAAAAAATGTTTAGCAGTCAACTGGAGAGGTATAGGCTAGCTTAAATGTCGTGTCCTCGTGTGGATGACTTGCCTAGATTCAACCCCACAGAGATTTATCTTTCCCAGATGTCTGCTGCGATAGTGAAGCATACATTGAGTATCTTGTTAACATGTCTGTCTATGTAATCTTTTTACCCGGCAATATTTCAAATGGCAGAACTGCTTCCACTTCTTGGCCCACTCCTCGACTCAGTTGGCCTGGTCCCCTCAGCAACATTAAAATATTCCAGTCCGCTCAGACTCCGTGGAACTTCAATACCCAAGTGATCTTCCATATCACCAATCGCACTAGAGTACCATATCATACCGACCTCCCCCCCGATTGGTGAGTTCCCCGACCTTCCTAGCACCAGCATCCACAACAGCAAATCCGAACAGTGTCGAGCTATGAACGACAGATTTGCCATTTGAAGTCCAGAATGAATGCGCTGTGATAAACAGATACAGACGTTAGTCCATCGCGGACATTCTCTGAGCTCTTCATAAATATATATCAACGAGGCATTGAGGAACGCTGTAAAGAATGCCACAGCACCACTCTCGGCTAAGCCTTCGGAGTGAAGGAGGCTTATAACTAATCGCTCGACCAGATCTATCTTGTCGGTGAAAAAGTAGTCGTCAATCTGATGGGTTTTTTCGCTAGACATTCTCGCCAAGAATTCAGTGAGATATCGTAGTCGGAGCCATATATAAATTATTTGTTTAGTGAAATCAGAAGTTTTGGTCAGTAATCTCAGCCGATCTTTTAGATCACCAGTCGAAAATCCAGCTATGGGGGATTCTCCAGCAGATGGCACAAGTGTGGGCTGAAGAATTGGTTTGGTCCGCATAAGAATAGAGTAGCACGTGTCCGCCCTTTGCAGTTGATAAGCATGCAACGGTCTGTGCAACACTGGAGCCTAGAGTGAGTACGTACCACGAGATTGTTCTTGACGCTGCCCCATCCAGCCCAAGGTTTTGTATTCCGCCACGAACGTGTACCATGAGTTGCAAGCCTTTTCTATGGATTACACATTCCTTCACCTCACCCGCCAGACACTGAATGGAGTTAGTCAAATAACCAGTAGCGTTTCGTCAGTTTCATACCTCTAATAGCGTCATGACTGCTACTGCGACCATAATGTGATCGCTGGGAACTGAGTTCGGTCTTCTCAATTCCATATTTATATTTCGAATTGCGTTTGACTTTTGCCACAGACACGCAGGCGGAGCTCTCATATGCCGGAGAAAGTAAAAGTGATAGGCCGAGCAATAAGTGCTACCAAACATTTAGTCGCTTTCAGAAAAGTTGCGAAGTACTCACGTTACTGATAGAAGTGTTTTGTCCGAAAGGTTTATTTTCAACCAAGCTTTTCTTGGACTTATCGCCATTCGCGTATTCTGAAAAACACTCACCCCTGAAATGTTAGATCAACACAAACAATGGGAGGAATTTCTTACAGTGATGAAGTGCCATATCAGTTGTACTATTTTGAGGAAGTGAGAAGGCGCCAAAAGGGTCAGCCCCACCAAGTAGCATATCCACTCTACTCTGTTCAGCTTCTTCTTTGCGATTTTTCTTTTCTGTCGCAAGACACTTAGCGTCGTCGCTTGGCTAAAGAGTCAAAAGAATACTTACTACTAGGTCTTCCCGGCGAAGAGGGAGTATTTTCTCGCCGCCTCTTTACTTTCGTCTGACCTACTCGATGAACGCGAGGCTTCCTCCGATGCGGTAAACTGGATGTTGGTGATGGAGTACTCTCTGGAGAAACAGGTAGAACCTGAGAACACTTTAGCAAGCGCCTTCGGGCTGAAGTCAACATCGCAACATACAGCTTGAGGTCTTTCCGTCATAGAATCATCGCTTTCTCCATCCGCGTCTTGCTGGCTTGCATCGGGTCGAGAAGCGAGCTCCATGACTATCCGAGAAACGTGAGCCGCCAATGGGACGTCGACCATGATGCGCAGAGACAATGAGGCTTAAGAAACGCGGCAGGTTTTCGGAGAAGACCCCATAGGATAATATATCAGACGGTAGTTTAGAAGGACATCTTGCTCTTGATGCAATGATGTGTCTGTCGGTGCCGGGAGAAGGCAGGCTGGGCACGCTTACCCCACTATGGAGATTGTACGAATCGGTCTGGGATTTTGAAATTTGATTGAATATGATTGGCAGGCCCGGCAATCGTAAGCCTGATATTAACGGTCGTGCCGCAAACGCACTGTACGATCTGAGGGAGGTCCGTGAGGAAGCATTTTGGTCCAAAAGATTAATTCCAACAGGCACAAAACGCTTGTATTGCTCGTGGCTATGAACTCTATAAGTTGTTCCTATCAACGTCACTTCATTCTCTTTCTCATTTAGTATATAACCCAAAATAGAATCTTGAAGTGGATGTGATCCACTTAAATAAATGGATGAAGTGCCTCTTTAGGATCTTTCGACTCCTTCACTAGTCCACAACCGGGAAGTGGCGTATTCTGAAAGTGCTGAACGGCACGAACGACCCTATAACCTTAAGTTGGGTTTGTCGAATCAGTGGACGGATAAGAATATAATCTGTATCTGCAGCCACGCGGCACGGCTATGTTTCATATGATCCTGACTATTTCAGATCACCACTCCAGATTCAGAAATCATTGCTCCAAAAGTCATTTGATAAACAAAAGGGGGCCGTATGGAATGGGTCAACCCCATCAATATATGATAAATATACTTCCGTGGGTCCGTCAATTAAAATATCTGGCGAGCCATCACAGCCACATAATCACGTGACTCCCCCCCTGTACGCTTCTGTAATTGCCCTAACGCATCAGACAAACGGTATAATGGAGTAAGACTAAATGTATGGAGGGGGTCTTTATAAATTAGATTAATACCGGCTCACATCTATTGTTATTATGGTCGCTGAATACATCTCCTACTCGTCAACAGATTCTCCATGTCGGAAGGAGCGTCGATAAGTTCTCCACAACTTCTACTTGACTTTTTGACAGTAGAAAATTATCATTATTCTTCCTATACACCTTACTCGTCTTGCGACCCGTTATTAGCTTATTGGCGATCAATGTGCAGCAGTTTCCTAGAGCAAATGATCACAAAGAATTGCGAAGATATGAAGTAGATGTAGGTAATTGCTAAAGCTCCAAGCTACCAACTAGAAAGATTCACTGTATCCCATACAACTCTAACCCTCTATCTACAGGGACTCCCAGCTCGAAATTCTTCGACGGAATGGTAATATTGACGCTGATATTCGTATTTTCCACAAATGGCCGTACCCAATCTGTAGAATTATCAACGCCAGCATCGCTTGAGTATACATCCACCTCCGCCAAAACATTCCCTTTACACCACCCCACAAAGGGTTGCATTGTCATATTCGTGCCGTTTTCATTGGAACGGCCACGATATAGCCCTCCAAATAGCTGGGATGATACAGTCGTTTGATTTATCATAGCTCCTGGTGCACCTTGAGCCCAGACTACTCTATCTCCATTTGTCTTTTCGCCGACCTGGCCATAGGGAAATAAGTAGACACCGTCTTCACATTGAGCGAATCCTCGTTTTGTTGTGCTATACAAGCCACACGGCTCCTTGTGTGTTTCTATCGCAGCAAAAACCAGTAAAACCAGCATAAGCGAGAAAAGTACGATGGTATAGATTTTATACCACAAAGACTGGATGCACGGAATAATTGTCGTACTCGTGTTATGCCTCCAGTTGTAAAAAGCGAAGATCGCGGCCGATGATAGAGTAAGAAAGGCGTAGACAACAATCTCGATGATCGATGTGAGTGAATAAGTTATCGTTCCCCGTCTTGTCGGTCGTGGAAAGAAAAACATGAGAGAGAGACCCGCAAGAAATAAAAGCCAGACAAGATAGAGTCCTCGAACAACCCTACCGCGCCAATGGTTTCTGGGATGAGACTGGTACCGTTGGGTATGAATTGGATGCAGAGTCAATCCTGTTTTTCTTGCCGATAACATCTCAATGGCACTTTTGTTCCCATCGCTCATGACTCTTTCAACAATCAAGAGCTGTTCATCATGCTCCCTAAAAACTGGATCCGTTTCTTCGGAGTGAACGCTGGTATACGTTCCTTCGTCGCTCAACCAAAACGCAGCTGGAATCCTCAAAAGTCCAAACAATGTTAATGGGTAGAAGACAGTTGCGATGCTTGTCGTCCAGCCACCTGACGAGCCGTTCACCATATCAATGGCAGCTTGCACACCTTGCATGAAGATGATAACAGTCTCAACTGTAGTCTTACTGACGAGTTTTACGTGCGAGCGTTGAGGTATCCTGGTGCAGAACTCTCGGCTTAGTTCCATCATTTCCTCGCTTCCATCCCAACCTCTTTGCGTCCAGAACCTGACATTAGTCGCGCCCATATCAATACTCTTCCATTTTTTAGCTCGGACGCGACGATCGAGAATGGCCATATATCGCCATAATATGGTTGTCGGGTTGTAGAATCCGAGTTGGTCATGCCATCTGGGCTCTTTGCGGTAGAGATATACGGCCGTGGGGATTCCAACAAAAACGTGGATGATTAAAGGCGCCAGGCAAAGAGTTATTTGAGAGAGCCAGTCGGCTGCTGATATGCTTTCGTCGTCATGTCGGATTGCGAGGGGTTGAATAAAAGGAAGATCGTCAATTACGTTCATCTCATGGACTTCCACAAAACGAAAGTGGTAATAAATCGGTGGCCCTTAAAAGTACAAGAAGATTCAGCCGTTGTAGGTCAATATAAGCCTCGAAGCTGTAAATATTGGTGCCGAAAATCTAACGCATCTCACACTTCAAGATGACATTTTGCTGTGTGAACGTCAATCCAGTTTCCGAGCGAGAAATCAGTGACGTCTTGGGACGTGTGCGCCTCTTTCAGATCCGCAAACGGATCCTGAAACAAGACTATTTTTCCTGTGCCGCACAAGTTCCACGTGGCTGTGCCGCAAGAACCTGCTGATCACACCTTCATGTAGTAAATTCTTCTTTTATCCTTCGCCGCGAGTTATCATAATGCTTCATCTTCTAAAGTGGTGGGATCATGCAATAATCGAAAATTTACACCTCCACTTGGGGAAGAGTGTCAAGCGCGGCTACGATTACAGGATTTGAAGGACAATCCGCTCGGCGACACCACTAAATTTCACTCAAAAGGAAACCTCTCCCGATGGTTTACACCTCGAAATTGAGTTTGAGCGATGCCATAACTTCTAAGATACTTTAACGACATGATTGCCGGTGAAAATGCTCCATTTCAGTAGTCCAGAATTTCCTTGACGATTTTCACCACCGGACTTTTGGAGACACTTAACTCTTTCCATCGCGACAGAAAGTAGAGGAGAGATAAAATGGTATTCATATGACGAATTGATCAGGCGTCGTGTTTTGGCAGTCCTCTAGATCTTTGCCTACCTATGTTTTCGTTGACGACTTAAGATTACAAAAATTGTCAATTTTGGAAAACGCTTGAGATCGTATACTAAACACCTAAACGCACAATGATACTATTGCGCCATATGTATGGATCCATACCGTATACCCAGTATGCATCTTGCGACATTAAAAGTTGAACAGTCTTCTGGAAAGAGTCACCTTCCAAGGGCATTTACCACTCTTTCTCTCTCTGAAGGATCATACCCACACCGCAACGGGGACCGCATTTCCTTAGATTCATTTTGGCTTTTGCTCTCACCATGAAATCGTATCTCGAAAGATGCTGTAAGATTATTTTTTCTTGTTATGTGTTTGTAATTTGTTGCTTGTTTTTGGTATCCATAAGTTTGCGGGGCACTTTGCCTCCCCTTGCGAATGAGTGACCAGGAGAAATGGTATCAAGAAGCTCGCCCTAATCGCATAGCTTTCACTGTTGATAGCATTGGCGAAGTAATCCTACATGTCTTTCCAGTAAAAATCTGGTGCCCTGGCGATGAGGATTGGTTCATTGTCATGAAAATCGCTGATTTCATGCTCGAGGTCAGCATACTGCTCTCGAGGATTTGTTGCGAGCCTCGTTTGTGACATTTTGATTCCTTTAGACTGGAGGAAATCCGCCATCCCGATCAAAAGATGAACTGCAGGATACTTCCGAGTGAAAACCTTCTGTATGTCGATCAAGAATTTACATAGACGTTTTCGGTCTTTTACACTCGATCTGATATCCAATATTGAAGGCGGTGCGCTGAGCGGAATCAATTTCTCCCGAATCTTTGTATTCTCTTTAAAGATTTTGGTGCTAGTGGAACCCTCCATAGGCTTACCAGATTCATCCTCACATGTTTTTACCTCATCGCAAAACCACAGACCTTCTTGGAACCAGTTTTCGACCCAAGCTGATTGTTCTCCAGTGATTCTGTCTTTCACTTTTTCGCATGAGCGTAGGTCTCGTTTTCTTGTCCAATGAGGAACATCTTTGCGTTCGAATGGCGCTATCAAACCATCGATGAACTCTGTCATGATCTGTGCTTCTCTGTCAGCTTTCTCAGGTGTTGTGTTGAACCAATAGCTCTTGATACAATGCGGACAGGTTGTGGTTGTGACTGAGAGTTCACGTTTGAAAAACGTTTCTGTGTAGATGTCAAATTGTCGTACTTCAACATGAGCTATGTTTCTTACTATAACCCAACACCCATCTCGAATAGGACTAATTAAACTCGAAACTGCGCTATCTGAGGATGGAGGTTGTGAATAGTTCTTGGAACAATAGTCGTACGAGAAATTGAACCTGCTGTATATTGAAGGAATTATCCATCTTAATCGTAGCTCAAGATAGGACCTATCAAACGGACATCGAGCCCACCCGTCGCCATCAAAAGTTTGACCCCACGCAAGACGCGAGAAGCAGATTACACACAGATTGTGCCTACAGCTGCACATGGATAATTTCGGGCGAACTGTGGAAAAAAGCTCGAGGCAGATAGGACATGAAAAATCATCCTTATCCAGTATTTGAAGATCTGGGGATACCTGATAATGATTTTCGTCCACCAGATCTAACAATAGTGGCATTATTCGCAGTTCTGGATCTACGACTAGCATCAATTCAGGAGGGGCTGCAGCATTTGGGGATTCCATGTTTGCTGGTATTGTAAAATGTAGTGTCAGAATGTCATCTGTACAGGTTAAAGAAAAATAAATGGCTTTTGTATAATTACTCATGGCTGTTCTCTCTAAACCTTCATTGTTTCTTTGACCTTGTAGTGTATGTAAATATCAACTTAGAACAAGGCAACAACTTTTTCTAGAAACAGCCGTTAAAAGACATTCACAAGATATTGCCTTTGTCTTGATGGAATTTGCTCTAGGTTTGAATTTCGACAATCACATACCCTGCGGAACTTTCAGCCACAAATGTCACATGCCTTTCTAGCTATAGCTTCTGAAAAAATTCATATCACTGTAGTTCCAGTTTTGGCCATGGCTCCTCAAAGCTCCTCACGATCATCAAAGACTTCAATCCCATCAATCGTGACCTCAAATCCTGACATCAAAATCAGCCATTTTCAACAAAAATTACCACAGCAAATTTTCATTCATCCAAAAAGAAAAAGAAAATTTCCACTTACCAGTCTCGCCCATTGCTCCAAACCTAATGACGTTCTTATCCCCCTTCTCAAGCACGATTTCGACTGGAACCGTATTATGGAAACCGGCGTTTGAGTTCAAAGAAGATATGTTGGTGGGGACTTGCTGATCGTTGATAGAGATATGCGCTTCGCCAGCTACAAATGAATCACATCAGTCTTTTGAAGTTTACGGGAATGAATACTCAGGTTAGAAAAGTGGAAATATAAAACAGAGAGAGGACGCAAGACTTACCACTCCGATTGTTGACAGCATAATGAAACGAAACCCACTGCTTCCCCCCCTCACCAGTGACATTTCGAAACACGACCTCACTCTCCGAATCCACTACCAGAAATCAGCACATCTCTCACAAATCTCTCATCGCAACAAACCTTTCCCCACAACTCCTCTCTTCCCAATCACCTCTGCATCAGCAACCTCATACCTCCTCCCCGCCTTTGGAAAACTCACAACCCCAGTTTTAACATCAACCTTCCACATAGCATGCCAATCCAATGTCAACGTCTTCTTCGACCCATCAACCTTAATCGGCAACCAAACATGGTTGCTATTCGGCCCACCCTTCGAATCCCAACTATCGCCCATATAAATATACGTCGTAGCTTGGGAGCCCGCGATGGTCAACTCGAATGTGTTCTGTGAGTTATAGGTCTTTTCGGCTTCGGGTGCGATGTTGGAGGGGCCGGTCCAGGGACCTGCGATAGAGGGCGCGCTGAATACTTTGTTCGGATTGGAGCGCCAGCCGGTTTTGCCGGAGACGATGAGGTAGTAGGTGCCGCTTACTTTGAGAATTCCGGGGGCTTCGTAGGCACCGGCGGCTGGGGAAGTTAGTAGAAGTTTCAGGGTGGGGGAGGGAGACGGCAATACCAAGTTGAGAAGCGCGAGCGCCGATACTGCCATCGGAGTTGAGTTTATTAATTTGGACGATGTTATGGTCGGCGCTGGTGAGGATATACCAAGATCCTAATTGTTATTAATCGTTTGGCCTTGTGGGGTAGGATGAATGATACTTACCATCGGTGTCTTGAAACATGCCAGTGTCCGAGTATGTGTATCCATTTGGCGGAATGGTTACCGCAGCGCCATGGAGTTTGTATCCTCCCACCATTTGTGTAGACACCATGGATTGAATGTTCCGATTCAATTGCCCATATATCTATGTAGAAGAGGTGAGCAAGAAGCGGTAATATACACCCAATTTATTGAGAAGGACCAACGCACCCAGAAACTACCATTGGGCTTTGCAATTTTAGGCCTCCAAAGGTACTGTAAACTGTTCTGAGCACCAAGTGGCGTCCAATTCAACAAGTCTGTCGACGAATACATCAGAGGAATCTCATCTGGAAAGTTAGCTCTTCCACAGCCTGGACAAGGACAGTACAAAGGAGTTCAAACTTTGACTGGCACTCTGTCCAACCCAGTAAAAGGTATCCCCACGCTGCACAACATTTCCGCCATGAGCATCGATTTTATTGCCCGCTGTGTCTGTCCATACAGCACCTGGAACGATCCAACTGGCTGAAAGAGCGCCGCCCGCAAGGCAAGACACTGAGAATAGTTTGGAAAGCTTCATTTTGAAGGAGGAGGATTTACGCTTCACCGACTACATAGAAACTACCAAGCAATGAAGGAAAGTATCGAAAATATAAGCTTCCATTAAATCGTTAAGCTATTAACCGAATTGTCCTGCCCCACATGCCGTCAAGATCCATGAAATGTCGTCTCTCATGTGAACATAAACCGTATTCAGCCCTGACTAGAGAACTTCCATCAATCATAAAGAGAGGACATATTTGAAAAATTATGGGACTAATAATCAACCGATTGCCGTACCAATCACAGAGCCGACGGTACGTAAAGATCATCCAAAATGCCGGGAATCCGGGGAACGCGGGGATGAATGGGAATACCAAAAGTAACGAACAAGCATAAAACCTGGGAGCTGATGACAAACAATTTGAAGCGGAAGAATCACAGGAGGATTGCTAAAATGTAAGAAATCAAGACGCAAGAAAGGATAATTTAACTTGACACATTCCGAAGCAAACCAAAGAAGCTTGCGCGACGTCCTACCACCCTGCCATTGTTTGCACCATCAACACTTCCACTAGGGGTACCGGTTGACGGTGTAAGAACAGGAGTTACAGAGGTAGACTGGGAGTTGACAGACGTCTGCGCACCAGATGGGTTTCCAGCTTGTAAGTCAAGTAGCGGTGGTGAAGTGATGTGCCTTCCCCGCTGGAAGTTCAGATGATTCAGCAGCGTCGAAACACTCGACACCGTCCTTCCTGATATGGAAGGAGTTGTTCTGTAACTAGGTGGTCTAGTAGTAAACGGATTCGACGCCGCGCTAGGTAGGATAGGTGCGGTAGAAGAAGTTGCAGTAGCTTGGCTGTTGAGACTGCCTGCGTAGCTAGAGGTCCCAGGCGTGGAATTTGTGTCGATGGATGAGACGTCGTCTCCAACAATATCACTTCGATGCTGGGCGCGTGTGCGACATCCGAATTTTGTAACCTTGATATCAGAGTATCAATAAAATGAGAGTTCAAAGGTCAGAGAAAGTGGATGGAGAGAGTACTCACATATTCTCGGACGTCTTTGCGACCTTGATCAGGATCTGACCAAAAGCGTAAGGAAGACAGCGGATCGATTGCATCGCGAGCCTAGAAATGTTAGCCAATTCACAATATCATTCCATCTGCTCGAATCGTACCTCTTGTGCCATTAGTATTCCATAGACTTGCTGAAGCACTTGATAAACCCTTGTTACAGGACTCCATTCGCGTGAAAATATTGGATGGCAGATTCGTCCATGCTGCAACACTTCATTAGAGTCTCCTGATCCATGTCAAAATCAAACATTTACCTTGGTTATATTGGGATGAAGCATAGGTGTAATGAATCTTGCGGATGGTGGTTTTCTCGGAAACTCTGATCCGATTTCGATATATATCAAGAATGTGCCCTCAGAGTACGCAGAATCTGGGGGCCCTTGCATTGCCTGTTTTATTGTCAGTTTGGCCATAATCTGGTAGTAGCCCTTAACCATAACGAAGTGTATCGAAGCACGAGAGGGAAAACTCACAACTTTCCAAAATCCCATATTGCTCTGACTAACATAAGTATCCATATATTCATGCGGATTCTCGATCATAGCTTTGACCTCACTAAGCAAAATTCGGGATATTCCTCCAGCGCTAGCAGCAGTAGTAGCTCGACTGAATCGCGTCGCCACAGAACGTGCAGAGACACTTCGCTGCGAAGACTGAGCGAGCCGAGTCATAAATCGCTCTGCGTCAGCGAGAGCAATGAAGTGATCATCTAAATTTGCATGAGGTCGGCATGGGGGAAAATCGAACGGATTTGCCATATCTGCGCGTTTAGGAGCGAAGTCTGCCCAGGCAGAAAATTCTTCGCCAGCAACGTAAGGTCTCGTGCGAATATCCACGACTGTTTCTAGCAAGAAAATTTGGAATAGAGCTTGCTGTGTCTGTGGCGCAAAAGCATAGCCGCCTGTGTTTCTTGCAATCTTGAACAGTTCCTTAGTCTTTGGGCAGTTCGGTTGGTCTTCCTTCTTGGACCCGAGAACTACCGCATCTAGCAGAATACTGTTAGTTGTAAGGAACTGTGCTACAGCTTGAGGCGTCCAATCGCTATTGTTATCTTCGCCATCAGTGAGAACGATTATACGGCATTTGGTCTTGGGATATTTAGTCTTGATTCCGGACAACATGACAGCGGCTTTCCCTAGTGCACTATATATCGCCGTCCCTTTGCCCGTCTTAACGTCGTCCAGTTTCTGGTTGAAGTTCAAACACAAGGGAGTGAGTGGCTGTTTGACATTTATCAGTGCCCGACTAGAGAAAGTGACAAGGCCAAGATGCGTAGACAAATTCAGTGCGGATATTCTCAAAGCAAGGTTTTTGAAGAATTCTACGACTTCAGTGAGTCGGCTCGGTTTTGGGCCACAGTTGTTGCTGGGAAGCCAGCCTTCTTTCATTGAGGAACCCATGCTCGCGCTGGTATCTACGCATATGACGATTGCCTCATCTGGTGGGCCAAAATCTGCTGTTTTTGTCCATTCTGCCCAGGCGTCTAGTTCCCAATTTTTTTCTAGCTTTCGTGCAGCGAGTAAAGGTTCTAATTTGGACGAGAGGAATTGGCCACCATTGTCAGGTAGAACTGTTCGGCCTTCGATTGCATTCCAGGTAATGAAGCTTCGTTCACTACATTCAAGATCTTCATGATCGTATCTGGAGACGTACCCAGTTGCGCTGAGTGTCAAGACTGGAAGCTCTGCTGCGAGACATGCCCCAATTTGCATAGGTCCAACGATCTTAAAAGCATCAATAGAATTGGTAACTTCGATCAAGCTTTCAAACTCATTTGGACTGAGAAGACTCATGAGAGACTCGTTCACGAGTGAAGTCCATGACGTTGCGGGTTGGAAGTAATAATCCCATGGTTGGGCAGATGACTCTCGTAGGGCTAAACCTAGGCGTCGACACAGAAAAGGATCATCTTGCTCGATGCTCACGAGGTAGGAGGTAGACTGGTTCTTGTGCTGGTGTTGATTAACTTCGTAAAATGGTAAGAACGTGGACGCCTGTGGCTTTTCAGGCTTGCGAATAACCTGGACACGATGCAGGAGCGGTGCTCTACGGCTTTGATTTAGAGATGCCTCGGAACGCGACGAGTAAATCCAGCAGATGACCTGACGAGAGGCCTCCAAAGTGCTGTCCTTTGTTGGGCAAAGCTTGGAAGAGATCATCCTTCGACACAGCGCTTGAATGGCCGTGGCGACTAACAAAAGAGGACCCGCTGGTGTGTTTCCATCTATCCCCGAATCATAGACGGCCTTGAATGCCAATAGCAAAGGCGGAAAGTGTGTGAGTTCCAGCAACACCTCGAGTACCCCATCCAAGCTAGCCCTCCCTCTCTCTATTTCTTTGCAGAGTATCTGCAAGCTGGAAACAAAGGTGCTGAAGCCACGGGAAGTCGAATTGAAGTTCCATACCGTCCGCGGAGAGAAGAGGGGAGAGAGCTGGTTGAGAGAAACCCTGGCATCTGGTCCAATGTATTCGACGAAGATATCGAGAGGTTCATATTTTGAGCCTCTGAGCCCAAGATCGTTCAGAGTCGCAAAATTCTGATCGGTGTGCAAACGGCACTCTGGTAAAAAGAGGTTGACATTGGTTGGGTTTGTGCATGAGAAGTCTGGAGGTGCACCACGAAGACGTTTCAAAGCCAGCTGTCGTAAATCGTGTAGTGTGGTATCCGAAGGAACAGAAGATCTATCAGTTGGAATTTTACGAAGGCGAGAGTAACTCCAGCTATTGACTGCCATATCAATAGTGATCCAGCGAATATAGATTTTCTTCTCGTTTCGGCCAGGGAGAGGTGAGCAGGGAACAGGTGTGATTGCGTCAGCATCTTCAAGAAATACATGGTCAGTGATTGTTCCATGGCCTCGGGTTTCAAGACGGAAGGTATTGGCCTCTGTCAGGTCTAAAATATCAGCAACTTGATCTTCCCCGGATAGCGTTATTCCATCATTTCCAGTAGTTCCAAGGATCGTATTCGAAAAATCGACTGGCAATCCTAGTTTCTGAGCACGCTCCAGAGTTCGGACGTGGAGATTGTCCACCGTCGAATCCTGGGAGATTGGAACCACAATCTTGGAGCCATTGGAGAGCCGTACAAAGACACGAGCAAGATCCGGTGCAGATGCGGAGACGACACAAGCCTTTTCTTGGTCGCTAATAGGAGGCTTCTCGCCTTCCGTTGAAGTTGTGTGGTCGGTTGGACTTGTCATGTCGGAAATGAGCGACTGGCAAGGTGCTTCTTGCCTTTCTAGTGAGTAGTTATCTCCTTGAAATTGAAGATGGGCAAGGTGAAAAGAGTTGAGGAGGTAGCGATAGATTAGAGTGTGCCTCAAGCTAACCTATCGATTCGGGTAGCAAGCATTGATGATAGGTAGCTCTGTGTTCGATAATTCTCACCGAATCAAATGGATTGAAAGTTTTGGACGGCTTGTCGTGTTTGCTGCCTGGGTTAGAGCGGGGAAGCATTTGAAACCAGCACCAACCAATAAGGTTGGCAGGGAATAACGAATGCTCAATCATGAGTAATAATATTGAGGTTTTGTGTGCCTTGGAGTAGGCTTTCACATCATGAAGTCGAACTCATAGTTCTGATCACGTGTAACCACGATCAAAGCCTCTTTTCATAGTGAGGGTATGTTTGTTCTGTCTGTCCGTCATTGAATTGGAAAAGAGACAAACCTGAGATGGCCGAACGGGTACATCTTGGTACACAGAGGCTGTACATTGCGTTCTACACAAGCAGGGCGTAAGCTGAGCTCGGCATATGCAACTTGATTGTGATGCATTTGAGGCTGGAAGCCCGGAAAGTGGATTGGTCGTTGATGGAGAGAGCCTCATGAAACCGCCTTGCCAACACAACTAGGTCTAAAGCCTTCATGTGATGTCAGAAACGGGTGTTTTGCATGGCAAACCTCTGATGGAGTGACAGGTAAAGCACAATCAAAGTAGAAGTGGTTGGGGGGGGCAGGATTAGCGGTACACCGCTTTTGTGGCAGAAAATACTGCCTCAGAGCGGTGAGAAAAAAGGTGCCAGTCACGCCAGTGAACCACAACGCGTTGGATAATTCGAATGCCGTTCTAAAACCTCGAACGCATGAAATCATGTATCGTACATTAACAACATTAATGTCATTACAGCATACCTTCTTTTGCGCTATATAGCTACCTTCTTCCGAGCTCGGAAATATCACGGAATTGCTTATTTCATTTTTCTCCATAATCGCTTTATTGCTTTCTTGGGTATTCTTACACATGCGCTGAAATCAAATACGCCATTCTAGTAATGCATCAAAGACATTAAATCTCTTCGGCAGGAGGAGTCACTTTTCTAACCCACTTATAATTTAGGTCATCCAAGTACCCACTCCTAATGATTTCCTCGGGCGCCTAAACGCTCCTCTGGCACGGGATGTAGAACCTCAATCAAAAAAGCAATTTCTATCTCCGGAACACCCTTTTTCAGAAGTCTCTCTCCGAGCCAATCATCTTCACTTTTCGGAGTATATCCCGGGGCTATGAGCTTACGAGATGTCTCATCGTCTTTGTAGTAAGGCAGCAAACCCACGTTGAAGTCTTCTGCTATTGTATCCCGAACAGCTTTGGTCATCTCCTCCATGGTGCCTTTGCAGATCGAGTCATAAGCCCCAGGCGACAAGAAATCGACGCGAGCCTCTAGCAAATGACAATACTAAGACACGCTTTAGTATTTGATGAAAACGAGCAAGTTCAGATGGACTTGGAAACCTATCACAATACCCCAGGACCAAATATCGGTTTTAGAATCCCATGCTCTTCCAAAATGAACTTCGGGGCTTCTGTAAGTGATTGCGCTTACTCTTCGACCGTCTGGCTTACTGACTTGTAGGTTCGTTAGCTAGGAGTATTCTATGTCAGTTAGAATCGCATTTCAACTTACTTGCGCCACAATCACCGAGTCTGGCTACTATAGCACGGATGTTGCCGGGAGCAGCATTATCAAAGCCATTCAAGAGAATGTTCTCCATCTTCAAATCTGCAAAACTGTGAGCAGGGCTTTTCCGATATTCACATCGCCAGCATACCTGAATAGACCAATCCTTCTCGATGGATTGTCCAAAGGACCAAGAGTACGCCCTTCATGATCCATCTGATCTGAGCAATTGTGAGAGGGCGGCTGTTACGCGCTTCCCATAAAATTTGCTCGAAAGCTTCCAGAACTATTATAGGGGGAGACTCGTTGGTTTCTGGGATCAAGTCTTCCATCTTTCGAATTAGGGGAGATGTAGAGAATTTCTTCTGCATTTGGACCTCGTGCTTGAACAGCGGCCAACCTTGCGATGAATCAAGCGGGCTGGGCTCTTTGACGACATACGAGCGCTTTCCATCATCTGCTTCCTCTGCAATCCAAACCCTCGACCGCCTTTTGGATAATGGAGAAAGTAGGCGGTATTTCCTGCCAGACTCACCCTGAACATAGGAGCCAGCATCTACCATGGCCGAATGCGTTCTGTAAAAGGTTTGTGCATGGGGTTTTCTTAGAGCAGATCGGACGAGCGACCTAGAGGCCAGCCGATGCAAGACGTGTTTTGCCATGGAATAAGTTCTTTTGAGATATATTTTTGGGCAGATGGGAGTTTGAATGAATTTATGTCGGGTGTGCTCTCACCAACATCACGTGCTTACTGCCACCCGGAGCTTTTAAATTGCCTATCTTCGTGGGAGTCAGGACAAGATGGGTGGCAGTGAATTAGAGAGAGATTGTCACTTTTTATTCACTGGCTACTTGTAACTTCCGTTTACGTACTTACCTTTTAGGTAAATGACTAATTTACTATTCTTAGTAAATAGGAATATTATTAACTTTTTACTTACTTACACTATTTTTATTTATTTATTAAGTATAGTCTTTCTATTTAGTTTTAATTAAAATTATTCACTTACTAATATGTAAGTACTTTGCTTTATTTGTTATTTAAGGTCTTTTCTTTTTCCGTCTTTTTCTATTTAGTCTAGTCTTATAATAGTTACATTTATTCTAAGTTACTATACTTATAAATTGATTGATTGCATTAGTGCACAAGATCCCGGTTAGCCTGGATTCATAACCCCGGTAAATGAAACAGAACTACCACCCATCTTACCCCCTGTGAGCTGTCCTTTACCATACCTATTTTGAAACAGCTGATCGATAAGCAAAGTGATACACCACAAAGAGTGATTAGAATTAGGGTTTAGCAAACAAATGAGTGGGTTTTTCTGTCTCTAAAACCAGTACCTGCCTCTGGTCATCACACGGAGACTACTACCGCCAAGAATCTTCGCGACCAACATGTCTATTCCGTGTGCTCGATTCCAGCAATTTTCAGAAGCACATATACTTGTTCATTAACTTGCTCCTCGAATTGGCCGCTTCGCGAAACACGATATCTACCATTATATGCTCACAAAGATCACTACTTTGCCTCCTTCTGTTAGTCTCAAATTAACATTAACAGCACAGTCACTAACAAGTATGTTAGTTACAGTTCCGAATTCGTTTCGAGGGCGGTGGGTTCTATTAGTCAAGCATTTTACTGGGAGCATTCGACGGCTAAGCGCCTGAATCAGTGTTGACAACTACGCTAGCAGTTCCTCGAGACATGGAATCACTGTGACGGCCGGACAGGTTTAGGACCAGACTTAGCCTACAGATGTTTGTTTTTTTTTTCAAAAATCTCAATATTTTGGCATTCCACCATCGTTTGTTCTCTAAACTCACTCTCACGAACGAAGAGATATTCAAGGGATTACTAACAGTGTATCTCTATAATCAAGGTGCTCTGAGCATATTTATTGGCGCCATAAGCGCTCAGAACTCCCACGAAGTATCCTATCCATGACTCTACGGCTATTCGCGTTTGTCTTAACTTGTTACGGGAACATGCTTCCCCCTGCCTACTTCCCATTGAGTCATTCTTTCCTTCCTGTCTCCTGTTGAGTCTGTCCTTTGGTTTGTATGCCTCCTCAAATTCTTTCCACAGGTCAAAAAGTTCATTTTATGTTTTGTCTCGGTGTTTGATAACGATCAATCATTTTAGCATGTATAACCACTTTTTTACAGAGCAATTGTCTGTGTACACGTCTACTTAAGAAGCTGTATTCACCTACGTACTTCTTTCTCTTACGCTCAACACTTCCTGCTGTTTAGATTTACACTATCAAAGAAACAAATTTGTACTCATAATCTTGACAAGTTTTTCAACGTCAATCTTTAATACACATCGGTTGTCTATTTTTAGCTTTTAGCTATATTGTAGAAATTTATCGATATGACAGCGACTTCAGTTCTCATTCGGATCTTTGAAAGAGGTCTTAAGCTTTACATGCGTACCACAGCGGTGAACGGATCATGGAAGCGAGTCCTTGGGGTAAGTGTCCGGACTCACTTTTCCAAAAACGTTGGGGGACGAGTAGAGGATGAGGCCGAGCAACAAGCTGCTTCAATCGCAGAAAGAACTGGAAAATGGCCAGACCGTGGGGTCATGGAGTAAGCCTCATCGCTCACTTCCAAGGTAGCTTTTCATACTTACTGAAAACAGGGACGCCTTTCATGTGAGTTCTAATGATCTTATCTCCCACGCAGGAGTCGTGTATGGAGATAGTAATGGTAATTGCCTCGCCAAGAAGCACATTGCTGAAAATCCTGCATACCAGGCGAAGGTTAGTCAAGTTTTGGTCCGTCCAAGCCTAGTGAGTTAAAAACTAACAGACAATGGCTGCGGCTTAATCAGATGTATATCTAAACATATGTCTTGCACTTTATCTACCGGACCTAAAGAAGTTTTGTCAAATACGTGTTTGAAATCGTGGAATGGGAAAGGGGATAAGTTTAGTCAAAAGTAATATCCACATAAACTTTGATTATATTAATCCGTTTAAATTCAACACACTGTACTGGTATCTGCTAATAGACAATATTCATGCCATTACACCTAACTGCTTTTATAGAGACGTTGTAATTAAGTGAAGGCAAACACCTCACTTTCTAGCTTTCGTGAGTACCGCATTCTTGACTAGAACTTACACATCAAACTTGAAATCGTAGCTTGAACTCGAAAGCACTCTTCTATGTATTTCTCACGTTACACAGATGCTCGTGGACAGAAATACTGGTTCTCGTACCCCTGGATGAGCGGTTGAGTGGGGAAAAGATCATTCGGAGTGAGTATTTAGATGCGCAAGGAAGTGACGGAGTAGAGAGTAGATGATGTTTTAAGGGCGAAGATATTTGGAGATCCAACGCAAGCTATCCATATATTAATCAAGGGCTCCTCTGCGTGTTGATTTTTGGGTTATGACAGAATCATGGTCATGAAAATCCCTTCGAGCTGCCATCGCCCAGTGTATGGACACATCTACCACCAAATTGGCAACCACCACATCTTCACCCGCTGATTCTGCCACCCTTCACCCAGCTTCAAACCCCAACCCCCATCCCCCATCCTCCCCCACCACCCTCTCCCCCTCACCCCCTCCACACCACCGGTCCCGGATTCGGAAACGGATACTTAATATACCCATCACCAACCTACATCTATCAGCACCATTCCCCTCCCACAACATGAAACTCACAATCTTCCTAATATCATACTTCCACGTCGCATCACTCTCCTTATACAACCCCGGAATCGACACCAGCGGTCCGGGTGTCCCGTTTCCGCCTCCATACACCGAGATCTGCGCACAGGTGGTGTAGATCTGCGGATTATCTATGACCATGACGGCGATGTGTTCGGGACGGAATAGGTACTCGCCGTTGGGGATTGAGGCTGGGATTTTGAAGGTTACGGTGCGATCTGGTTCGTTAGTCAGGGGAGTAAAGGGTATGGCGAGGGGGGAGTACTCAAATGCGCATTCGTCTCGAAATATCCTTCGAATTCTCCGCGGTAATATTCCACGACCGGATCGGGAACGGGATACGGATGATCCTCCCAGACCTTAAACCACTACAACCACTCATCAACTCTCCCTCACCAACCTCCCAAGAGTTTAGACTCACCACCTTCCCTGCACCATCCCAATTCCCCGCCGTCTTTCCTTTCGGCACCCTCGCCATATACGCCATCAACGGCCCCGGATGCCAAATATTATCCGCAGAATCAAACGTGATCTCCGTGCCCGCCTGCACGGGCAGCGTCTCAGGCGCGAATTTAGCACCGATGTTGCAGCGCAGGTTGATGGAATTGAAGGAGGTTTTGTAGAGGGGTGAGAAATATTGGATGCCGGAGCTGTCGAACCAGCCGGCTGTGTCGGTCCAGTTGCGGACGTATTGCCAGGGAGCGGATTTTGTACCGTTGTAGGTGAGGGAGTGGAATGTGTACTGGGAGCGTCAGTTGCTGGTAAAGGAGAGGAGGAGGTGGGTACGTGGGCGTGGGTGGTGGCTAGTAGAGCTAGGAGAGTGAGTGGTTTGAGCATAATTGCGATCGGTATTGAGTATTGTGGTCTTCATTTGATGTCGGAGTGTGAATAACTCATACATATACGCAATCCCCTAACCATGACACCCTCTCCGGGTATCAAGTCTCGAGCCCAAATTTCGCATTTTCTGGTAAAACGAGTACGACGAATGCCGAACCCTCCAAATTTAATACCCTAGTATTCTTTTGCTGCTGTGTCAAGGCTGTATACATCAGGTGCGTGGTATCTGTATGAACATGGCGAAGCAATTACCCGGACGTGTTATATACTAGTGAACTCGAGTTCCGCTGGGGGGGGATCCAAACATATCATTCAGGAGATTATGTGAAGAAATTACCGCTACTCGTACATCTGAGCGCAGTATTTTTGTGTTACTAATGAGGAAAGTCAAATTCCTCTACACGTAATCCAAAGACGATGTTAAATCGCCCCCTCTATCGACTGCCCTACTCAAGTCGTTAAACTTCAAGCGCCCCACCTGTAACCGTAATCTTGTAGCAGCCCCTCACGCATCCTATCACGGTTCGCAACCCCTGCGGAGGTGCATCCTTATGAACTGCATCCATAGCTAGCTTTAGGCAAGACAGGTTATGTATCTCTGCGTCAACAAGATCTGCTATTGGTCATACTTGTTGACTATACTCTTTGAAAGCCTAGATATTGTATATCTACTGCAACTCGCGGCCAGTACCACGAGCTGACCTTATTGAATTGAAACCTATCAACTACGGTAATTTTTATCTAACCTCTGCTAAACCCCAGGTCATTAAATTCCTGCACCCAACCCCTGAGCCCCCTAGCAAATTCACCTTGGAGACCTTTCAGATCCATGCTCTTTCCTGAACTGACTAGCAAGTGACGGATCGACAGGATATCCGAAATGTCTCCTTGTCGCTTCGGCCCTTTGCGTCGAGTCTCATTTGCCCAAGTGCTAAACTTCAGTCTTAGTAGTTCCGATGGCTCGAGAAATTTAAGCTGCAGCTGCTGCTGGCTTGTTTGGACAATCTTCGCTGGGTCGAAGGTAGGAAACCCCATGAAGCCAGCCATGATGCCATCTATCTCGACAAAGGTGCCGCTTGATTGCACAAAGAAGTAGTAGGAGCCTCTAGGCAGCACCCCCGTTTTGTCCTGGATGAAAGGGGCGCGTGATAGGATATTGAGGAGTACGCCAAATCCATCGGGACCGTTTGGAACTGCGATGTCAATGTCGGATGTGGTACGAGCGGTCATCCCCACATTGATACAAGCGAATCCACCGCAGAAGTAGTAGGGTACGTTTCGCTTGCTCAATTCGTTATGGAGATATATAGCACAGCTGTAAAGGTCTCGTTGAGGCGGGGATGGAACAATCGCTGTATGAATGTGTAAGTTACATAACATGAAGTTGGTTTTGTCCGATGATTACTTACGCTTGGTGCCATTAGATCTGCTAATCGCTGTGATATGCGCCAGCAACAGGTTAAAAGCTGCGGTGGTACTCGCTAATATAGTGAGTTTTGTTTACGGCCAAGTTGAAATAAGCTGCTTACCCGAGAGAGATGATTGAGCCATACTGGAACAAACTTGCTATTGTCATTGTGCCCTCACTGCGAAGTAGCTGTACAGCCTGCTCTTGATGTTGGCTGTTATTGGCACACCTTGAACTGATAAATGCACATTCACCTATTGCAGCCTGGACGCGGACGCCTCCAAAATTCATGTTACCTGCTGAGATCAACCATCCCATCTAACATCCAACGTACACTACACCCTGCCAACATTCTCAACGCCGAGCAGCTGTTTGCTCTTCATACACAATAATAGACACCGCTATTCTATTGTATGTACGCCTTTTCATCAGTAGCAAGTCACGAGCTTGTGAATTTCGATATATCCCAAAGAAGCTAGACGTTCAGCCTCCATGATCCATGGCTGCTCAGCAAAAGCAAATTGCTCTCGTTCGCGACGCGGGCACGAAAGATGTTGCAGTCGTCATCAGCACACTTGCCGAGTACGGGATTCCCTCAGCAATGTACGGCGTTAATGCAGCGACTCACCACAATGGAGGTCTTTGTCCCCTGGTTCGTCTAAACGCCCTGATCTAGCAAAAGCCAAATTGACCACTAACAAGTGCCTCTAGGACATCGAGCTTGTTGTGAATGAAGAGGACCAGAGTCGTGCATTTGATCTCCTCACAGCTCAGGGCGCTCTTCCTATGGTGCCTGTGAACAGCATTACAGAGCGGCCAACCGACTTCAATCAGTGGCGACAGCTCGCCAAATCATACCAGTATTTCGATCGGTGTCGCACTCGACTCAGTACTCCTATTTATCAACTTCCTCCAACAGAAGATGCGCTCGATGATATGCTTCTTCCATTCGTCGTTCTTTACTCTGCCGAGTCGGTTGGTCTGCCACCGGTTCCATCCGTCAAATCCGACAAGCAAACTTTGCCAAGTAAGACGATGGCGTCTACGAACGCATATGTTTCACTATCCACCCTTTCTTCTCTTGATACTGCTCAAGGCACTACACAAAGAAATGGTAGCTGCCTAATCCCGACCTTTTCAAAGCTTGTAAAGTCAGAAATGCACATCCTCTTATCTCACGCCGAGTTTCACTCGCCAGTATGGGGACAACACATGGCTCAACTTTCCGAACTTATAAATTCGCGAGACCCAGGCGATCTAAGTCTGGATTTAAGTCCTCGGTACGCAGACTTTTTGGAGTGGGTATTGTTGAGCATGAAAGGAGACGCGGATTACGCAGAATTAGACGGGTTAAAGGAATCTTACAGGCAGGAGCAGCTACCGTAACCTCTTTTGCTTGTTTAAATGTACAGTGGCACGAGGCTTAGTAGAGTCTGCTTTGTGTAGCTATGAGAGAGAATTAATACAAATTGACCGACCATGTTTTTGGGGTTGCTCTACTTACCTAGGCTATCTGATATACATATTTAGTCAATCTGCCGCAAATGCGCAGGTGGTTCTCCATATCACTTGGACTTCCCCGCACTTTAACGTATAGCAAGATATCCATCGAAGTAATAGATAAAGACGTATTTCCGAGACTCTTCCCACCCGCAATCTTTACACGAGAAATACTTGTGGTTGAAGACTAGAAGTCTAATTTCCCAGAATTCTAAAGCTTGATTTTAACCCGGAGTGATCGCTCCATGGCACAACATCTTCGCTTTCTTGGTCCCGCTTCCTCGTTGCAACAGATTCTTCTCCCTTGGTTTCCCCTATTCCTTTTGTTTTCGAAACAAAACCCGGATGCATCACGTCAATACTTTGCGCCTTCAAACCGAGCGTAGCAATTTTGTCCATCCGGTTAGGTGGAAACGGCTCCGTGCCATCAACACCCCAGGTAAACCCAGACTCTTCGGGCCTTAGTTCATCCCAAACATCCACAAGATGGTTTTCTTGGGTTAACCTTTCGTCTCCAGGGAGTACAGGGTTGAAGTCACCTGCAACCAGACCACAACCCGCACTGCGAAGTAGAGATGCGACGATTGCTATTTGCCGAGGACGTTGAGATGGTTGAATTGGGAGGGAGTCGAGATGTACATTGACAAGGCGTATACGAGATGAATTGATGAATATGTCGCAACAGAGTGCATCTCTTCCAAACCGGCTTGGATATTTGACCCGCCAAACCGGACCAAGGACTAGCCTTCCCATTGATGAGATGGACTTGTCTTTCGTGTATGCAAATCGTGATCTTGACATCAGCGTTAAGCTTGCGAAAGACTGTCCTTCCCAGCTAGTGTCGCCTGCCTCACTGGAAAACCAGCCGTCTTGAATTCGTGAATCACTCAGTAAGAAGGCTAAAGCCGCTCGAGAGACTTCCTGAAGGAGGATTACGTCTACCTTGGGGCCCAGTCCGAGGATGTGTGATATGATGGCAGATATCCGGGATTCTGGTAACGTTGAAGTGGCATCGATATTCCACGTCACTATCATGAGTTTTTAGTCTTCGTCAGCTATTTTTTGGGCGTTCCGAGGGCTATCGGACGTGCGTGTGCCATCTGCTTGGTTCCATCGTTTCGTGTTGGAGTCGAATTCATGCCAGGCCTGGAAATATGGTGTTGCATCAGGCTCGTTGAGTGGTAAAGGGGTGTCTTGCGACCATGAAAGAAACCCGGTGCGCATACGTGAAAAGAGGGCCATTGTAAGAGCTTGAAGCCTCCTCCAATCGTTCCGCACTGTTGATACCGTCTTCAAGGGATGCCAGAGAAGTGTAATTGAAATTTGAGTTGATTGCGTTGAGGTTTGGCGAGAACGGTGATAACAATCTCTATCTAGCCTAGGCTATTAATGGAGGAAACTTCAAGGGTGTGTAGTGGTGGTCACAAACATACCTATGGAATGGTTGAAAGTAGTAAGCATCAAGATCATTTTAGTGTACAAGATAGAGCAGTCGGGGCTAAGCCGTGAACGGATATCACGTGTAAGCATAACCACTCTCATGTGACAGTGGAGTTTCAGTCGTGACCAAAGCTACCAATGTACAAATTAATCAAAAGGCAATAGTACTTAAAATAACTATGTTAGTTCATTACTTTAATTGCTAAAAGAGTATTAAGCGCTTATAAAATAGTATACGCTAGCAATCCATTATAATTGTTTACAATTAATAGGCCCTATAAAACATAATAGAAATATAATATCTAGTATTTTATCTATAAGAAAACTATTTAAACGCTTTAAAGATATCCTACCGGAATAGTATTCTCTATAAATTATAAGAATCCCGAAGTTTCCATCCATCGACTGTGAGGCTTTTGCAGATATCCGTCTGAGAGTACAAGCACGGAGTAAGCTCTAACACGTGCACCGGCTTCCCCAATCCAGCCATCCGCAACAAATGCGGGGAACCGACCAGGGGAGCTTCCCCTGCGCAAGCCACTACGGACCTCAATATACCTCTCGACCATCACCACAGCAGCAACATCTCTCCGATAATAAACAAGTTATGAATACACGTATTGAAGCTACCATCTCCAATTCAGACCATCATGTCATAACCAAAAACAATTAATTACACGTGTAAATGGGGAATCCGTTTCACGTCTGACGGGTTTACCCCACATTTCGACCCCGCTATGGGGTTGTACGGGGCTGGGAATATGTGTTACATCAATTGGATCTATGTTTTGAGGAAGGGGATGCGTATTTAAGAGAGGGAAGGTACATTGATTTGGGACTGTATTGATTTCAGAGAGAAGGCAAATCATTAATTCCTTTGTTTACTTTCATCTTCCTATCTGCGTCAATATTCAAAGCTACATCCCAGCTAAGAGCACCCGCGTCTTCGGTGACATATCCACCGGTACAAGCGCGTCCCTTTCCGTCGAGCTACTGCGCCGTTGAGCTGATGTTGGAATAGGAAATCCGAGCGCTTGATTTTGTTCCTGGAGATCGTTCTTAACCACTTCATTTCTACCTCTTCTCACATCTTCACTCAACTCCGCCGTCCAATTCCAACCATCACCATGAATCCCATCCGCCGCCTCCCTCTCCGACGGCTTCTCGTCACCGCAAAACCAACATCCACGTTCGCAAAATCCACGCCTACCTTCACACGGAGCTTCTCAGCATGCAGACCCCTCGCGTTATCAGCAACACAGCCAAAAGCAGAAGACTCCTCAAAAGGCTCAATAAACATCGGAAACTCAAAACGATTACCAGAATTCAGTTTAAAAGATAAAGTCGTTCTGGTCAGCGGAGCAGCACGTGGATTAGGACTGGTCCAAGCAGAAGCATTGCTCGAAGCGGGTGCAACAGGTAAATCCCCTCTCACTCTCAAATCTAAGCAAAAACATATACAAAATCTAACACACCCAGTCCACGCACTCGACCGTCTCCCCACGCCCTCCCCAGACTTCACCCGCATCCAGACGCGCGCCACCTCCGACCTAGGCACCTCCCTCACCTACCACCAAATCGATGTGCGGGACGTCCCGGCGCTCAACACCATCATCGAGGGCATCGCCACCAAGCACGGACGCCTAGACGGTCTCATCGCCGCGGCGGGCATCCAGCAGGAGACGCCTGCGCTGGAGTACAGCGCCGAGGACTGCAACACGATGATGAGCGTCAATGTCACGGGGTGTTTTATGACTGCGCAAGCGGTGGCGAAGCAGATGGTTAGGTTGGGGAGCAGGGGGAGTATTGTGATGATAGCGAGTATGAGCGGGACGGTTGCGAATCGGGTAAGCCATGTCCTTTCCCCTCCCTTTTGAATTCGAACTGAGGAATGAAATTTCAGGGCCTCATCTGTCCCGCGTACAACGCCTCGAAAGCCGCGGTCCTGCAACTCGGCCGCAACCTCGCTAGCGAATGGGGCGAGCATGGGATCCGCGTGAATACTATCTCGCCTGGCTATATCGTGACGAAGATGGTGGAAGATCTGTTTGTGCAGTACCCCGAAAGGAAAGAAGAGTGGCCGAAGCAGAATATGTTGGGCAGATTGAGTTTGCCGGAGGAGTATCGGGGTGCGGCGGTGTTTTTGGTGAGTGATGCGAGTAGTTTTATGACGGGGAGTGATTTGAGGATTGATGGGGGCCATTGTGCTTGGTAGAGTGAAGAGGGAGGATGTGTGGTGTGGTGTGGTGCGAGGGTGGGGAATGGGTGTAGCTTGAGAGACTGAAATGATGAAAGATTAATCTATCAAGAAACAGCTGGGCTCATGGTAATGCTGAGATCTTTGCCACATAGTTCAACCTTCTCTCAAATGCTGGCTTTGCGAATGACCGTTCCTTGTCGACTTTTGATATGATCCTGGGAATGTTACCCATATTGAGTGTTCCATCTTGATTCTGTTCATTGTCGGCTTGTAAAACTCAATTCCACATATCCATGCCATATATAACCCCAAATCTACACCAAGCCCTTTAAACGCCACCCAATGCCGATTTTTACACATAATATACACCCTCCCATTCCATCGATACAACACACCCTCCCACACTCTCCCCACCACCCATCTACTCATCCACAACCGCCACAACCCCCTCCCCCCCAACCTCCCCACGTCCCCCTTTTGAGTTCAAGCGCCCTCTCAATATCTCCCTCCCGCATCCCCTTCGCCCTCAAAATAAGCACCTGCCTCAACGTACTCACATCCAGAAAACTCCGCCCCTTACTCCCCTTCCTGCCCAATCCCTCAAACTCCGTCTCCGCTTCCTCAGCAAGCCGGTATCGCGCGGTGAGCAGACTGATAGCCGGGTTCTGGGCGGGGGAGGGGAAGATGGATTGGCTGGGTGTGGAGGCGGAGGGTTGGAAGCTAGAGGAAGTTGTGGTGGAGGTTTCAGGGTGGGAATGCGGGGAGGAATTGAAGGTTGATGAGTTGGATTGTGTGGGGTTGGGTTGGACGGGGCCGAGGCGGGCGAGACGAGCTGCGTAGGCTGGGGAGAGTTGGGGGTCGGATGCGTCGTTGTGGATTGCTGTTTGATGTTAGTTTGTGCTCTCATTATTTCCGCTAGGCGGTTCAATGTGAAATCTGAACTTACAAGCATCTCTCACCCCCGTAGCCCCAGAATCAGGATGTACAGTTGGCCCTACGTGCTCCGTCTGCGAAGGCTGCGTGTTTGTACTCCGTGGTGGTGATCGTGTTGGGTATTTTCGAGCGGCAGTTCTTTCTATGGAGGAGGTTACGTTTGGAGCGGCGTTTTTGGCGGCGGATGCTGCTTTGGAGGTTGATGCGCCCATGACGAGAATCAGAACTGTAATTTATGAGGTGACAAGGAATTGGAAAATGGGTATTCGGGTGGTGGGTTGCTCAATTGAGGTTTAAAGGTGATGATGGTGATGGTGTTTTGTCTATGATGAAATGTTGCTGATGCCTGCTTTTGGCCTTGTGCGCCAGGCATCAAATCGCGATATCTTTTGGATTTGAATGAACCAAATTTGACCACATTTGTCGTCGTGATTTCCGTTATCTCTATTTCGATTGATTGACCTACAGGTGCTCAGTACCAAATCCTGGAGTCGCTCGACCATCCATGCTAACTTTGATTGTCACGTTGCGTTGATTCATCCACCTCATCCACCTCATCGTCTGAGATCCTTTTTGCGTCATTATGCTGTTGCCGCAAGCACACTAAAGTACCTAGGTATCAACAAATCCATCGAATGTGAAATGGGCAGCTACTTGATCAAATGCGGAATCGTACTTTAGATCTTATCGCTTTCTGTGTGTTCTGTTTGCTGGACCCTCAAGATGTTGAGCAGTTATTCCAAGACGCGACTCACAAGGATGGGAGCAAACAATGCGAGTATTCTGCTAAGAGGTTCTAAGGTCTGCTTAGCCATCATTTCTCTGTTTCTTCTTCAGTTTTGATATTTCATTTCCATTTTCCCGTTCGATCGAATTTCTTTCGCTGCGACGAAGCTTTCTAAGTGGCTGGTCGATATATTCCAGTGCAGCAGTAGGATAGCTGCAGATTTCGTTTGCTAAGTCTGTTTGCTTCCACCTTTATTGGCTCGATCTAGTACTACCCCAGCTTCGCGTCTCGAACTTTTCATTCTTCGTCCAACTTCAGATTCCCAATCACTTTTCATCACCTACATAACATTATACACGCTCGAGTTCGCTCGAGTCCTGTGTAGCAAAGATGGACGTCCACGACGTGTCGACTGATCAACAGTTCTTTCCACATCTCCAAAGACAGAAACAAACTTTAGAGAATGCTAAAAAGCGCGATGGAGAAATACCAACAGATCGGAAATCAACCCAGCATCTTATCACTGCTACTATGTTAAGTCATCTAGCTTCTAGCATGTCCACGATGGATATGAGGCACTCACTACATAGTTCCTTCGTTCCTCCTCCTTATTTGCCCTCGACTACGTTTCTGGCTCAGCTTCAACCTATTTACATTCGAGAGTTACAACTAGGTGTTCACCATCGTGGAAGATATCTTCTCGTCAGAGTCTTGACCATCCCAACTCGTATGACAGCAATCATGGTTATAGTCGAGGATGAGAAAGGAGATGGATCAACCTTGCAGTTGTACCAGCAGCCAAATGAGAACATTCGCCCAACAGCCAGTGTGGTCACGAGAGGAGATGTGTTTCTTCTAAAAGATCCTTTTTTCAAAATTATGTCTGATGGCAATTATGGTCTTCGTGTCGACCACGTGAGCGACCTTATCCGCATTACGCGTCATGGCACATATCGAGAACTTATGCCTAAGTTCTGGAAAGGACCAAAATCTTACAAAAGTGCAGATGATTGGAAGCTGCAAGGCAATGATGAGGTTGGGAGGGAAGAGTACTGGTCGGCTATAGAAAGGTAAGCTCTCCACCCTCTTATTTCAATGTGGTTGTCAAAACTTACATACCTTTCTGCCAGCTACAGCACAGCTTTGGAACTGAGCACCGATGATGAGGAGAAACAGATCATTCGACTGAATCGTGCGCTTGCACATTTAAGAAATGGTGATTTCGACGCAGCACTGAAGGATACAAAAGGACTAGATCTTCTAGCACGAACCAAGGAAAAAGCCCTGTACCGGATGGGACAAGCCTATTATCAACTTGAAGATTACTCTTCTTCGAAAGCTGCTATGCAGGCTCTTTGTGACCAATTTCCAGGTCACCAGGGTGGAACTCCCGAATTGGCACGAAGCACGCTAAGAATCGCCGAGGAGACAACAGCTAAGATTGATTTCAAGCGTATCTACAAGAAAATATCGAAACTTCGGCCACCCCATCTAGATCATGCAACTTTCACAGGGCCAATTGTCGTCAAAGAGTCTCCGGGTCGTGGCCAAGGACTATTTACTATCAGAGAAGTCAAAGCCGGCGAGTTGCTTCTGTTTGAGAAAGCTTTCGCACATTGCTATGCTGCTCCCCCAGAGGAAAATGACAATGGTGCCTCTAAGACGAGCATTCTTATCAATATTCACACTAACCAAATGACCATGGGCACGCAAAGCGACCTTATCACAACCATCGTCCAAAAGCTCTACAAGAACCCATCGCTTGTCCCGAAGTTTCAGGAGCTCTATCATGGTTCTTACCAGCCCGCAGATGCCACTGTTTGTGATGACAAGCCTGTTGTTGACACGTAAGTCCTCCAGTCATCTTTTGCAATATCTTCTAAAATCCCACTTTGTAAACAGATTCTTGATTGAGCGCATCGTCAGCCATAATGTCTTCGGCTGTCCTACCCTTTCGACATACAATTCCTTGAAGCCGCTACTTGAGACTGGAAAGGCTGAGCAGGACATAGTGAACCATTCGACCGGCATCTGGCTCAAGGCATCCAAAATCAATCACTCCTGCATGAGCAACTGCCATCGCAGTTTCATCGGGGACTTTCAAATCGTCCGCGCGACTTGCAACATCCCGGCCGATACGGAAATTCATTTCTGCTACCGAACTCCCACGGGTGATTTCACCGAGATGAAAAAGGAGCTGCGCACTTGGGGCTTTGAATGTAAATGCGGCATCTGTGAAGAGTCCCGGACTGCACCCAAAAGTCTTCTCAAGAAGCGGAAAGATTCGTCAATGAACCTCAAACGTATCGTCGCCAACGTCAAAGCCATCGATCTTCAACGTCTCGAGCGACAACTTAAAGTCTACGAGTCGACGTTCACGAAATCTGCCACAGCAGCTCCAAGAATCCACATCTTCAACATCTACATCCAGCTGGCGCGATTCTGGGGTCAAGCTCAAATGCCAAAGGAGTCCGTCGCAATGGCTCTGAAAGGGTTGGAGTGTCTTGGTTTTGTTATTCATGGTGCACAACTGCCAGCTACCGCTGGGAAGCCTTTTCACATCGAGAAATGGGGCCACTTCCAGGATAATGTTGACCAGGCTTTCGTCTTTCTTCGTGACGCATATGCGGTTTTTGCGCCGCAGCTTGTGGAGAAGGCGGATGAGTGCGCGAAGCTGGCGTATAGTATGTCGGTTGGGGAGGATGTTACTTTTGATACGGTTTATAAGAGGGGACAGAAAGTTTGAGATTTGCGTTTGGTGCTGTTGTAAAAGTGGTCGCAAGGGGGCTGAGTATGATCATAGTTTGTTGGTCAAAATGTTTTGACCTAGCTCCTTGACGATACATGTTCCATGAAAACCAACACCAACAACGGTGCCTAGAGTAATTTTGTCTGGCCTTTACCGCGCGCTTCGATTGGTACAGAATTTGCGGCATGCCTACAAGTACCAACAAACGGACAGGCTACAGTAGTAACATAGTATTTAGGGTACAGTCTCAAACATGCTAAGTAGTTGTCATTGGTGGTAGTTCGTACCCAACTTTCTCTTTCCACACTACACAAATGCTCACCGAAGTAAGCCACGTATTCAGATCTCGAACTTCATATATGATTCTTCCTCATAATTCTCCGTCACAAAAACTCACTTCGAGCTCGATCTCATCCCATTTCATCACACAACAATGTCTTCCTTCCTCGACAACAAATCCACCAGCACCCATCTCCCCGCACCATTCACCACAACCACCTCACCTCGCCGCTCACGCACCTCCAAAGCCCTCCGCAGAACCCTCACCCTCCTCCTCCTCGCCCTCATCTTCTACCTCTACAAAGACCGTCTCCCCTTCTACCCACAACCCCACAGCGCACCTATACATTATGACGCCTCCGATGACGCCTCCGAATGGGAGAACGATCCCATCCCGGCCTTCGAGCCCCTCAAGCGCTACAGCCTCGACTACGGCAGAGCCGCTTGTTGGCAAGATGATGGGGTCTGGATCTTACGTCTCTCGCCTGTGGAGATGTCGGCGCTTGGTCTTAATCGCTTTGCGGATACAAATCGCACGCTTGACCTGGTGGACGAAGATGCATTTTGCAAGCGTCTGCGCATGTTTGGCGCAAGTTTCTGGGAACTGCCGCCGCGCTGGCCAGAGGGTCGGCCCTGGTGTTACGCGATTACCGATTGCGTGGAGCCGACGAGGAAGGTGAGTGTTAAGGTAGGGTATCCGGAGAGCGGCGGTGTCTGGTGGCTTGATACGACGCATACGAAGTTGTTGTCGGATGCGTTGTTCCCGAAAAGTAGAGGGCTGAGTAAGGCTTTGACGATGGGTGAACGGTGTGAGGTTATTGAGAGTCTAGGTGGGAGGTTTTGTGAGGATGTTGAGGAGTGTCCTGAGTTGGATGTTTTGATGGGAGGGGTTCTCAAGGTTTATGATGATGATTGGTAAATTTGTTTGGTTTAATCAGTCGCTAGAATATTCCTTGATTAAAGTTGATTTGAGTTAAAGCAGACTTTTGAAATTAACTGAATCACTGCAATTAAATATTGAACCCATTATAATTGATTAAGAAAGTAAATCGATATAAAGTAAAGTATTTTAAGCTTACTTTTCTAACTCCAGTATATCTGCTTCTGAAAATGTAAGTTTTGAGGCGATAACAGTAAATGAGAGATCTAAGTTATGTAATTCAATAACTATAAGGTTGTATAAGCAGGAGAACTTACTTCTGAGCTCTGTAATTAACATTCTTCTGTGATTATTAACTCTAGAATCCAATCCTCTGAGTTCCTTGACAGTATTATCCCACGAAGACCAACTAATAGATCACAGTATGTGTAAACAAATCCCAAACTCTCTTTTCGCCTCCCGATGCTATCTCGTAACTCCTCCTCTCCACCCTATCAAGCAGCACCACACGTCGTACAACACAACAACCATTGCACGCATCCACCCTTCTTCTTTTCTTTCGGCGGAGCGTGTCCCTAAAAATAAGTCAGCCACAGATTATTCCCTTAAAGTTAGATATCGAGGTTGTGTCACAAACCTGCTCTTGTGATTGCGGTGGTTTTGATGGCACATCTGACTTTAAAACCTAGATTTCAGATCAGAAACGAGTGTTGAGATTTCCTAGGCGGGAACATACAGAGGGTTTCGCTGGTGGGATGTAGCCCACTGGCGCGGGAGCTTGAGTTGCCATATCGCAGTTCTTTTGAAAGGACTCTTTTCGATGGATCGAGTTTTATTTCGTTTGATTTTTCAAACGAAAGTTTGTTCTCGTGGACTTTATATATACAAATTAAAACTTCAAGTCGGAAAGCCAAATTCGACACAGCTTTAATCTCGCTGCCATTAAAATCTGCCTTATAGTTTTCTCGATCTCGGTCCGTCGTTGTCGATCTTCTTCGGATGCGGTAGTCTGGGGTATTGGTAACTGTGCGTAGGTTGTATTGCTGCGCCGCGATGACGGTATTTGTTCACATTTAATTTCAGGCTCCAAGAGTGGTTTCCTGGATTTACAAGAATCGAAAAGTTTAGGGGGTTGCTTATTTATGAGTTCTTTTTGTTTGACTCGGTACTTTTTGCGACATGAAGCTTCATTGATGTCAGACTTCTTGCTCTGGTGATCTCCAGGATGAGCAAAAACATCGAACAAGACTGAGGATGAAATGTCTTCTCCTTATTTTTGTATTCATCTTTTGTGTTCGTGTACATCGCATTCTAGTATCTTTGACGCAAAAATTGCGCACATGGACAACGATTCAGAGTAACCTACAATAGGTGACCATTGGTTTTCTTCATCTTGACGGACACTCCAAATTTAGGACTATTAGGTCTTCTCATCTGATAAATCTCTCTTCTTTCAAACCACTTGGTTTCTTTTTCAGCTAGGCAAAGCTGTGAACGACGCAGAACTACCTCGTCGCAGCTCAGTCTTTGCAGAGGATTTAATACAAGGACTTTCTTCAACAAACTCAGATACTCTTTCCGCAGTCCACTTCCGAGAAGTGATATATCGACATTCTCACATCTCCGTTGTACTTGGACATGGTGATTTGAATGCCATTCGCCGCCAAAGCTTCAGCCCAATCCCTAGGTAAATTGGTTCCGAGCTTGGTCACGATATTCTGAAGACAAATCTTCGGATTTTGAGAAAGCTTGTGAAAAATTGGATTCGCCTCTGGAAGAATTCCGAAGATCTAATATAAAGTCAGACGAAAACATGGTAGAAACTTGCGGGGAAAACATACGGTGACAGCCAATGCCCAGAGATCTGATTTAGGTCCTCCAGAATTGAAAATTTCCGATGTCAATTCGTATAATAATCTCTCTGGTGAATTGACGGTACATTTTGTGGTTGGTAATTTTTCGGGTGTTGTCTGATATGCTAGGGAGCTAAGTACTATCAGCAAGTCGTGGAAGTTGTGAACCATGAAGGCCGAATTGGTCGATTAGATAAACCATTACTTAGATCTATGATTTGTAGCTTAGCTGTAGCGAGTGCGCCCTCCTTTTTCAAACCTTTCCTAAAATAAGCTCGAAACCCGTTCATATAGGTACTAGTCGAACTCACAGTTCAATATTACACCAAATTTTGCGGGTTTGCTAAAATCTATGATCGCTAACTGAACGTTCCCAAGAATCATTACTAGTAGGATTTTCAAGTTAAGTACTTCGAGTGATGGACGGGCGGGATTATAATCTTATGCAACTGCATAAATGAGTATGCTTCCCCAGAATCCCGATATCGACGCTTAAGGAGCTAATCGTATTTCCGTCCATAGCTTATTTGCAGTGATAGTTCCGCTGAGGTGTTGCCATCCACTGCGAGATCGGATCATTCCCATGACTATAACTTCCACTGGAATTTAGAGCGATTTCATATGACTCCATTCAAATCAAGTGGTCGTGGGGTTATTTTTAACGCTACCTTCTCTCCGAGAGCTGTTGTAACACCTTAAAGCTATACGTCGGGCTTGTTTTCATCATGTGTGGTTTTGAGATATGGACTGCGCTCTGGCTGATGGTCAGACTAATCTTATGCTATGTTGTGGTCTTGAAGGTGAGCTGTTCAATATCCAAGAAGCCAATCAAATCTTTTGAGGGTCTTAACGTAGATCTTTATGATTACTTAATCTATTATAGGAGTGCTATGGTTATCATGAATGTTCAAAACATATGACCAGTAAGGTGATTTTGTGACGTTTTAATTACAGTAGACTCCAGAATGAGAGGTTTTACCTATCTATATTCCTTTCTTCCCCTTTCTAGCAGGACAATCAGCAATCTTTTCAATTGAACACAAAACCGGCAACACACCAGCTATCTCACATCGTTGAGACCGAATAATGGCTGAACTAGTAGGATCACAAGATCGTCCCTTTGAGCTCGGTTCCCCTCACATCAAGTTTTTAATCGTAGCAAATGACGACAACTCCGAGAATCCATAAAACAACGATGAGCTGGGAAAAAACTTGTAAATTCCTGATTTGACGATGTAAAAAGCAACAATCTGGTATGACTTCAATGCTCTAAATAAGATTTGGCCTAACATACATCAAGGGAGAAGTCAGTCTTTATGGCTTTCAAAATGCAGCAGATGAAGCTTCAAGAAGGAATAAAGCAGGCTATCAGGATGTAGCTATGAGAGGTCTTGGGGTTGTTGGTGGTTCGGACGTCACGAAACACGACGATGTTGTTACCTTGTAAGGAGCTCTCCTCGTACCTGTACTTTCACCGTCGTAGTAAATATTACATCGACGACACAAAAAGCGGGCCAATACACGACCACAGAACCACAGAGACTACGCGCGATGACAATCCACATGTATCATTGTGGCTCTTGAACAAGAGTTCCAGTCTTTCTCCATAGAACCGAAGGCACTTGGGAGTGGTATACATCTATATGAACCCAATAGACAAAATATACAAAGAATACTGCGTCGTCTCTGGATACCATGGTGGAACGTTATCACCAGCTATGCTACCACTCGTCAGGCATGCAGTGATAAGTTTCTTCCACGATAACTCGGGATCAAATCAGAGTAGCTGGTACAATGAAAGCATTGTAACGGGAACTGCTTTTGGACTTTTGCGGTCCTCTTTTTTGGATGGAAAAAAAGAATCTTTTAGCTTCTACCCGGAGATTATCCCTTCTGGTTGGCTGTATCTTGGTCTTAGCCATGGGACTGGGCGAGGTAGGACTAAGTTTCTTTCAATCTACTTATGCTAGTTGCAGTCCATCGAATGAGATATTGCGAGTCAACCACTCATATAATGTCCTCTTTTGTTGGAAAGTCTCGATTGAAGGATTACCTAAACTTGGTTAGTGCTTACAATACCTGCCGAAACTTGAAGTTTGGGAAACGAATCTTGTTCCTTCAGTATCTGTGTGCAGAGGAGTAACCTCATTCGTGTTATCCAAAAAGCTAAATTTGGGCTTTCTTTTAACGTCTAATTACTCATACCTTGGACGTAAGACAATAGGAATAATTACTTCAAAACTAATTCAGCCTGTGTTCTGCATCAAATGGTTCTATCAAATATCTCAGCGTTCATGGGTTGAAGGAGCTGTGGACGCGATCCCACATAACTTATACCTACGTGCTCAACGTTTATTCGCAATCTCCAAATTTTGAACTCATGAACTAGATCAAAGAGTCAATCACTGACGTGATGTTGCAATTGGGTTCAAGTCTAGTGCCGTCCTGCTGGCTGGTATATAAGTTACACATTATTTGCATTGGAACCACCCTTCGTTGATTAACACTTTCTTGAAACAAGGTTACCTGCGTAATGGGTGAAGAAACATTGGATGACAAGAATTTGACGGTCAAATAAAGGCTTCAAGAAGGACTGTTGTACAATGAGACCTCTTGTAGTCGGAAACATTGACGTTTAAATCCTTAGCAGTAAGAGGAAATAAATCATAGATGCACAGCTTTCTTAAAACTTGTTTCCAAGTATAGATCGGCTTAAATGAAGTGGCTTATTGAAATATCTCTGTAATATAATCCAGGGAATCATTGGGTGAATCCAAGTTCTACGGTTACATTTTGCTCACTGGTATTTACAACCCTATATAGCACACTTCCCCATCCTATTTTGCAATCTTAATTGTCTAAACGAAACGGTCGAATGACTAGTCTGAGTAATACACACTCTGTAATAATTCATATTCAAACACGATTTGCATCCCCAAAGATCTCTCGAGAATCAATGGTGTGTCCCTCCTCTGTATCCACCTCAACCATAACAGTTTTCTTAATCCCAAAAATACTCTCCTGACTCGCACTATCGTTCATTCTTACGCTCTTGCCCACTTTGGCTCTCCAACTGTTTTCAATCTCCTTGAGATGGTAACTTTCTTTTGTGGAGCGACCTTTGGTTGAGAAGAGATTTGGGATAACCTTTGCAATCAGTCCCTTGAGCGTAGGGAGACAGACACAAATAATAGCAACGCATGACTCTACTTGTGTCCACAGGAGAGCGTTGCTGGTAGAGATGACGTATGTCATGTCTGCTTGGGTTACTTTCGAAGCTGGGTTTAGGGCTATCATGCGCATTACTGATGCTACGATCACACTGTATACCTGTTAGCAATTGAAATGAAGGTTCAAATTGCGGGAAACAAACAATGCTCCCAATCCAAAGACACCCAACACGGCAATCTTTTGAGTCCTTCCAATACGCAAAGACCTAATGACCGGCACAGGCAACAAAAGCACAATAACATCCATGATAGTATTCCATGCCGCATGTCCGTACCAAAAAGCCGCTGTATCAATGCACTTCCCGCCTTTGATGTTTCTGTTCCAAAAATACGGGATTGGTGTACATTGAAACATCGTACCGAAGACGAACGCTACTATGGCGCAGTAGATGGTGCCTTGAACGACGTGGCAGGTTATGCGGAAGGCGCGTGTGGGGAAAAGATCGAGATAGAGAGCGATGAAGGATAATTTTGTGGTTCCGACGAGGATTTTGTAGAAGATCTGGTAGATGTAGAAATACTGGAATGGTTAGGTAACTGATATCGCACTGGAAAGGGGTCATACCATCATTGCTTTTCCGGTTTTGTAGCGGCCAATGTAGGCGGCGTGGTGACCGAGTCCCCATTTCAGGATTGCTAGATATTAATCAGTGCTGTTGAAACTAGAATGCTTCTCGGAATGAGCTGTCTCTACCAATGCATCCGAGTACCTGTTGAACAAGAGCACAGAGCTTACGATGGAGTTAGCTTCGAGACTTTTCGATCAACAACTTGACTTACAAGCGACACCACAACGAAGATATCTGTCTTAGCAAACTTCCCAGCCATGCTTCGTCGCCACCATAGTCGTAGACAAACGATTCCAAGCGTCACTACGTAAATTGGAATGGTAACTTTCACCCAAAGGTCGCCTTGTGACTCTGGATTATGTGCTAACGGATTGCTAGTTGAATTTGACATGACTGCGAGAAATCATTGACATACTCCTAAGTCCACAATCATGAACATCGAGATCGTCCTTTACATATACACTTGAAATGGAATACTTTGTCGTGTAACCAAAACCTTACGGTACTTCAAAATCATCGCCTCACCTCAACATTCCAACACCCAAGCACGCACATATCCAGGAGACAAGCTATGAGAATTCCAGCAGTCTGGATAGAGCTGTTGGTTCATGGTTATGAATGCGAGCTTCCAGCATTGCGAAACGGGTTTTCCATGGGTTAATGCCGTCGACCCCTTGTCAACTCTGCTGGCAATTGTCACACGAAATATTAGCTGGAAGGAAGCTTGAAAGATAGTGTGAGAGCTGTCCGAAAGCTTATTCTTTGAAGTTAATTGGAGATTTCTAGAAAATGAGATATAATGAGGTCTCGTCTAGACCATGGATTTCATTTATTGAGATCTCGTTCTACCCTTTTCTCCCATGAAAACAAAAACTCCCTCGAGGAGTCGCAGATATGTCATTGCCAACGTTCACGACTTCGTGTGAAGAAAAGGGGTACCAGCACGTGCTTACGGAAATCTCATATGGTCAACCTCTCATACGTTCAACCAAACCGAGCAAGATTAGAACATTCGATTTCAATGGCACAGCTTACTGATTCGGCATCCAGCCCTAGCAAATGGTAGCCCGGAGCTCCTCTTTCCTATCCGTAACTTCGTAAGTTCATGTGCCCGCTTCGTGCATGAAAGTCGGAGCAGAAAAAATATGCTTAAGATGCCGTATCCAATACGTATGTCCTTGACCCATGGTACCGGTAGCTGAATCATCCAAACAGGAAGGCCAGCAGGGCAATTCAATTCCCGCAAGTCGAGGCCTGTGGTAGATGTTGGTGGCGTCTCCCTTTTTGCGAGAAGACCGCTCCGAAGTCAAGCCCTCAGGCGAATGAAGAGACAAGTACTGGGCCGAGACAGCTGTGAGGTCCCGAAATGCGAACCGATGTCGTTACCCGGAGCCGTTTGGAGGGCGCGCGGGAGGTCAATGCGGTGGAAGATCAAAAATGGGAAAAAGCCTATCTCCTTGGCGTATTTGCAAGCCTGAAAGTCCCCGCCGCTACGGGGCGTTGAAGCGCTGTGAGAGGCTGAGATTTCCAGCGGAAGGCGGCGGAACGGCCCCCCGCAAGCCCTGGCCGTTGATGCTCTTCGCTTATTTAGCGAATAGGGGGGAGCTTAAATTTACAACGACATTTCGATACTAATGTAACATGTTGCTACCACATAAAAACGCTAGGAATTTTGTCTCGGGACTTTTTCAATATACAGCGTGTCTGGAAAGTAACCCAGTCATCGGAGCCCATTAAACTTTCTTCCACTCCAACCACAAGTCGAGCCGCCAGAAGGCTTCACTGAACCCAGACCTTATTTGCCGGTCAAAATGCCACCAACATCAAGGTTACAATGCAGCTTGCAGGCGCATCGCTATTGCACTTTACACCATGCCGATTCCCTGGAGTGAACGCGAGTTATCACAATATGAGGGTTGCATGGCAACACGTCCCCGTCACCAATAATGGAGACTCATACCCCATGACAGTTTCCATATGATATCGCAACCTTGTCGACTCAAGTCCCAGAAAACCAAATCACTGTATTCAAGATCCCAACTCCCATTCCTTCTCAGCCTTCCATCTGCGTCAACTCCTTCCAACATCTCACAAAAAGCATCCGTTTCAAACATATCCGGATCCTGGCATTGAATCCAATGGCGATGGATGACGAAAAACAAACACAGATCTTGGACTCGGTCGGGACTGGTGATGTCTCTTCGGCAGATGGGGATTCTCCTTTGCCAGTGATGGCTATGACCCCAATGCAATATCGGAAGCTGATCTGGAAACTCGATGTTCGGCTTTTACCACCTCTCTTTGCGCTGTGGTTTGTGTCGTTGATCGATCGAATTAACATTGGATCGGCTAAGATCTTTGGGTTGGAGAAGGATCTTCATATGAATCCCAAGGGAAATGATTTCAATATTGCGCTGATTATTGTGATTATTGGGCTTATTACGATGGAGGTTCCAAGTAACTACTTGCTGAAGAAAACATCACCTTCGATCGTGCTGGCTTCCCAGAGTTTTCTTCTTGGTGAGTAATTCCTTTAATCTTCCTTTTCAGAACTGGTCAACTAATGTCTCGCTATAGCTATCTTTACGATCGGGCAAGGCGTCATAACTAACTTCACCGGTCTCAAAGCAATGCGTTTCTTCATTGGCGTTTGCGAAGCCGGATTAATACCCGGTAATTCCAACACCATCGTTCCGTTTATGCATTGATATCTGACAGAACCACAGGAAGTGTCTATCTCCTAGCACAATACTATCCCCGCTACGAACTTCAATGGCGACTGAGTATGCTCATGGTAGGCAACGCCGTCAGTACAGCATTTGGAGGTCTTCTCGCCCTCGCCATTGCGGGAATTAAATCGTCCAATGAATATCACCCTTGGCGATGGATTTTCATCATCGAGGGGTGCATGACTGTTGGTGTTACTGCGCTTGTGTTCCCGTTTATGTCGGATTGGCCTCAAAGCGCAAAATGGCTCACGGCGGAGGAGAAGGCTGTGCTCGCGGATCGAAGTGAGTACTAAGCGTTGTTATGGATAGCTCGTGCTGATAGAGCAAAGTTAAGCAGCATGGTATTGTTGGTAAGATGGATACGCTTAATTCGAAATCCCTCAAGAGGATCTTGTTCGACTGGAAGATCTATGTTGTGTAAGTACCACCGCCGTCTCTATCATTTTGTATCCTGCGCTTTGAGCTAATACCTCACAGCGGAGCAATTGCATGCTGCACAACTGTCACCGTGTATAGCGTAGCGATATTTGCCCCAACAATCATCAAGCAGTTCGAGCCAACCTCCTCCGCACGCCACGTTCAAGCACTCGTCATTCCCATCTTTGTCGCCGCTACAGCAGGATGTCTAGCAGCGGCTTATGCCTCTGACAAACTCAAGCACCGAGCTTCGTTTGCTCTTTTCGGTTACGTCCTTATTATCATCGGGGCTTCGATACTAATCAATCAACAACACGTCTCCACAAAAGTGAAATACGGCTCCTTATACTTCATGGCCGTTGGAGGATACATTTCTTTACCTATGCTCTGGACAATGCTCGTCAACAACATAAGTGGGAGTTATAAAATCGGGTATGCTATCGCGATGGAAGTTGGACTCGGTAATTTTGGAGGCATTGCAAGTGCGCTTGTTTTCCAGGGGAAACAAGCCCCGAAATTTGAGACTGGATATAAGACAATCTTGGGTATGAGCGTCGCTGCTGCAGTTCTGGTTATTATTTATACTGCTGCTTTGATGATGGAGAATAAGGCTAGGACTGCCGGAAAGAGAGATTATCGGTTGAGTGATCCGGAGGTTGATAATCTGGGTGATGATCATCCCAGCTTTCGATATGGATATTAAGCTCCAGATTAGATAGACGATGCGAATAACAAAAGAGCTACCAGACTGACAAAGTGAACACCCATGATTTTCCATCTGTACTTTTTCCTAAACTGCCCACATGCCAATTATCTCAATGTCTTCTTGAAACGCAGGTGCCCACCACACACATGTCACTACCACCTTACCCTAGTTCAAGTATTGCATTCTGCACCACACCTCGCCCAAAACGTCCGACGCCGCATTATTGACTTCATCCTTGTATGGGAAGACGGCCAACTTTACCCGCATGACTCCTACCCAATGCTTCAACCCGACAGAAGGGTAACCACTCATAAGACGAGCTTCGTGTCTTCTGAGCAGATATGTACTTCGTATCTTCTTGAAGTACTTCAGAATCACAATTCAACGTATCTAAATTCTCTGCATCTTTTGCTTTACAAACGAACAGCATGTCAGAATCCAAATCCATCCACATAGCCATCGTGGGCGGCGGCATAGGCGGCGTAGTCCTCGCTATCGCGCTCTCCAAATTCCCAAACTTAACCTTCACCATCTTCGAATCGCGCTCCGCCTTCGGAGAAATAGGAGCAGGCCTAGGATTCGGCGCAAACTCTCATCTTGCCATGAAATTGATCTCTCCACTGATCTGGAAAAATTACAAGAAAAGAGCGAGTTTCAACGGGTGGCCCGAGAAAGAAGATGTATGGTTTGATTTCACGGTGGGAGAGAAGGGCGAGGGGTGGGAGGGGAAACGGATCGCCGAGGTTAAGATGGAGGATGGTGTTACGCAGAGTACATGTCATCGAGCTCACTTTTTGGAGGAGTTGGTGAGATTGTTGCCTGAAGGGTATGATGTGCAGTTTAACAAGAAACTTGTCGGTGTTGACCAGAGTAGTGAAAAGGTCTCGCTTAAGTTTGCTGATGGGACGGAGAGTTTTGCGGATGCGGTTGTGGGGTGTGATGGGATTAGATCTGCTACTAGAGGTTTTGTGTATGATGATCCGAAGTTGGTCAGTCCCAGATTTACTGGGAAAGTCGCTTATCGTGGATTGGTACCGATGGCAAAAACGGAAGCCGTATTGGGGAAAGAGAAGGCTAATAATCGACATATGTATTTGGGACATGGTGGCCACGTTCTGACGTTCCCGGTGGGAAAGGGAATGATGATGAATGTGGTTGCTTTTGCTGATAGTCAAAGTGATACCTGGGAAGGTGAGTGGATTCAACCGTTACAGCATGAAAGCATGACACGGGACTTTGGTCATTGGGGAGAGAGTGTCGTGAAGATCATGGAGGTAAGCAAGTACTTCCATGAGCTTTGAGCGACTAGCTTACCGTTATTCAGCTCATCCAAGGACCTGATGTCTGGGCCATTTTCGAGCATCCAGAGGTTCCATCGTTTCATGAATCTCGTGTATGTCTTCTGGGCGATGCAGCTCATGCAACGAGTCCGCACTTCGGTCAAGGAGCTGGAATGGCACTTGAAGATGCCTATGTGCTGTCGAATCTTCTGGGCTCATGCAAGTCTAGAGACGAAATTGAGAAAGCATTCGATGCGTATGATTCGGTCAGAGTGCCGCGTGCTCTTAAAGTAACTGCCATGAGTCGCAAGCAAGGAGAACTGCTTGACATGAAAGAGGAAGAGTCTGGAGATGATCTAGAAAAGATAGCTAGCTCACTTAATAAAGAGGTGAGATGGATTTGGGATGCAGACTTGAGGGCGCATTTGAAAGAAGCGGTGGAAGTGTTTGAGAAGAGTAGGTCCTAAGAAGGAATTGGCTCGATTGGTGGAAATATAAGGGCGATCAGGATATCTAGAAGAATCCCCGTGCTCAGAAGACTGTTCTTAAACTTATCTAAGAACTTATATTCAGTCGATACTGAGTCGTAGAACAGGGCCATTTATTTACAGTCGAGTCTCAGCAATCGTAAATCCACGGCTTTTCGGATCCCATTGAGAATTCTACACACTGACTATGGCATTTGAGCGTCTTCTACCTCGATCATTCTTTGAAAATCGAGGTTCAGGCTATTTTAATCTGTTGCAAGTATCTTTCGAGGGCTGACGACACTTCATATCCTCAAGAACTTCTTCGGGCAAGAACGAGATACTCACAGGGTAGTCGTGAAACCATTTCTTCGTGCCATACAATCAACCTTAATAGCGCACACCGTCCGAAGATCCTTTTGCTGTACAGTGTATATTCCCTCGAGTACCTCGCAAGGTCATTTCCTCCAGCCTGACCAGTTTCGTATAGCCCAGGGCCTAAGACACATGGCTCTCATATTCCTACACGGTCCATTACACCTCTTGCAGCATCCACCATCCTGTGCCACATTCTCCTCTGTATCATACACCCAGCACATCAATCCTCATCTCCAGCTAATTTTTCCCATCACGACTCCTCCTTACTCTTATCCTTCTCCTCCTCAGCCTCCGTCCTCGTCCTCAACTGCAACGCGTGAATTCCCCCCTCCCTCGCCATCTCCTCCTTAAAAAGCGCATAAACCATCTTATGTCTCGCCATCATTCCCTTCCCTCCAAAAGCCTCCGACGTGATCATGACCCGGAAATGTGTTTCCTTGGAGGTAGAATCCTCCATGGCTTTGTGGTGCGAGTGTTTGGAGGAGTCGTTGTGGATTTCGAGGTGCGAGGGGGAGAGGGTAGTGGTGATCTGGGAAATGTTAGAGGATGATAGGAGGAGGGGGGAGGGGGAGGGGGTGTACTCGTTCTCGTAGTATGTCTTCCATTGGGGTGTTTGATGTGGCCATTGTTGCGAATGTACGGCTACGCGCGAGTGCCAGGACACTTCGGCGGGCGAGCATTAAGAGAGGGATTTTAGATGAGAGGACTGAAAATGGCAGTGGATCACTCCTTCTATTGATAATTGTAAATGATATAAACTAGTCGACGAAAGTTGAGCTTCGTCGGCGTTAAGTAAATCCGTTCCGGCTTTATGTCTAGCTCTGTAAGGCTTTCTCAGAAAGGTCTTTGTTCTTATTCCATATTATATACAGTAAAGTTCGAAATAAGTGTTATTCCAAATTCGGTTTGTAGCTACGGTCCAACAATTTGTTATGTTTCACCCTGCAATTTCACCAAGTAGACATATCCTGTGGGCAATGTTTTGCGTAACCTCGCTCATGTCCGCCCCAACAACGTCTCTTCTCTTTTGTAATCACTCATCCATCTGTCCTTTTCAGACCTTGGTGAAACCCCTGAACTGCTCGTCTCTTATGTTAGGCAAGCGTATCGTGGCTGTAAACGCACTATCGGCAAGTTTGGGCTTTTGCGGGTGACCGTTTCTAGCGACAGACTTTTCTGGCGATAGACTAACGTGATTGCAGAACTAGCAGCCAGCATACCGGCAGTAAAATGTGCTTCTCACTGGCAAGTCCATATCTGCAAAAAGAGGCCGCTAATGATAACACGTTCCGTCATACCAGTCTGTTGCGACTTTTTGGCGTAGGGGTAACCACGACCACCACGACCACTATGGCAAGTCCTACTTCTACCCACGGTTCGGGTCGTATCCAACGAACACAATAGCTGGGATCCGTAAGCAGAAGTTCCTTGAGCCAAAATTGGAGGACACTGTGCGCAAGTTGAAGAGATCTCTCGATTCAAACTTCGCTAGTGTTGTAGTTTCTGTTCAACGCAAGGAGGCTCACATCCCAGTACCAAGGTTTTTTAGTAGAAGAGTACTGAGTGTTTCATTCTTAGTAGTCTCTTAGCTACTCGTATTGAATACCCTAGCAAAGTACCTCGTATACTACTTACTCCGTAAGTAAGGTAAAAAGAATACGCTACGATACTACATCTCAACTTGTCATAGCAAAGACGTTCAAAACGTTGCTGGGTGAGATAGAATACATTCTCGATAAGTAGAACCTATTCCCTTAGGAAGGTGCAACACCAAGGTTCACGTCTCGCATATATCAGCTTATGATAGTCATATATAACGTAAGTTTCACGTATTTATTCGCAACCTTGCACTGCTAAGAAGATTAAGTTACCTATCTGGAGCTTTATTTACAATAACTTTATTCTTGTCAGAATTTAAAAGACTGCCGGGCACAAACAAATCGATCGTAGGCGAGTATAATTTGATTGTTTCCCCGATGAACATAGACAGGCATGTATACCAACTCCACACTAGCCTGAAGGTCCTTAAGATACATTTGATGGAACTCAAATCAGATTCGATGAAACATCCCGGAGCAAAACACTCCTCAATGCGATGAGTCTACATTATGCGCCAGGCTTAACAGGAGCCTGCCACCTCGACTGGAGCACATCCTTCGCGCGTCGCATCTGGACCTCATCCCCGGTCGTGGTATCGTAGTTGATGGTTGTAAAGACGTTCCCAGCATCGTCGGTGGAAAAGCCTTTGAACATAAAGACACTTCCCGCAGGAAGGATGACCGTGGCACTCAGCGAATCGACCAAGTCATCAAGAGCACCATCGACGAGCCCTTGACCACCCTTTGCCAGATCCTCCGCCATCTTGCCCACTCCCGCCTTCTCGCCGTCAAACGCGAAATCAAACGTGTTTGCCCAGTTATGGGTGGTCGTCTGCCTCCATACACCAGGTGCTTCCTCGCTGGAGGGATACTCGTTCTTGGCGTTCAGACTCCCGTTACTGTCCAGGTGCTCCGCGTGAGTGTTGCTAATTTCGAAACTGCCTCGATTTGTGGCGCTCGTACCAATGTGGAACGTGTACTTGAAATTTAGCCAGACATCGGTGTCTATGGCTTCTTCCCAGTTTCCATCACCTAAATTTTGCGCTGTTAGTCACTCAACCTCCGCCCAGGGCTATGACGAGTCTTACCTAGGATATCTGTGGTACCACCATCACCACCGACCCAGTTCCATATTGATCTGCCGGTCTCCTCGAAGGCTTTCCCCGTATGACTTATGACAGTTCGGCGATAGATCTTGACCTTGAAATGAGTGTAAGATCCGATGGTAAGCTTCAAGCGACGCTTCAAGTCATCATCCTCGTCTTTGAGGGGGTACAAATTCTCATAAGAGACTTTGACCTTTGTATCATCTATCGAAATAGGTTAGTGCGTGGCCCTATCCTTCACTTAAGGCAATAGAAACTTACACTCCATCTTGACCGACTCGGTTGGGTCATCTAGTCCATTCTCTGCAATGATACGTCGGTCACTGCGAGCCGAATCTGTCATGACGTATTCTTTCCCAGTTGTGAGATTTCGCTGCAAGTTGCCTGAAAACATGGAGTACATCCTTCCCTTCACGTTGAGCGGTTTGTATTCCTCTTCAAGCTCCTCAGCGGCCTTCTGGCCAACCATGAAAGGACTGAGGTAGAAGAGTGGCGCGACGGAGCTACCAATCCAATGATTCATGAAAATGTCTTGGGCAAAGAACAGCGCACCTTCCGCAGATCCTGGAGTGGCCTTTGTCTTGAGTTTTGTGAACACGTTGGTTGGGAATCGACCCGCACCATCTACGCCGTAGTCCACTTGACGCTCCAGTCCTGGCGTATTGAAGCTTGGTGGCTCCATGGCGCGGAAAGTTTGCATGCAGTAGTTCATGGTTCCCTCGGAGTACTGATTGCCCGGCGACAGGTTGACACGGAAGGACTTTGGCACAAAGTAGTTTGGCGTGGGGATGTTAGCTGCTGCTGCCGCGGGGTTGACATCTTTCAGCTCGGGCACCTTGGATGACATGGTGTATCCCAGAATGAAAGGATTGTCGGGGGTAGGACCGAGTCCCTCAGTATTGCTTTTGTTCTGGCTGGTGAATCGACTGCTGATGATGTTCATGAGATTCTCCACCATGGTTCGCACATCAATCGCTTCCCCTTTGGTGTTTTTGACGCTCGTAGGCTCATTGCCATTTGCGTCAACGAGGCGGAAAGAACGAACCAGTCGCGCATTTTGCATTGCACAGAAAATAGTCGAGACTTGGAAGTTCTTATCGCCTACAGCTTGGAGCTGCTCTTTCACACCCTGGGAAATGGAGACGTGGCTAGTCGTCGAATCCGCGGGGCCTATAATCTCTAGTGTATAACGTCAACACATATACGCCGTGTTTGAACAATAATCACACGTACCCTTGAAAACATCCTGAATATCTCTACGATCAAGCAGTGTTTCCCACGAGATCTCCCATCCGTTAACAACCACTTCAGGGTATTCCACTCTATCCTCCCCATCATCGTCCTGATACACGTTCTTATAAATGAACACACTGTCTCGTCGCTTCCCTGCTTCGACTTCCTCATCCGTAACCTCCCAATCCTCGGCTTTTCGGAACTTGAATCGGATGACAGCAATACGGTATTTATCAGGATCCTCGAGACTCTTGATCGATTGTCCTCCCAACTCAAGTTGAGGGCAGCAGACATAGGTGTCAAGACCATCCTTGTGAAAAAATGTCTTCTGGGTCTTGGGATTGACGCCTGAGAGATGGAAACTCATCTCGTGGTTGATCAAGTGTTTTGGGCCATCCTTGATGGGAGGATCAATTTCAGTAAGGTAGAGTAACTTCAGTTGATGTTGGATAGCCTCCTGCGAGACGGAAAGAAGCTGGTCGAAGCCAGAAAGAGTACCTGGAGCGATGGGCATTGTAGTAGTGTATAACTTTTGATGATTAAAGGTAAAAAATGGCTCTTTGATGAGCCTTGGTGAGTTTCTGGCTCTCGTAATTGGAAGATACATATATATGTGAAAACCTGACTACATTGGTGCACTGCTATGAATGGCCTGACCAAGTTCTGCCAGAGTTTGTTAGCTGCTGTAAAGACCGTTGGCCAGAACGGCCGTTTTCGCGCTCCCCAAGGACTTCCATCTCACAGTTTGCTTCAATTTCCAATAAGACATATGAAGCACTTCGCATAGCAGTAATGGTGGCTTGCGTTGATTGGCTACGTTTGTGATGCAGTTTACGGAATACCTTTTCAAACTGCAGATCGGCAGGGCGCCACAAGAGAAATTCTGAGCTGATACGGTTCATCTTCGCTTATTGTAGCCCGAAGGAACAGAGAAAGGCCATATCAGGTAGCCTCAGTGCACACGCGGGGAAACAGATGTCGTTCATGCACGCGAGGCACCCCCGGCCCGTCCCTTCCCGCAAGCATCACTACAGAAAGGCAAACCTTGTTATATCATTATTTAGCTGGCTTTAACATGTTTTACAGGTGAATATGCCTATACCTCAGCTCTACCCATATATTTATGAAATATAGGATTGTCTCTACTACCTGGCTGTAGAGTAAGACACCTTGGGTATTTTTCTTCCTCTTCGCTGGACAATTTTAAATAAGCTGGAAGGGCCTATTATACCTAGGATAGAAGCAGATTTCAGACGAGTTTGATAAATTACCAAAAACCCGTAATACCGATATTTGCTTTTTCTTGGTGGAAGTTTTGGCCGGACTGTTGAGGTTATACAGAGCTCCACATGGTGCTTAGGATTCGGCACGTATTAGTTCTTGCAGTGTTCCAGAGTTGTTTAACGCAGGGCTTAGAGACATAGCGGGAGTCAAGGCTAGCTGAAGCAACTGCTTAATGTAAGTTCATCACATTGGCTCATACTTGCGCCAGCCTTAGTTTCTGCAATGGAGGTTGCTAGGGGATATGAATTGGGAACAATATGTCTAAATTAGGACGACTAGTGGGCCATTTCAGCTCACCTCAAGTCATTGCGCTTTGCTTGAACCAGCAAATAAATGGCTTGTATTGGATGGAGCTTTGCCTGGATTGTGATTTATGCATCATTCTCTTCCAGACTTTGTCTTCAGTCCGCCTCTTGCGCCAAAAATATGTAAGAACATACATTGTGACTCTGATCAGCTGCCCCGTTGCTCGACGACCACGATCGAGATGCTATTTGACAAAGCATATACAGATCATGGCGCAAATGATTCCTTAATTCTGGACTATTGAAAGTGGCTTGCTGATAATTGCTTCACTCACAGAGATGGCTGGTCTGGAACAAACTACGCACGATCCAATGTAGATGATGGGGGTCTTCATGGCTCCCCAAACTGACCCCTCCGCAATATATAGTTCATCCGTCTAAATGACCCCCTCAACGAGAAGCCAAACATAAGACACAATAATTCAAGAAAAGCACTTTGTAACTATGTCTCCCACGATACGATTCAAAACCAATGTTGCGTTTCCTGTTTTTAGGAAGGGCTCCGGGATACCCTCAATCGAGAAATCTACTTCAGAAAAGATCTTCATTGAAAGCTGTGCAGAATTTTTAGATCAACATGTTTCGGGATCTACCTTGGGCACCAAGGCTCAGTCCAAACTTATACACGATTTGAACGGCCAGCCTATGGTGCTTTCTATCGGTTCAGATCAGGTTTGTGAAATCATATTTCAACTAAAAGGAGCAAATGAGCTGATGTTCGCACCAGCATTTGTACCTTTGCATCTATGTTAATGGTGCCGTTGGCGGCTGGCTGGTTACTGACATCAACCCGAACCCAGCTTTTGAAGCGAGAGTTTTTGATGCGACAAAAAGCACTAATGGCAAGGGACTTATAATCGCTGTGAGCGGGTACGGCTCAGACAAGGCAAAGACTGAGGTTTGGCAAGCTATACTGGAGTGTCCAGCATTCGATGCTCCGTCACACGGTGATGTCAATCTTAGCAACATCCAAGGTAAGTCGCGCCTAACCTGGAAGATTATCGTCTCGAACTCTCACTTATTTCTCTCAGCACTTCCTTGGGCATCTATTGGTGCTTCCATTGCCACTCGAACAGTGGAATCCCTGGTCTGCACGCAGCTGCCTGATTCTAGGTATCGTATCGTTGCGGCTGTAAACGCAACATCAAGGCTCGAAGGATCTTACTTCTTCCTTGACTCGAGTGCTTCTCAGCAAGATTGGAAGCCTCTAAGGCTCGCTCAACAAGTCGAGACTGTGCTATCATGCGCCCACGGAAACGTTCCTAAACTAGGACAGGGTGAATTCGTTCTATTTCAGGATGCTAGTGCCAAAAAAGAGACAGCTTGCCTGTTTCAAGCGACTGAAGGAGGTGCCAAAGCAATTTTTCTTACTGCACTAAGTCGGCCAATATCGCTTTCCACCAGTGTGAACGAAAGAGGGTGAGTTGCCTGGTATTAAAGATTCTCATATGTATTGGCTAAATCTCGATAGGCTTACAGACTTGTGGATAGCCACAGAAGACGGAATTGGTTATGTGAATCACATGAAACTGGGAGAGGCGCCCGAGCGGCTTCTTACGGGAACTGCATTCTCCAAGATCTTCGCAGTTGAGTCACGCACCGTTGATGAAGCTAGCAAGATCCTTGTTTATGCCTTGTCTTCTCATGGCGAGCTTTACATCGTCGAAGGAAGTCGACCCAGTGCGGACAAGAAAAACGTCCGATTCCAAGCATCACAGGTACCAATCAGGACCAATATTCGAACCATTGCCGGAAACATCAACCCTTGTACAAACGCGTCTGAGGTTGTTTTTGTAAGTCGGGATAATGATGATCTTTTCCATCTTGCCCGCGATCCCCAAACCTGTCTATGGAAGGAAACACAAATTGTGGTCAAATCCAAGCAGCCGCTGAAAAGGACTAAAGTAGCAGCATACGTTGTGAATGTTTCTTTCACAAACGGGAAGGGAGTGCCAGTACCTGGTGGCTTCCAGATTCAACTCACATCAGCAGCTTCCCTGGCTTACGTCAACGATCGTACATACAATTTAGATCAGAGGCCTCAAACACTGAGTACAGATCAATTTGGACGGCTTGAGATTGTGATACCAGTATCAAGTGGCCTCGGTGCAGCCCCAATCGGCCTGAGGTTTCTAGCAGATACTTCTGAGACTCGGATATTCCAGATCCAGCCTGCGCAAAAGGTACTGAGCGCTATCAGCAGCCTAAAGACTGGTAATGATCTGAAGAATGCGACAAGCCCAGACGGTCGACCGCTATTCCCTCAATCAGCCAAAGATCAATCACAGGATAATTTTGATCAAGTGGCACAAGTTTTTGCTAACGTGCCAGCTATGATTACGGCTATCGATCCAAACGCGACTCCTGATTCACCCCTTGCCCCAAGCAAGTTAGATACCGTCATCGTCTGGCAAAAAGGAGAGAAAGGATCTCAAGGTGATAAGAGCTGGCTTGACTCCGCCGTTGATGTGGTCGGGACAATTGTCGGAGATGTCGTCGAGTTCCTGAAAACGGCTGTCAAGGGCATCGTCAAGCTAGCCATGAAAATTGCTGGACCAGTCATTCGGTTCATTCTCAAGATCGGAGTCAAAGTCATACGGTTTGCTTTGAACACTGTGAGCACTGTCATTACTGGACTTGCAAATCTTCTAGAGGGGGTCACAGGAATCAACTTGTCATTCATCACGGACTTCTTCAAGTTCCGCTACAAGAGAGTTGCAGAGACACAGAAGGTATGTGGATCGATTCTATGCATAAAATATCTGAACTGTTCTCTAAGAAGGATATTGTAGGTTCTTGCTCTGGTCGTGGAAAGTGCAATCACTCTAAGTAGTCGTTACTTGCATCATCATCGAGCGTCTTTGGTAGATGGTATCGACATCATTGGCAAATTCTTTGAGGGTCTTATCGGTTCACCAGCAACAATAACGTCTAGTCCCCCTGAAGATAATAGTGAAGGGGGTTTTTTTAGTAACCCTATCATCTCCAATCTCCTCAAATTTAATCCTTTGAGCTGGATTCTAGAAGCCATTACAGAAGAACTTGGAGATGACTTCAAAATACCGTCACTAGATCTCAATCTAGTTGGACAAATTTTTGCCGCTCTGAAGGAGCAGTTCGAACTCCTGTGGGGATTTCTACAACGGAGCTGGACAGAGGTTCGTGCTGCGATCAGCGAACCAGACACTGTTATGGAGCACCTTCAGAATGTCCTTAGGGATGGATTCTGGACTATTTTCAACGCCATAAAAGTCATCATATTGCGTGTCTTTGACTTGTTTCTCAACTCTTATGACGCTATCGCCAATTTCTGTCGGGGCACTTGGAAGATTCCCTTCATTACTGACCTGTGGGAGGAGTTAGCCGACTGTGACTTCACGCTCATCAACTTCGTTACATACGTTGCAGCTCAGATTCTGGAGCTTTCAAATCCAAAGAAAGAGTCAATTTCGGCCCAGTGGAATCTTCGTGCAGCGTTCGGCGACATAGAAAAGGCTGAGATGCCGCCTCTGCTTCCAAAGCACTGGTCAAGCGATGATTCTGAGGACGTGGACGAGAGCCAAAAGTTATTCCAACAACAGATTGCGCTCACTCAGAGTGCTCAACAAGCAGGCAAGCAGGAGCTCGAATTAAATCCTGTCAAAGAGCCTCGGTTTGGGTTAATGATGACAGCCGGACCAGCTATAATCAGCAAACCTGATGAACCCACAACAAGAATTGAGCCTCCTAGCCAGGCTGTTGAAATCGTAAGTTTTTAAATTAAAGTTTAGTGGCCCATACTAAGCCGCTAATATAGGTCATTGCTCTAGCTCGAGCAGGTAAGAAGCTCACACGCTCTGCTAACCTTGCTGTTCAAGGGTTTTCAGTAGGTTCTGTGGGTTCTGACAGCAAAGGAGGATCTACAGGCGGTGGCAGTGGCAGCATTGACATGGGAAGCAGCCAATCTACTCGTGCATCGTCGTTTCTATCCGCCGATGGTGTTTCGAGCTCTAGTCTCTTTGACAGCAGTCATTTGGGCAAGGAACCCGCCAAGCCTACATCAGGTGGCGAAGTCATGTCTGTCAAGAACATTCTGATTGGAAATAACACGTTTGCGTGTTTGTGTCTAATTACAGAGCAAGTGCTTCTGTATAACAACTACGAGAAGAGCCTAAGATCCAAGGAGAACGTAAGTGAATCCATCCGAGACCTGTTATGGCCAAAAAGATTAACTTGTGTAGTTTGACGGTAACAGTGTGGAACTTATCACTAGCGTTGTCGGACTCTTCTTCTCGTTCTTCGCTGATAGCCCGCCCATTATGGCCATGTCAAACTTCATTAATTCCGCGGGAGGCTTTGCAGCAACATGTTGTCATCCTGAGAAGGACGCATTCACCTATGTATCGCTAGGTGCCTCTGGATGCCAGGCAGTCTCGAGCATTGTTTTCCTGGTCAAGGAGCCTACGTGCCAGGCCATTGGATGGGGAGGAACAGCTCTCGGTTTTATTGGCGACATTACATTTACAATCAGGAACTTGATGAATTGTCTTAAGAGGTAAGAACGGCATAGATACCCATGAATCTTGGCTAATGATATGAACGCAGAGACAAATTCCAGCTTCCAGAGATTCCATCCGAAGAGCCCGGTGCTCAACCTCTTCCTGAAACGAAGGACCCAAAGAAGAAAGTCAAGAGATTTGTGTCTGCCATCAATCAAGCAAAAGCTGGAGTGGTGGAGGAAAAGTTTGCACATCTGGACACCAGATTTCGTTCCGAACCGCCTGTTGGCGATATATGTGGGGGCACTCGGGGCCCCTTGCTGGCGATCGTAGTCCCTGAACCACTAGAAACAGGGTATGATGCTTACCGCGCGGCTCTTCAGTACTTTGACCGGAGGAAAGGTTCTGTCCCTGTTGGAGAGGAAGGTGGAATCAATTACAGGGGCACCACTGGACTGTTGCCCAACCGAATTGCACAGGCATGGAAAAGACTGCTCGGTGATGATGTGGATGAGGCAGCTATCAGGGCCGAAGTCGAAACCTGGCTAGAGGAGACAGAAGAAGCATTCAGGACGTTGAAAAGATCATTGGACACAGAGCATGATCTACGGACATAGCAGTATAAGGGGTTGTAGTCTCTAAAGCCTACAAGCCTAGGAGCCCCAAACCCTACGAGCCTGTGGTGCCTACGAAGTATCGTTTTTGTTACGTTCTGTTGTGAGAATATAGAAACAAGCTACTCGCAACTAGGTCTTCACTCTATCTATATAAATTAGAGAATATATAAGGCTTAGTTTCTCTTGTGTTTCGAGCGACACTAATTTCCAACTCTACTATATCTTCTAAGCTTCTTAAGATATAACAATTTCCAATTTTCAGACGAGTTGATACCTGTTCGTGGCTTTTTGTTCCTTACCTATATCTATTTCTTATTGTTCTACGTGTCTAGTAAATGATATTCATCAAATTTGCGATCATTTAGTAATTCCAAGATGCAGGCAAACAGCTGCCATAATGTTATCAAACGATATCTAGTCGGCTCTATGGTCTTTCTTGGTATGTTGCCATGTCTCTTGATATGATCCATGGATCGAGTCTAGACTACCGGGCAATATTCGTCATACATGGCCAAGACCCAGGATACTACCTAAGGTTGCGTAGATGTTAGGAACAACGCAGATACAATATCTCTGACGGACAAATCTTCGACAAAATGGTCGAGGCATGTGTGACGATTGTTCGACAAACCAGCCGTTTGAAAGTTTCAGAGAGCGAGTGTTGGAAGGCTTAGAGGGGAGCTCATTCCGGCTCTTGATCTTTCCACTCTTCTTCAACAGCCTTAACATCAAACCCACAAAGCTCCGCTCTCTTGACAACCATCCTCGCCTTTCCAACGACTGGTGCATCAATCATCTTCCCATCGAGCGTAAATGCGCCCCGTCCAGAAGCCGTAGCTTTGCTATCAGCAATCAGAATTCGGACTGAATACTCCACCTCTTCTTTCCCAGGTGCAAACACCCTTTGAGCAGTCTCCACCTGCGTAGGATGTATACACTGCTTCCCATTGAAGCCCATCTGTTTCCCTTGTAAACACTCCTCTTCCAGCGTCTTCATTCCTTCCTCTCCTCTAAACTTCGTACACACGAGATCAATCGTCGACGGCAGATTAAATGCTCTCGCCGCCGTCACAATCGCAGACCTCGCATACAAGAACTCGGTAAGTGAAGGCGTTCTCGTGATCGACAAATCCCTAGCGAAATCTTCCGCTGCAAAGACCAGACCAGATATATATGGTGAAGCTTGACATATCTCCTTCAAATTCATAATCGCTTCCGCGGTTTCGATGAGTGCAATGATCTTGACCGGATTCGAATCCGCAGAGGGGGTGCTTGGATGTCTATCTGGCAATTGATGTCTGATCACATCTGTTATGAAATGCATATCGCTCGCGCTTCCAACTTTAGGTACTGCAATTGCATCTATATGGTCCGCTTTTAAAACGCTGCTTAAATCATCGAGCGCCAGGCCTGTGGAAACATCGTTTATACGAACACATAGTTCTGTGATATTTGGCGGCCGTTTGTCTGACAGAAATTTTCGTAGATTGTCTCTCGCTTCAGGTTTCTTCGCAGGCGCAACGCTGTCTTCAAGATCGTAGCATACAGTATCTGCGGTCAGATTATATGTCTTTTGGAGGAATTTGGGGGATGATGAGGGGACTATTGTAGGTGGTTAGCGGAGAGCATTGTGTTTGGCAGAAGATAGGCGTACCATAAAGGAATGCACGGCGTAGTATACTTGAAGTCGCCATATTGAGTTTGGAGGAGAGCTATACCATAGGACAGCCTCCTATCATACAATGCCTCTTGAACGATATTGAATTTGGAGGTCAACTATACCATAGGACAGCCTCTCATCATACAATTCCTCTTGAACGTCATGTCGTTGAAGTAAAGCCGCTCGTGAAGCTACCCCACAAAGTCCCACACGGGTGGTTCCTGAAGCTTGAGCTTGGGCTTGTTTCGGAGTTCGGATTTAACCCCACACCTCATTTGGGCCGTTTGTCGGCGTTAAGGGAGTGCTTTTGCTCCAACTACGGAGTACTTCATTTGGACCTGAAGCGAAGAACTCTGAATTACTCTGAGAAAGGCAGATATCTGATACTCCACTCCGATTATCGCCCAGATATATTGGATAGCTGCGCCAGAGACCTAGCTATGTATCAGGCAAGAGCTTTGCAACGTAGCTCTAGGAAGAACCTTCTTCACACTTCCGTCACTTGAAGTTCCTTCCGCTCAAATCATAATTACAACTTACGCAGGTTATGATACGCGACACACCCACCCTTATATCTTGCCAAAGTAAAGATAAATGAGGCGTGTTCAACGACAGGTCCTTGATTGGATACATCGTCTTCGCTTGCAACACGTGTACCTCGTGTTGTCTTGGTATCGCATACACAGCATTCGCACGTGGGAAGATGGACACTTCTCAGGTTCTGCGGCATCAGGAAGTGCAAACCTTACAAGAGCCGGTCGAATACTGTAGATTTGTCAATGTACCGAGCTGCTTCATGGGGACATAGTGCCGTTGGCGCTTCGGTGAAGTGATGGCGAGCAAAGATGGGACAGCGTACATTCGTACGTCTGTTATTGATGTCCACAGATATGCAATTGAACCAAAAGAGGATTTGCGATACTTAGTGACTACTTGTGGAGAGATATGGATCATTATGTCCATCTCAGGGGTGGGGTGACGGAGTATCGAAAACGAGTATAAAACAAGGATATATCCTCTTTATATTGCACAGTTCAACGAATAACTCAGTCTTCAACTCATCATCATGAGATTCTCAACCTCTTTACTCGCGGCCGCGGTGACCTTTGACGTCGCCTTTGCGGGGCCGACCTTTATAAGGGACAAGCAGAATCCTCTTCGTTTTCTCACATATAACGTGCGATACGATTCCAAGTCTGACAAAATCAGTGTCAATCAGACGATTGCTTCACTCCCTAGTGGCGCACCCATCCAGCCAAACCCGTACTACAATCAGACAGTCGAGCGGCCATGGAGTGAAAGACGAATCGGTGTCTCAAACGATGTCCTATTCCCAAATGTAGACATTGTCGGTTCGTTGAGACTCGCAAGACTTTGAAATCTCTGACTAACAGGACATAGGTTTTCAAGAAGTTTTAACCCGTCAAGTCGACGACCTCCAAGAACTCCTCGGTCCAGACTGGGCACATATCGGAGTCGGACGAGACGACGGCATCAAAGCTGGGGAATACTCTGCCGTCTTCTACAAACTGTAAGCATCCTGCTCATACGACGATCTCACAACTAATCAAAACCGTCCAGTTCATCCGTCGAACTAGTCTCCTGGGACACATTCTGGCTAAGCGACACCCCCTTTGAACCCTCCAAATACCCCGGCGCAGGCTCCTTCCGAGCTTGTACGACGGCCCAATTCAAATCCTCGCTTGGACGTTTCACACTGCTAAACGCCCATCTCGACGATAGCTCAGATAAGCAACGTCGTCTTGCCGCATCTCTCATGCTCCGTCGTGCAAAATACGAGGCCATCAAGACTTCTCGTCCTGTCTTCCTGACGGGAGACTTCAATTCGCCGCCGACAGGTCAGGATGGTGGCGCGTATCAAATCACCACCGGTGCTCTCGGACCTCTTCCCATCAACTCTACTTTTGAAGAAAAGTATAGTTGGAAGCCAAAAGATGAGAAGCCATTTGGATTGACCGATTTGGCAGTAAAGACGCAGCCAAGGTACAGAAGTGGAAATTATGCTACTTTCACGGGGTTCAGCGCTGTAGGTGATACAAGGAACTACAAAAAGTTGGACTATGTGTTTGGTGGGTCTACTGGTGAGGCTTGGGGGGTGGAGAGTTATCATGTTGGGAGTTCGCTTTATGATAATGGGAGTTGGAATAGGTGAGTTCTGTTGTATTGCAAGAACGTGGTTGTACTAATTTTGGCGTAGTGATCATCGTCCTGTTTACGCTGATATTGTGATGGAGAAGTGATTTAATACTGATTAGGAACTAAATTAATGGTAAAATAGAAAGGTTTTAACTGCAACCATTACTCACAGACTTCAACGAACGAGAATTCACAACCACAATTAGATGTCACATAGGTTGATACTCTCATTACTAACTAATAGCAAGAATTACATACCAACCTCTGCGACTTTCACGCCTATCAAGGGTTCTCCGAGCAGTCACCAAAACCACCTGAGCCTAAGGTCCCCAGGCTAAACATTACTTTTACTTCCTCCAAGGAATTAATTTCCAGGCTGGAAAATAAGCGAGTGTATGGACTGATGAGTGCACACCCCCGGATCATGCACATCATACAATCCCCTCTACCTCACAGCATCTAAGCAGAAAGCCCAAGAGCCCTCGCACTCTCCGGGGTTCTCAAAACGGAAACCCACTTCGCCTCGAAATCAGCACCAGACAAGTTCGCCAAGTCAGCGGTGATAACGTCCTTGAGCGGGCCGGTGACATCGTAGTGTTTGCCCGAAGCGGTGGTAACGGTATCGGGCTCGGCGACGCTCTTGCACTCCGAAGCACGTTGGGCAGAGGCGTGCGTGAATGGTTGTTTGGCCATCAAGCCGTCGAGAGCCTGGGTGCGCTCATCGACATCGGCTGCTGCGATGCGGCGGCATGCTGTGGAGGTCTTGGGACTGTCAGCTGATTTTCGTGGAGGAAAAGAGGGGGGACTTACTGAAACGTATCCGGTGTTGAAGGGATTGTCGTTGTTGTAGCAGTGGTCCAGAGATCCGGCGAATTGACAGCCATTGCAGCCGCCGCTGTTGGAGTAGGTGAAGATGGCTACGCCGGCTTGGCCGTTGGTGAAGACCTTGACGCTGTGGTAGAAGAGGGGTGAGGAGGGGGCGAGACAGCAGATGTTGTAGCCTAGGTTGTTGCAGCTGGAGCTGGAACCGCCGCAGCTTCCGCTTTCTGGGGGGTGTTAGTATGGAGTTTTCATGTTGAGGGTTGGCTGAGAGTGTGATTTGAGAGAGAAGATAGGAGGAGATGAAGAAATTTGCTCACGGTAGTAACGCCAGGTGAACTGGGCGGAGGTGACTTGGATTGCAGCAGCTGCGAGAACAAAGAAGTTGAGCTTCATATTGGCGTTTGGAGGTGTTTAACTTGGAATTTCCTGAAGAAGTGATTTTGATGATTGATTGATTGCTTGAGCAGTTGCTTGCTTGATGATGTCTTTCCCCAGGAAATCACATCATCTTTATACATCTACTCAATCCCAGACATCTAGTCTTTGACCAGAACCCGTTATTAATCGCCCTCATCCCCAAACTTCTCACTCACCACAACATCAGACAACGTCGAGCATACCTTCATCGCATACCAACCTATTGCGATTTACCCATCCGACATGCTGACGATTCTGACAACATCTTTTACGAGTTTGCGTTTTGTAAATTAACTTCAACGCACTTCCCCGCAACGTAGAATCGCACATTCCAATGTCTGCTTTTTAGTCATTGCATCGCGAGGTAAGCGGAATATATTAAACGCGTCCCAATACATCCATCTCTTAGGCTTCGTGTAACGCTTTCTCCCCTTCTTGGCGACGAAAACAGCGAGGCTGCACTGATTATTCGCGCGTGAGAGTTGGTATGACTGCATTCCTCCCTCTGAGTTTCTTCATCAAAAGGTCACCGATGGTCTTGTTTGCTGAGATTAATTGGTTTTCCCATGCAGTCAGGATAGCATCGAATTCCTCTTCTGTTCGTGTTACCATCTCCAACGGGGTTTCTTCATCACGATGCTGCAGATTTTCTTCAGTAAGATATAATCACTCTGTATACCTTCCCAAAGAAACACCTCCCCAAGTCTCAATCATGTCGTCGATAGTAACGTATCCACGAGACGTCAGAAATTCGAGCACTATACACGCCAGCGGTGTTCGAACCCAACAACGTCAGATCAACATATCATAAGGCTGCGCTAACCCTCTTGGCCTGCCACCTTAATCTACAAATTCACTCTCTTTCATCTAAACTCAAATCCTTATTTAATTAAGGGTCCCCAAAATTGAGGCTGAGAACCTAAAGTGTCGTATGTTTTCTCGCGAGCTACTATATATTCTCGGTTAACAGTTTATCCTCGACCCCGGATATGTAAGTAAGCTAGGTATGCGATGATTGGGCATCGACATACTTCCCAAGACCTCGCGTATGAAGCTTTAGATGAAGTATTTCCGAATGATGCTCCGACTGCAACTTCAAGAGCGTAAGAATTACCTATACTGCGTACAAATCTTTATTGCGCCAAGTCTCAGAACAACTGCAAAGTTGACAAGCTTTACGGCCGTTAGTACTACCAAGCCCGCTGACACTTTGATGGTTTTGAGGCATGTAAGACTTACCAATTGATTTATTCTGCAGGTTTCGGTGAAGTCGAGGGAAAGAGGTTTGAATGCACGTGTGTCTCTTTACTTTTCGATTCGTCGTTTCTTCGGACCCCGCGGGAGTCTTTGAGTGCATTGTTCTCCCCACCATAGGCATATTTAGCATCTTTGGATACGAAGTTAGAGGTCAATCTTGGATTTTGTAATTTCCATACCGAAAGAATGAGAATTTGAATTCAATAAACCCAAGTAACATGCTAGATTAGCGGAACTCAAAGCGTATTCCAAATCTTTTTAAATTATGTCGCTGACTTTCAGCGTAGATCGAACAGCCACAGGAGAACATGTAATATAATCTAGTGAGCATAACACAGGCGCACCAAACCCAACCTAGAACACTGTGAAAGCAGAGTCAGAATCTCCCTACCCTCCTCATATTTCTCTCTTCAACAGTGAGAAACAAAGCCCTACGCTGTGGCTCCAATCAAACCACACTTCATGCTTCATACCACTCCAGTATCACTTAGCGCCCAACCCATCCCCTCCCATTCTCGCCAACAGTGTTAAACCTTGAAACACCCCGCAAAGCGCCTTTGCATATCTAACTAAGTAAACCTCCCATTCAAAACTCAAACATGAATTCGACTCACCTGGTCTATGCATCTGCCACGCTTTCTCTGACATACCGCCCAAAGTCTCCCTCATCCCTTAAACTATCTTTCCGTGGTCTGCCGTCTGAGAATATTCTCCCCTTTCAGCATTGTAAAGAAAAGATCGCCCTGCAATTCTCGAAGTTGCCGCATAATAAGGCTGCGAGGACTGCAAGTATTTCCAGTTCGTTGTTGTGTTGAATTAACTGCGAGGTATGCAACCATAGATAGAATTAGGCTTTTATCTACGTTATTTTGTGAATTAAGAATGAATCGGTGATTGACTTGTTTTAACACACGCTCTCAAGCGGGGAAATATTGACTGTTGTGCAAATTATAATTTCTTGTTGCTTGCTCTATATCTGTTGTTACTCTTTAAGGCTTCTTCTAATATGAGTTTCGTGGGATAATGTATACTCATCTTTCGTCCCCTCTGTCTTACCGTTTCGACCAAAGCCTTCGATCCATCTATTTGAGGCTTAGAGATCTACGACGTAGATGAAGCTTGTGCAAGTCTCGTAGATCTTCTATTCAACTCCAAGCCATCCATCTTGAAGCAATCCTTTACTTCCCCCTTTTAACCTGAATAAAACCAAACACGCCGCACGAGACACCAACATGCAAGAAATACTCGCCCTTAAACAGCCTGCCCCAACGCAAACCGACTCCTCCCCCTAATCCTCGGTCCAAAAAACACCAACACCCACGGCACAGCCGTAAGCAGCGTCCCCACGCCCCCAAGCAGACTCGCCGCGCCCTGAAACGTCAGATTCCGGAACATGGCCACGGTAACGAGCGGAAACACGCCGCCCAGCATGTTCCGACAGAAAGACTGGGCTGCGAGCGCGGAACTGGCGTACCGGTGGTAGGTATCGGCGAGGTAGTTGAAGGTTGCGAGGTAGATGGAGTAGATTCCCATGGTGGAGCAGGCTACGGAGAGTGCAGGAACGATCCAGGGGACTGAGGGGAAGGATGTCCACTGTGGGGTGTTAGTGAGGGTGAAAGGGGGGCAGGATGAGAGGAGGTGAGGTGAGTAGAAGAGAAGGAGAAGGTACGTACGCCGAACCAAAAGAGTCCGATTGGGAGGAGGGCGGATTCTATACAAGCAAAGTATAAACGCGCTTCAGGAGAGGAGAGATCAATTGCGTTTCGAAATTTACTAGTGGAAGTTTGGTTCTTAGAACTGTGCAGGAGATAACGTGCTAAGAGACGGTCTTGGTAGATGGAGAGAACGGTAGCAAGGGTTGCGCCGACCATCATGGCTGCGAAGACGGAGTTTGCTTGTTGGAGGGAGAAGTTGTGGGAGGTTTCGAAGATGAGGGGGATGGCGGCGAAGGTTAGATAGAGGACTGCCCAGGAGAATGCTACCCACTGTTGATGTTAGCCAGAATTTAATCTTCAGTGCGGTTGATGCACTCGGTAAAGGAAAAGGGGGCCTTACTAGTGAGAAGAAGAACACCACCGGTTCGGTAAACAGGAGATGAAAAGGTCGATACACAGATATCGAAATCATCTTCACAATCGACTCTCTCTCCTCATCAGACTTGACTTTCCAACGTATCCTCTGACTAACCATCTTCTCACCATCCTCACCGATCATATCAAACCCAACATACCCAGCTGCTTCCCTCTCTTCATACCACTTATTCAAAACAGCCGCCTTCCGACTTAGTAAGATACTTCCTCTCGTCTCACTCAAAAACAACGTGATACACGCAACCAAAACCCCCACAAAAATAGTCTGAACCCAAAACACCCATCTCCAATTCAAATTCTCCGCTAGAAACCCGGCGACAAGCGGACCTACACCCGTTCCAAACAACGCGGCACCTGAAAATAGCGCCATTGGCGTATTTCGATCCTGTGCGTGATAGAGATCACTCACCACACCTCCAACCATAGTCGAAAACACCGAACTTCCACACCCGACGAAAAATCTTGCTACCAACATCCCGGGATACGAATGCGTGACTGCGCAACACAACTGGCAAACGAAATACAAAATCCCCGCCGCGACGAACACTGGATATCGACCATTGATCTCAGAGAATGGAGCTAATACCATCGGCGCAATAGCAAACCCACAGCAAAAGGTGGTGATTCCCACAACGGTAGCTACATCACTTATCCCCCATTCCGCGGACATTTGCGCTACAGCTGGGGAGTAAGATCCTGCTGTTGCGGCGGTGATGAGGGTGGCTATACAACTCAGCCATAGGATGCCGTTTTTCTTGCGTTCGGGCCATTCAAATGGGGAAGTGTATTTTTTGAGATTTGGAGGTGCAGGGGTGGGACCATTTGGGGTTGAAGAAATTCCTGTTGTGGGATGGGGGAGCGTGGTTTCGAATGTGAGGTAGTGATGCTGGATTGGGGTGTTTAGATCCGGGATTGTGCTTGTTGAAGTGTTGGCGAAGGAAGATAAATCGGTTTTGGAGTTATTGTTGGTGTTTGTATGTGATGAAGGTGTGGTCTTGGCAATTGCTCCAAGATTGTCATTGTATGGGAGGTCTATTTCGTGAGTCGTCATATCTAGATGCTATGATAGTAATTGAACATGAAATATTAAGTATCTAAGAAATGAGTGCTCAATGAAGAAAAAGAGACATAGGAAATATGTTGAATTGGAAATGTCAAAAGTTGACTCAAGATTCTGTAGTTCTCCGAATTATTCCCATGAGGATCATCATGTCTAATCCCGGCGGGAATAAAAACACGTGCATGGCTGCTCAATAAGCAGGTAAGCTCCAAGGTACCTATAGGTACCTATAAGGTTGGTTGGTATTACTAGACCAGAAGATGTCCATTGGCAATTGCGCAATGATACATCAGTATCCAACATGGCACTAGTGATGGTATGCAAAAAGTGACAAATTCGACGAGAAAAACGACGGCAATTCGCTTACGAGGACTTGAGGATAGTCACGTGACATGTCCCCTCTTGTAAGGCGACACGGGCAGTCTCTGTGTTCGTAGAGAATGCTGAAACGTAAATTAGTAGGTAGGTATTACTTAAATGGGGGATTCGAATGTGAAATTCCTGAAAATGAGATACTTAGACTGTAGTAAGAATCTCGAATGCTAAATTGATAGGACAAAAAATGAGAGGAAAGAGACAAGTGAACCAAGTAGCAGCCATTTTTGCTTTTTCAAGCCTCGTGGCTGCCAAGTAGTTAAGAACTGTGGGATAACCCGTCTTTAATGAAACTTTGTCTTATCAGTTGCCGAATGGGTTTAACAACGGCTCGTACAAGTATGTCCTTACATGTACTCCACAAGAAGTCAATATCTTCGGGTTTTGATTATTTATAATCAGCATTGATTATACTGGCCAATGCGATATACTCGCCTTCTCGTTCCAGCCTTTCCTAACGGCTACTTGCTTATACGCGTGTCTTATCCATATCCAAGCAAATTCAATGGCCAGCCAAGTGATTTCTGATCAATTGTAGTATTGATAACAAAGAAATCCCAAGAAAATGAAGACGTGCTAGTACTAGTCCTCCTTCCGGAATGGTCCACCCTCCCTCTAGATGACGTGATCGCAAGGCTCCAAGGCTGGTCAGAATTGGCCCGAGAAGGGATTTGATGGATGGCGAAAAGGCTTGAGCACACCATCGTCGCACGACTGAAATATCGGACAACCAGCAGTTTTCTTCTTTTTTAAACAAACAAAACAAGACACAGATTTGAAGATTTCTACAACTTCATTTCCACTAAACTCATACAACAACGCACTCAACATGTCTTCCTCCGATAGACCAGCGCCGTAAGTATTTATTTTCTCTACCCCTCCACGACCCCGCATTGAGCTGAATGCATCGACAAAATTTTACGCCTCCAGATGCGCAAGCAGCGCAGCGAACGAGAGCTTGGAACATGTCCAATCGTGCATTTTCGACGCATTGAAGCATCGACCTCAAGATTAACCAGCAAATGCTATCGTTTGAAAGTCTGCTAATAGTTCCCTCCCCAGAATCCGTCTCGGCACCATCGCCCCAAACTTCGACGCCGAAACCACCAACGGCCCCATCAACTTCCACGACTTCATCGGCGACAACTGGGTCGTCTTCTTCTCGCACCCAGAAGATTACACGCCCGTCTGCACGACCGAGCTGGGTGCTTTTGCAAAGCTCGAGCCAGAGTTTGCCAAACGCGGTGCCAAATTGATCGGGCTGTCTGCAAACACCATCGAGTCGCACGGAGGATGGATCAAGGATATCGCGGAGATCTCGGGGAATAATGTGAAATTCCCAATTATCGGGGATAAGGATAGGAAGATTGCTTTGGCTTTTGATATGTAAGTTCTAATTCTGCGGGCCACCATACCTCTAAAACAATGCCTTTGCAGAGAGAATAAAGGAGATTGATTGACTGACTTCTCCAGGCTCGACCACCAAGACACAACCAACGTCGACTCCAAAGGCATCGCCTTCACCATCCGCTCCGTCTTCATCATCGACCCCAAGAAGACCATCCGTCTCATCCTCTCCTACCCGGCCTCCACCGGCCGCAACACCGCCGAGGTGCTCCGCGTCTTGGACTCCCTACAAACCGGCGACAAACACCGCATCACTACGCCCATCAACTGGACTCCGGGAGAGGATGTCATCGTGCACCCAAGTGTCAAGAACGACGAGGCTGCGAAGTTGTTCCCGGAGTTTAGAATCGTGAAGCCGTACCTGAGATTTACGCCGTTGCCTAAGGAGAAGACTTCTGCTAATGTTTGAGGGATATTTTGGGATAACGTGGTGGACATTTTGGAATCGGATGGCGAATCTCCTCTAAGAAATGAAAAATAAAAATATCTTTTAACACTCGGTCACCACTCGTGATTTAGCCAAAGTTCCATGCAAAGCATTATTCCATCCCCAAAACGTGGGATTTTTAAACTTTCGAACCGTGTTCAAGCAATCAAATTCCCTTCCAGCTTACCACACTAGGCTAGCACATACGCAGCCAGAAACTATAACTAAGAATATAATAACGAAACAACCTCTAACGTTTAATTCTTCTCTAAACCAAATCGTAGTCCACGCCCCGTTAAATAAACCTATCACCAGTGTATGTTGACAAAACTGCGATATCTAGCAGTTGTGCCGAGTTACCTTATCTACTTTCAGAGTTCGTAAATACGCAGAGAATTGTTTTATATATGCTAGCCGAGTCAGAACACACTACCTAGTGGTGATCTCGCAAACGCGTATGTTATTATATTTTAAGACTAAAATCTATCTTCTATGATTTATACAATCAAATTCCCCTACCTTCACAAAATTCCCCATTCCCACCGCGTAACCAGCCTTAATAATCCCCCTCCCCCCACTAATCCCGGTATTCACCCGACCTATCTCATCGCCATTCTCCTCTCATCCTCGACATTGCGTTTTACAACCGCTCATCTACCTCCCCCCAACTCGCAAATCGTGGAAAAGCTACGACGCTTCAGCAGTGACAAAGCCGGGGTCTGGTCGAACGAAATTACCATAACGGGGATTGTGTGGGATGGCGAGTTCCAAAGACACGAATGGTGTGAATGGAGAGGGTGGACAGATGGGAGAGGAGGATCTGGCTAAGGTATGAAAAGATGCTTCGTTTTTCACTTTCTTCCTTGATTCCTCTTCTTTGATTTCAATACGACACCAGCTTCTTCTTTTGTTTTGACATCACCTCGTCTACTACCTCGTATCTCGAATCATGTGTTACGACATTCGTCCAGTAAATTCCGAGAACTGTGTATTTTCTCGCGTATGATGAAAGCATAAGACTCGAATCGGGATGATTGGATTTTTAGGAGGAAAGGATTATGTTGATTTAAACAAGAAGCTAATGATCTTTAGGTGTGGAAGGATTTGATGAAGTACGTCCGTTTACCTCAATCGACTACTCTACTCTATTGTCTCATCCCATTATCCCCATAACCCTATCTCCTACCCCTACTCACTTCTTCATCCTTCCTTTCCGCAACCTTCTTCATCACACCTAATCCATTCTTTGGCAACCACCTCTCATCTCACACTAACAATACCCCTCGAAATAGAGGCGAGAAAACAGCCAATATCCTAGAATCAAACCTCACGTCGCTAGAGAAGAAAATCGATGATTTGTTGGCGAGTTTCGAGGAGCAGGAGAAGAATCTTGTCACTGAATCAACGGGTACGGATGGAAGTGAGATGAGAGAGGGAAAGGGGAAGGTTGGCGATGAAGGGGGTTTAGATGGTACGGAGAAAGAGGGTGAGGTGGGGGGGGAGAATGATGGGAAGGAGAAGTAGGGAGGGAAGGAGGTGGATGGGGAGGAGAAGAAGTAGGGGAGGGGGAAGTGTGAGATGAGGGAAAGTGAGAGGGGTGTGAGGAGACAGTGGGCGGAGGGAAGAGGAGTAGAGATGTAGGGATGAAGGGAAGTGTAATTAATTAACGGAAGGGAAACGAATCATAAACATGTCAGAAGAGTAGAGCTATCCTATTATTCTAGACGAAACAAGGTCCCTCAATGAAATAAACAGCATAAACTCATTATACATCCAAACCATCAAAGGCACAAAACCCATAATCCCTCACCCTCCCCAATCCAATCTTCTCATCTCTTTCTCACCTCACCTCACCTCACTCACTTCAAACCATCCTCTCCTTAAACCCCCATTCGACCACCTCCTACCCCCCAAGACCTTCATTGACACATCACCTTCATCCACACAATCACCTCCCCCTTACCTACCCACCACCTACGTACCTTCTCACCCCCCCCCCCCCCCCCCCCCCCTCCTTTCCTAAAAAAAAGAATTCTTAAAAAAGCCTCAAATACTCAAACCCATTCTTCCTCTTTCCATCCTACTACGACCACGAATGTCTCGCCCAAGAAAATTGAAAAAAGATACTTCCCATTTACAACTTCATTTCTCGACAAAGCACCGTTATCAGGCATGTAATCTTACGATTAGGAATTACGTAGCTGTATAATACCTAAAACTTATTTCGAAAAACACCAGACAATCTCGTCCCCAAAATACTGTCATCGGGTGGTTTTCTGGATATGGTGGAGTGGTTCGAGTAGCACAATGGAATTGGAACTGAGTCTACAATAACAGTACAAAACACACACACACACACACACGATATTATAGCATAGGTAAAAAATATCATCATATTTTAATGCGCCTAAAATACATAACCGCCCTCTTTTATGTCCGGGCAGATTACCATCCCCATGCTTCAAAAAGATTCTCATTTTGCTTCTCTTCGGCTCGCTAGTATACCATGTCATTCAGAGACAATACAAAATCATAATTGTGATGCCTATTCTCAAGCTCATTTCTCTGCTCAACAATTCATTACACGACCATATCTATGACGTGCTACGGGTAGATCTCTTATTAATCTGTTCCTTGGCTTGCTCAGTACCTGAAGCAACTGCTTCAGCAACCTTGTCCTTAGCATCAATGGCGGCGGCCTTTGCGTCTGCGGCTGCCTTCTTGACTTGTGGTGGTGGGGTAGAACCTCCCATGGAGACAACACCAATGATGACAGCGAGGAAAGTGATGAGAACAGCGGCGAGACCACCTGCGGCTTCTGGAACGAACTTAATAGCTTGGATAGGATCGTTCTGAGCGATAGTGAAGAATAGGTCAAGCTTTTCTTTGATGTAGTGGACTGGGTCATCCATGAAGACGAGGTCACTTGGTGACTTGATTGGCTTTTCTTCTTCCTTTGGCTTATCCTCAAGTTCAAGCAATTGTTCAATTGGGTGCTTCTCGTGGAAGGTCTCTTGAGCAAACTTGGCAGCATCCTCAACAGAGTGACCAATGTAGATGTTGTCGAATAGAATATCCTTGTCCATGGTCCAGAGCCTGAATATGTTAGAAGAGGTTTGGAAGGGAAATCGATTCAACTTACTCAAATCCAACAGCGCCCATTGGCTCAAGGTTGGAAGGTGTCTTGTCCTCGTAGTAGTTGGGGTTTGCAATCTTGCGTGGAGCCCAGACACCCTTGTACTCTGGGTTATCAATCAAAGGAGCGGTCCATTTGCCCTTGTATTCCTGGGATCATATTAGTGTGTTATCACGTGATATGTTAGATTGTGACATACTGGGTTTCTGATCATTGGCTTCTCCCATGGCCCACATCCGGAAACATCATCGCAAGCAGGGTCTGAATATCAGGTTAGCTTGGAATCTGATTCAAAGTTGATTTGAACTTACTAGGAATAGTTGGGGCGACCCAATCTCCATCCTCCTCCTCATCCCAATCCTCTGGCATCTTGCTGCTTGGGTCTGGAATGGTCAATGGAGTATCCTCCAACCAATCAGCTGGCTTCTCAGCACTCTCATCAACAATCTCAAATGGAGCGTCCTCATCCCAGTCTGCTGGCTTTTCGGCCTTTGGATCTGCGATTTGTGGCTCATCAACCCAGGTATCAGGCTTGGAATCCTTCTCATCATCAATCTCCTTTGGTGGGTTGAAAGCTGGCTGGAAGTCCTCGAGAAGGTTTGCCTCCTTGACTTGTTCGTCACCTTGCTTGATAATAAGAGTGTTGTTTGGGTGGATAATCAAGGTGTACAATTCGGTGGTCTTGACGATTCTTGCGGCAGGTGGGGAGGAAAGGTGCTTCTCCTCGTATTCTCCAGTCTTTGGGTTCTTGTGGTTGATGATAACGTGGACCTTGTTGGTGGAACCACACTTGTCTGGACCGAACATGATCTGCGGAAATACCGTTAGTAGTTTTCTTCATGTGCCGTCAGAATGGCAGTTAATTGGAGTATGTTGGTGTACTTACGACGTATGGGGAGCTGTTTGAGAACTCCTCACGGTGAAGCGCCTTGTTGTCTCTCAACCTGCAACATGTCAGTCTCAATCCGAATACCAAAGGTCAAATGCGAAGAAAGTAGAGGCTGGCGTCTACACCTCACCTCTACTTCCAAAGCAGATTATCCAGTACTCACAATTTCAAGTAAGCTCCACCACATGAAAGTCCATTCTGCAACTTGACTTCGTATTGTACAACAAGAGTCTTCTTCTTGTTATCAATCTTCTTGTCGAATTTAGCGGAAATAGCGTGATGGGCTGCAACATCTTTCATAACAAGTCCCTTATCACCTTCCATTCCCTTGTATACGGTTGGCTCTTCGACCGCCCATTTTCCAACATATTCCCAAGCTTCGTCTTCCTTTTCGCTGCCCTTGGTATCCTTCTTGGCTCGCGATTCTTTCCATCTGGAGAGATCATCGAACTGTTCCAGGAATGGCGCCTTGATCTTGGAAGGCTGGAAAACAGTTAGCGTGAATTCAGCAGTTTTGTAAGTGGTGGTTGTGGCATAAAACCGAGGAAGTCGAAGCTATGTGGCTCATCTGTTAAAAGGATAACTTACAGTGTATGTAGGAAGCTCAATTGCTGAAGTTGAAGTAGCAGAAGTAGCTTCGCTCGCAGCACTCGCAACGGAAGAGCTGGCGTCGCTCAAAACTGATTGAGCATCAGCGCGGACTGACCCTGCAAGCAGAGCAGCTGCTGAGATGGCGGAGGCAGCGTGAAAGCGCATGTTGGGCAATTGGTATTGGGTTTGGCTACCAGAGCTGTAGATGAAGACGACAAAGACAAGAGGGAGGAATAAGTTCAAGAATTTCCCGTCGGTGAAGCACTTGAATTAAGTACGTGGGAACAACCGAGCTTTGAGGACAGTTCTAGAGGACACCGTGGACGTTTCTTTGCACTTCTGAGGTTCTCCGCAAAAGCACAGACCAGGAGCTTCACGGGTGGGATGGTTGAAGCCGAGACAAAAGCGGCGAGTATTTCCGTGGTAATGCTTCTTTAGTTTTAGTTTTAATAATTTATTTCTGTTTATTCAATCGTCTTAAAACAATTGTGTTTTGAATCAATCTAAAGGAAGCAGCTAAGATCCTGTGTCTAGCTTAAAAAGCTTGTGCAATGCAATCCTTCCCGTTAGCCTTAAAGCTGCTTCTGACGGTGGATGGAGGGGCTCCTCGCATCTAACACAACGAATTGCTCTTGGGAAGTGAAAGATCTCTGATTAAAGATAGTATTCTAAGTTAGGTGAATAAGGGTGAATTGTGTTTTAGATCTCTTTTTCGCTTAAAAGTCATGTTTGTTTCTTTATCTTTTCACTCTCGAAAGTGTAGAAATTCCCAAACCGTACTAGATGGTTCGCCTGTGATACTTGCAGCTTCTTAAATGTAATGAAAGCCGTAACCACGTCTTTCAATCATGAGTTTTTGGGAATGAATTTCCCATATCTCAATAGCGCATTTACTTAACTACATATTACATGTAACATGGACAGCATTTACATAGACGAACCCCAACCTCTCTTCCAACCTCCTCCACCCTCATTCGTACCACTCGCCGCTTTTCCTCCACCTCGCAATGACCCTGCCACAGAAAAAGCCGGAAGCAAGCTCACTTGCCACATTATCAACTTCATATGTTTATCTCGGATCGCTACATTTGGCTATAATATGATGCTGCGGCTCAATACTTTTCCTTATTATCTTATTCTTATAGCCTGCATTTCGGCAATGCGGTTTCTTCGTCTTTCCGTTATTGTAAGATCTTACAATGCAAACTTCTATGAGGTATATGTACCTATGCTATGGTAACACTTGTTTGCATCAAGCCAGAGTGGAACACCAGTCAATGGTGTGACATTGAATGCAAATGACTGTGCATAGCAAGTGCTACATGCAATGTCACCGATGTACTCGAGTATGGTCACAGAGTCGTCTTCGCGGTAGGTCAATTCCAGATCACATGAATCGAAGCCGTACAAAATCCATGTTCTCTTTCTCTCCAGATTCATCTGCCCCACCTCCGGCTTCCAGCTCAAAATACTTGAGCTTCAGGATCAAGCTACCCCGCCATATTTATTTTTGAGTCGCAATTTCTCAAGACAAAAAAACAACCACTACTCTTCCTTTAGCTGGCATACACAGAATGACGGAATCGAATAATAACGACCATCTGGTCAAATCAGACGACAGTCAACATCCCGCCAACCTCATCCCAGAACTCTGCAAAAAGTTCTGGACGCTTGGATGGGTGACGGGAACTGGCGGTGGTGCATCGATACGTGATGAGTATGCGACCTCCAATACTGAGCTCAAACCAAATCATCTGACTATTCACAGTGATCTCGTATATCTCGCACCTTCTGGTGTGCAAAAAGAACTGATGAAGCCCGGTACGACATCCTCCTCGAACTGCAACAAGCGCCTCTAATTCTCCTCCCTATAGAAGATATATACGTCCTCGAACTTTCAAAACAACTCGATCCCAAGCAAAGAATTTACCTCCGATCACCACCCTCCCTCAAGCCATCCCAATGCACACCCCTCTTCATCGCAGCCTTCACCAAAAGAGGCGCAGGATGCTGTATCCATACACACAGTCAATGGGCCGTCCTAGTCACCCTCCTCCTTGAGTCGCAATCCAACAAAAACCTCTTCGAAATCAACAACATCGAACAGATCAAAGGGTTCGGAAAAGGCTACCAAAAGCAAGGCGCGCTGGGATATCATGATACGCTGCGGATACCAGTGATTGAGAATACACCACACGAGGAAGATCTGACGGAGAGTTTGGAGGTTGCGATGGATAAATATCCAGATACCTATGCGGTGCTGGTTAGACGTCATGGCGTTTATGTTTGGGGTGAAACGGTGCATAAAGCTAAGACTCAGTGCGAGAGGTGAGCTCAGACCTGGTCCGGAATTGAATTTCTGCTTTACTAATAAATTTTTAGTCTGGACTATCTTTTCCAACTTGCTGTAGAGATGAAGAAGCTTGGTTTACCGTGGTTGAGCGATATTGCTTGAAGATACTGTTAGCTATCCTTCTTCCCTTACCACTAGAGATATCCAGAGATTTAATCAAAAATACCATTTATCTTCTGTCTTTTATTCTCTATCTTACAGCACAGTCACGGTCTTTATATCCCCCATTTGATCCTCAAAGTCCAGAAGAAAGACTTTTCCAGGTATCCCCCACCAGTGGCTGACACAATTATTCTCTGCGCAGTCCAAAATCACAACTAAGATTTTATTAACACATCATTTTTTTCAACATGCAATTTTCTCTTAGACTATAGCCTTAGGCCCGAGGACTATCACTGTGATCTTAGATCTCTAATATAAGGTTGTGGTGTTAAGTTTTTCATTCGTGAACATTTGGGGTGCGCAGAGAATTGTGTCGGACACTGGTGCCCTGTTTCTTCAGCAAATTTTGGTATAAGAAAAACTTATAAGATAAACCTTCAATCCAAGACTTCTCTCAATAGCTTTACTTACATACACCAGGCACAGCACCAGAACCTCGATCAACGTCCCATCGCTGCCGCCAACGCCTAATCAATATCCGCACCACAACTCGCAATAAGCACTCAATTTATGAATCCTCCACCTTCTCCAACCGCCAACTCTCAACCCTCTCCCACCCCCTCGGCCACCACTTAAACTCCAACCTCTCCTCCCCCCTCATCACACCAACCTCCACCACCCCCTCAAACCCATCTCCCATCTCCTTCCACACCACCTCATCACCCTCCCTAACCCCCGCAACCTCCGCTCTACATCCCCCCTTTAACCCCTTCACCACACCCCCCTCAAACGCTTGCCTCTCCATGCCTAACTCGAAAACCTCCTGTTGCACAGGTACGAGGCGATGAGATTTCGCGCCAAATAACTCAACCGGGAACAAAATCGGAGTGCCCTCGCACATCCGCTCATACCGTTCCCGCGGCTCAGCTCCCATCAACGGCGTCAGACACCTAATGAACTCCTCGATCCCCCAGTCCCTCCCACCAGCCACAAGCGGTTTAACAGCCAGATCTTCCACCGGTCTCTGTGGCGGCTTCGTCACAGGCACCACTTTCCTAGCAGCAAGATCAACAGAAAGAACATACGCCCACCCCCTAACCCCCGCATGTTCGTGCGCATCCTTATCTCCCTCCTCCTCCGCAAGCCGTAAAAGCCGGTCCATACTCACACGCAGATACGGACTCGTATAATACCTCGCAACCAGCACATTAACCGTATCCTGAAAATAGCTCCCATCGCGCACCTGGCCCGGCGGGCGGAAGGGCAGGTAGATGGATAAGAGATGTTTGATGCCCTCGCCTAGCCAGGAGGGGGGCAGGTAGGGGTGTAGGAGTGAGTGCGTGAGGCGGCGGATGAGGGTGTAGTCGTCGATGAGGTGGATTTGGGGTGTGTATGTAAGGATGTGGGCATGTGGGAGGGGGGTGGAGTGGGTGGTGCGGGAGAGGGGGGAGAGGGTTGTGAAGGAGCGGTAGAGAGGGGGTGGGGTGTTGAAGAATGAGGCTGTTTTGGTGAAGAGAGGGAAGTGGATGTCGTTGATTAGGGAGATGTTCGGGGGGAGAGTGCCGAAATAGTAGGATCCGTACTCAGAGGGCGGGGTTGAGGGGGGTGTGCTGTTGATGGGACCGATCATGTAGACTGAGTCGAGGAGGACTGAAGCAGGGCCGATTTTTTCGATTGGGTCGGGACCTTCACCGTATGTCCAGACTGCTCTCGTGCCCTTAGGAGAAGCGTCGAGATTCCATTCGACGACTGTCCGAAAATCCTCGTCCCCAGCAATGAGTGGAATGAAAGAGAAGCCAGTGCCGATGATACATCCTTGATCGTATTTCAGATCTATAGCGCTAGGTTGGTCCCAATCTGCCATTTTCTTTCTAGTCGCAGGACAGGCTTTGTAAAATATATTTACATCGCCTGAGGAGTCGCGTGAAGCGATGCAGCTTTTAGTAGTATAAGGTTCGGGGTGTGAAATTTCCATTGGGAAGTCACCCAATTCATCGGTCACTGGCCGATCGGGCATGTCTGTGTCTGTTCTCTTTGTGTGGGCGGTTTGGGATGAGAGGATTGTATCTCCTGTTTTGAAGATGTAGGATTTGACTGATAGTGAGATTGAAAGAGATTCGACATGGTGTAAGTGGTTGAACATTGGTTTGATGGTGACATGGATGATGGGGTGTGTTGAGTTTGACATTTTTTGTGTATGGAGCAGAAGGTTGGTGATGTGAGATATCTTCCGTATCAATATGGCGTTCTCGTACGAATCTTATAAAGAGAACTGAAGGGTTGGTTATCTCAAAGCCTTGAAGTGATGGTAGATAACTCGTATGCTGAAAGAATGGTAAATGGGGTGAACGGCGGCTCTGCTTCTCAAGACAGTATCGATCCATTGGCCGGATAAGCGACTACCAACAGGCTCCAACAGAGACGTCCATTTATGAAAGAAACGTCCGTTTTGGTTGTGAGACAGTAATCTTTATTTGTCCTCGCCAAGTGCCAAGTCTTATATCTTGCCGAACAGTCTTCATTGAGAGGCACTTCCCACAAAGATCGTACACCGAGTTGCAAGACCTGCAGTGGCCAGCGTTAATCATACGATGAAGTGTTGCTACTGATAGCGATGGATGATCAGCAAAAGTGGTTTCTGGTCACTGTCTGTAAAAAGACCAGTTTTTCCTGAAGTCTGACCAAATTCTTCCGGGAGAAGGAAACAGGATAGAAAAAGGAGGTCTGAAGAAAATATAATGAGCAAGAGGTTGAGATAAGAAGCGGATCACTGCTTGAATACGCATCAGTTGAACGTACAAGTCACTAGACCATGCCGTTTCAAAAGCTGGATTAAAATCAAGCGCTTTGAATAGAGGTCTATTGCGGCTTCATGTAAGCGCACCAAGTCGAGATGCACTTTGTGCATACGCCACAAGACGTTCACGCACCCGGTCCATTCAAGAAGCACGCAAAGCCTCGGAGCCTTGGCGCCAGCCTTGAGACTGCTCTCAGTGGAATGATCCTATGGGCAACTCGAACGCTCCGAAACAGACATAGTCCAAGAGAAAAATTCGTGCTTTCTCGTAGAATCAAGCTGATTACTGCCGGAAAACATAGTTATTTATACACTTGCGAGAATGCATGTGCAAACAAGCCGGAACGGCTTCGAAATATGAAAACTGTCATCGAAGACTAACAAACTCAAGCAACAATTGACTCAAGCTTGGATATGTAAAATGATGGAATAGTTGATGATGTTGAGGAAGGACATAAAGGTTGAAAACGATATACAACCGGATGACATATGGATATTAGACACATCACCACCTGGTAAACCACCTTTTTATTGCGAACGAAGCTCTACCGGATCAAATGGGATAGTACTGACTGCAGAATCTGTCCCAAGATAAGCTTGCTAGCCGTGAATTTCGACTTTGCGATTAAAAAGTGTCGATAGTATTTTCTGACTCTACTTTCTAGCAATGCCGGGTCTTTTCCAGAGAATCTTCCCGCAAACATTTTCTGAAACAGCGTTCAAGAAAATCCGATGCTAATGCATCCTGTGAGTAGCCGATCCTGCGTCGCTGGCCATCCTATTGTAAATGATGCGACAAAAGTGGCCTGGTACGGATGAACTATTTCAGTGGTTCAGAACTCCGTCGCTATGCTGCCCGATGCAAGATATTGATTTCTGGATCGTAATCTCTTTTCTAACTCCGTGCTTCACGCCGCAGGTGTAATATATGCTCGAAGCGCTTCTTCCACCTTCCCATCGTGGGATTTAAGTAAATCCGTGGCCTTGATTTTACTGAGCTCGAGTTCTTCGATCTATCAACCAGTCAGCAATTGATTCTTCAAGGCCCCACCAATTGGCGGTCCAAGTGACCTACTAGCAAAGCAACATCAGCCTGGTCAACCTTGACCACCTTCTTGACAGGCTTATTCTCCTCCTCCTTCTTTGTTGAAGTGCCATTGGCGGTCCCCGTACCAGCCAACCTGTCCATTGCTTTCTTCACAGCTTCCTGATCAACATCCTTCCCACCAGCAGCTTCATCATCGCGGGGTGTATCGAGGGACGATAGTGCTGCCGCTGCTTTTCGGTCTTCTGCAGACTTGGCGACTGGGACCTCGTCCTCAACATCGCCTGTTGTGGCACCTTCGACTATTGTGGGAGGTTGCTTTTCTGCCATGATGTTAAATTGCGAGAAGATCAATTGAAATAGAGGTATGATGAAGGTCTGGGCGAAACGCAATTGAAGTCGATTCTGCCGATGAAGAAGCTCACCGCTCTACGACCTCGAAAATTTAAAGTGGGTCGTTCAATGTGCATGTTCTCAGGTGATTTTTGGCTCATTGTTTACTCATGACTTCCACATCCTCAAACAAAGTCGACATCTCGATTATTCCGACTAGCCTGATTCTATCTTTGAGTCTGGCGCTATTTCTGAACTTGACTTTTGTGAAACAAGCAATTCATATAATTCACTCTTCACAAAAATGTCACTTCTTTCAACGGAATTAACCGGCGGGAAAGAGTCACGCTCTGGAAATACCGTGTCCTGGACTCCAAGTTCCTGGAAGTCAAAACCCATCAAGCAAAGTCCTAGCTACGATGATCAAGCAGCAGTCGATAAGTCATTGGCAAAACTTAATCATCTTCCACCACTTGTTCCCTTTGCCGAAATAGATCGTCTGAAGGATAATCTACGAAAGGTAGCCCAAGGAGATGCATTTCTGTTACAGGGTGGTGATTGCGCGGAGCTGTTCGACTATTGCAGTCAAGATGCTATCGAGTCCAAGATGAAGCTCTTGCTTCAAATGAGTTTGATCCTCATTTGGGGATCTCACAAGCCCATTGTGCGCATTGCACGTATGGCAGGACAATACGCCAAGCCCAGATCGAGTCCAATGGAAATGGTCGATGGCAAGGAGATACCTTCATTCCGAGGTGACATACTGAATGGCTTTAAGACTGATGAGAGGACACTTGATCCAGAACGACTTGTTGAGTAAGAGAAATTACCGGAAATCAACTGGAGGTTAACAAGTGCTAATTCCCCGTTAGTGCCTATTTCCATTCAGCAGCCACCTTGAATTTTGTTCGAGGCTCCATCTCATCCGGATTTGCAGACTTACATCGTCCGCTTGATTGGGGTCTTGGTCATGTCCGTGACCCAGAGCTTCAGAAAAGGTATTCCGATACCGTAGAATCTATTTCCGACAACTTGGATTTTTTGCGTGCCACTGGCCACGACACTGGCAGTAGGGAATTGAGCACCGTAGATCTCTTCACAAGTCACGAAGCTCTTCTGCTAGATTATGAACAGAGTCTTACACGGGTTTCCAAATCTCATCTGGATCAGCAAGGAACAAGCAGTGCATCCGCTGAGAAGCTTTACTATGATACTTCCGCACATTTTATATGGGTCGGTGATCGAACACGACAAGTCGATCATGCTCATATCGAATTCCTTCGAGGGGTACAAAATCCAATTGGTGTCAAAGTTGGACCAACAACCTCATCTTCAGATCTGCTCACTATTCTTCGAACGTTAAATCCCAAGGTTGAAGTTGGCAAAATCACTCTCATCACCCGTTATGGTGCAGCAAAGGTTGGAAGCCTCCTGCCAGATCACATCAAGATTGTAGAAAACAGCGAATATGCGAAGAGTGTCGTATGGCAATGTGATCCTATGCACGGTAACACTCGGTCAACCTCTTCAGGCATCAAGACACGTCAATTTGCAGATATTCTTTCAGAGCTTGAGCAATCTTTCGTAATTCACAAAGAGCAAGGAAGCTATCTTGGAGGTGTACATTTAGAGATGACTGGTGACGCAGTTACAGAGTGTACTGGTGGGAGCCAAGGTCTACTGGACGACGATCTATCCCTAAACTATACCAGCTTCTGCGACCCGAGACTGAACGAGAAGCAGTCAGTTGAGCTTGCCTTCTTGATCGCTGGTCACTTGAAACAAGACAGGCAGGATAAACAAAACAAGCGAGTCTGACGGCCTAATTCAATAGCGATCTAGGTCTTTGCATTTCGAGCATTTGGGAAATAAAAGGGCGATTGGCATTTGGAGCGACATAAAAGTATGGCTTTGCTATCTACCTACTGTGTCTATATAGTTGAGGAATCACTTTCGATTTCTACACTAGGGCGACAAATTTGCCATACCGGGGCACTTTGTCGGCAGATTTGCAGTACAGTAAAGGGATGGTTTACGATGAGAAATGAATAAAAATGAGCTTCGGACCAGTTTGATGATAGGGGTTCCTCTGGACTATAATTTTCTTCGACGTTAATTCTTGAACCTAGTACCACGGAAGTCCTCATTGATCGCCCAACGGCTCCCAAAAATACAAGATGTCCAATTCTGGGTTCTTTTGAGCTTTTTTCGTGCTATCAAAGCTTCCAAAAGGGCGCCACAGATGAGCATGATTGGCTGTACTCTGCCTCCACGTGAGCAATCAGCTCACAGAGCGAAGCCATGCATATGGGCTAGATTTGGATCCGTCTTAAGATAGTGTGGACTCAGAAAGATCAAAGCAAGTTTCTTACATGCAAACAGTTTAGATACTTTAATTTTGTTTAAACTTATTGTGTTTGCAAATACACAAGAGTCTAATAGGCTGCGAGATGGATATTGACTCGAGCCCTTCTATGGCTAGAGGAGTTTTAGCTCCCCCAGTCGAACAACATCAACCAGTACCAGATCCACGACCACCACCACCTGGGACAGAGCAGCCTCGAGACTTCCTCGCTCCTCCAAAGCCGCAACTTCACTCACAAAGCTTAGTAGCGAGTTCCCAGGTTCTCACCGATGGACTCCCGTCTGTATCTGTACAATTGGGAGCCGCCGCCTCTGTGTCGCCGATTCCTGCGGCATATCTCCCTTCCGGGTTCAGTCTAGGAACGCCTAGAACCCAATCACTCGCCGAGAGTGAGATAGATGCATTTCCACAGCTAGACACGCCCGATGAAGACCTTGGGGATGATTTACTACCTCGCGTTCCGAAACCATTTCTCGAAGGTGGTACACCATATCAAATAGAGGAGCAAAAGCCTTACAAGCTTACGGTACAGGAACAGCTCGTCACAAGAGTGTCAGAGACAGTGACCAACAAGACTCTGGGATTCGTTGATCAGAGCGATTACTTGGTTGAACTTGAGGCTATTCCCAAAGACGAGATTGAGAGTACAACATCTGGAGCCCCCGGTTCGCTTGGGGAGGCAACTTACTTCACTGCTCTCGCTGTAGTTGCCCTCGCACCCGGCAACTACGAACCAGATGAATGGGGGAAGCAGAACGCTGATGCAGCGATTGGTCGGTTCCTCAAAGTATTGGAGCAGACGAGCTGGGACAAGACCGACTTCCTCTTCGACGGGGAAACATCTCAGGGCACCGAACATCCAATCCGCCATCCCAAATGGCTTGAATGGAATGAAGATGGGCGCAAGAGGATACGGCCTATGTCCAAGGACGCCTTTGGCCCAATCGTTGCCGCTTGCTACTATACATACAACTGCCCCAACAGCTCCGAGGGTGTACGGACGCAAAGCCAGCGCGTTATCAAACGCTGGGTGACATATCTCAGCGAGCACAGCTGGACCATACACACCAACTGGGCAAAAATTGAGTTCGTAAAGCCTACTTATAGCAGTTCAGACCGCGTGAATACCAATGGTAAGCTGGGCATCGAGGCGTTCCTACTTTTGCCTCATGAGCTGTATGCGCTTAAGCTGTGCGCCGAATCTCTCTCGGTGCCGCACTCGATCATCATCCCGTTCTTTGATATAGCTGTTGCCGTCGAGCTCGCAATTCCGATCATCGTCAAAAGCCTCCGCGATGCCCTGGATCATGTCCTCGACTATTTCAACTATAGCACGTCTTTCGATATTGAGCTCATCCGTGGCTGGCGGCGCAGTGCTATCAAAGGGCACTTTTTTATAAACATCCTGGCGCCTGCAAAGACCCCAATACTTGATGCATTCGAAGCCGCCTGCAAAGTGGCATTCTCCAAAAACGCACATATCTTCATAGATCCTCATGCGCGTACTCTTGGATTCGATACAGTCATTCTAGAATTGATCGATGGCATAATTGAGCTCTTTCCAGAGGCTTTGAAACTTTTCCCGCTTGGCAGCGTCCTCGTAGACCTTTTTAAACAATTGCTTCCATGGTTCGATACGGAGGTACTCTCGGAATTCTTTGCCTTTGTGATTTGGTTCCTGCCCACAATCGTAGCGAAGGACTCGGACTTTGGCTACTTTGTTTGGAGTTTTGCGGTGCTGCTCGAAACCCGGCCATCTCTCGTTGCCTGGATGCGTCCTTCCATCCTGTCCATCTTCGCCGCCGGTGCTAATCGGGGCAACCCCAACGGGATATGGGCATGGCTTGCAGATGAAAAGTCAACCGTGATGGCTCAAATAAAGAGGTTCGAAGACGCTCATGTCAACAACTGGAGGTGCTACGCGTACACCAAGAACTACGAACAATGGCTCAAAAACGATGTGAATACGAACCCCAACACTCACGGGCCGGCAAGCTCTCGCCTCGACTATCTCCTGCTTCAAGGTCTGGCGAAAAAAGGGACACCGCCGCTACTTCCAAACGTTCAGCTCAATCTCAAATTGGTGTGGGAAGGGTTTGCGACATGCATCCAAGGCCTCAAAGACGAAGCCTTGCGGCTATTCAACACGCTCGGGAGCTACGAGCGTCAGTTCGTCGATCGAGCTGGAGCTCTGGTGCGTGAAACTATTGATCTGGTCCAGGGTTTCACGCGCAACGTGTGGAAGGAAGGCATCCAGACCAGCAGGTTTGTCCATTCGCTGGCCGAAGGCTTTGTAGAGTATACAGCTTGGACGGTTTCGGGTCTCGCGCACCACATGAAATGGGCAAAGGCGCTCTCGGATCTGAGCCTCAGCTCAGCAGATATCATCCACCTCAAGGTCAGGAATGTTTTGGATGGTTCGATGAAAGTGTATGGAATTGGACGGACGGCGCTCTGACTGATTTCACCAACTACGCTCACACATCAGTGTCTGGCGCTATTAAAGATCTGAAGGATTTCACGGTCATGCAGATCCGCGCTGTTGGAGGAGAGTTGAAGCAATGGGTCAAATCGTCAGGAGTCCTCCTCACCTACATGGTCTGGGCCAGCTCCTCGATCTCTGGCGTAGCAGGCGCAGAGAAAATGATCCTTCACACGTTGCGGCTGAAGTCTGGGCCCCTTTTCCAATGGAAATTTGAAGCCGACAAAGGGCTGACGAGTTTCACCAACTGGGCAGACTCGAGGTTGGATTTCACCGCTGATGTGGGAAAAGTGGTTACGGTAAGTCGATGCTACGGCGTGCTACATTATCCTACACCCCTATCTCTACCTTCATTCCTCCAACTAATATTCTTTCCATTTGCGTAGCAAGTAACGCGAGCCATTAGTGGGAGCCTGAGCGTTGTAGGCAAGGATGGCGAGCGACTCATAAGCAGGATATTATACCTAAAGTCTACCATCGACGGCGCTGCCGGTCTAGCAGACTGTGTCTTGTTCCAGGCCCGTGCTCTGGACAGCTCGATCGAGGAATGGCACCTCGAGCTAGGCGTCCCGAAACAATATAGAAAATGGATTAGGTGCTCGGTGAAGAGCGTAGCATCTGGGAAGGAGATGGTCAAGAGTATTGAGAAACTCGCTGATGGCCGGTTTGTGACTAGGACTTATCAGGATGGTATAGAGAAAAGTGGAATTATACTAGATAAATGGGGGAACGAATTGGAGAAAATTGGAAAGGGCGTTGGAGGTGCTGTGCAGGATGTTGGAGATTCTATTGGCAAGTTGTTCCCAGGATGGCATATCTGAGTAGATGAGATAGTATTTAAAGTTATCTTGCTTCTTGGGTCAGAGTGAGACACAATCAAAGGCAAATGTTTAAGTCAACGATACTGAACATGACGATTTCCGCTGCTCTTTTAGACGAGAAGATAGTCAACTTTTTGTTATCGGCAGTAGTGGAAGTGCTTCTTCTGCTTTGTTTTCCAGATTTGGAGAGATATTATAAGTTGTATTTCAGATCTGAAAAGAGGATATCATAACTTATAAGGTTTTCAAAATGAACTCAGGGCTGAGTCTATTTATTTGCCTATACAAAATGATGCCAGGAGCTCTGAAGACTAGGGGCTGAGTTCATTTATTCAGAAACCACCCTTGGAGCTTCTAACATGATACAGGAAGCTCGCCCATAGGTAGACTAGGATTTCTAAATCGATCTACGTTTTCAGAACTCAATTTGCTGTAGTTGCTAAGATATTCACAAAGGGGCCAAGTAACCCTCACAAATAAAACCATGGTTCGCGTAAGCAACCGAAATAAACTAAATATTTTGAGATAAGATAAGTCGAGACTTGTATATTCTAATATATATAACATAGAAAGAAAAAACAGTGTTGCTAGAAAAACTATGATAGAACATTGTATTCACTTGCGTGAATTTCATGTAAATCATCCGCCGCGATTGTAAATATTTAACTAACTTACGACATCGGCAGTTTCATATCTTCTTTAACTTAATTCAACAAGCCTTCTTACTATGAGCCTCTGTTCCCGAGATTAAGCAAGAGATTGCTTAACCCTTGGAATTCAAGTACCGAATATTCCAACAAACACATTAAATCGTTAAGCATCAGACCAGCCAGCAATGATCCTTTCGATTGAGAGTGTAAGACCTTACTAACCTCATTGATCAAGTTCCGCGTTACAGACCCTTTTTGTACGTAGGGGGAACTACTAAGAGGGAACACAAGATATTCTGCAGTATAGGGGAAATGGCCATTTCTAAGAGACATTACATGGCTCTCTCCTTATAGTGAAGGTAGATAGTATAACAGTACTCTAGATATTACTATATCGCTTCTTTTTTTAGTAAGAGTAGAGTTTCTCTTATCTAGTCTCTCCTCTTCTATACTTCATACCTTTAGACTAATTATATAAAAATCTAAAGCCTTTCAGTTACTAAAAAGGTGTATCAAGGACACGAGTCGCGTAGTCGTTAACTAACAGGGGAAAGGAGCACTGAGAAGGACTTTCGTATTATATATAGCTAAAATATCTGAGGCTAAGATGTGACCCCGGGAAAAGATATGTAGGGCATTAAAGCCTCAATTTAATAATGTAGCATATTGCAATTGATTTTGGCTGATAGGCAAGGAAAGCCGGTCAAAATGGATGGCGACGCAACGAACTACTGCAACAAAACTATCTAGAAGCCATAAATATTAAGGTCTGAAGATCAGTTGATAGGAATCTTCTTTTTGTCTTCCGAATTATGGACACTAGATATGGACTTTCATATCTGCAGGCTTTGTGCGACCACATCCAAATACCTTTAGGATTGAAAACTCGCGAGAGACTTGGTCAGATGGCATAAGCAAATAGCATAAGCAATCTACTCGCCATGAGAAAACCAGACTCTCGGTAGGATCATTGACATTAGCTCACCAAATTTGAATTGAAACAATGGCTTTCTATGGCCGTTGTCGTCATAGGTTTGAGCAGATTGCTTTTCGATGTTTGGTTCAGACAGCCAGGGAAACTGGTTCTTTGACTTGATCATATGAGCCTTAACAAGCTGCTCCTCGGGAACACGTTTTCACGGCTAGTCCCCGAGTGCACTAGCAATAATTTGCCCCAACTGCCCCAACTGCCCTATGAACTTGGCGATTAAAGAACCGATTGGGGGTGGCGTCGGTGAGTGTGTGCTCATTCGAAGGTGACTACGGTATAAATAACCAATCCGTCGACATTGGTCGAGATACCCAGCTTTTAGTGATGTTTCAACTTAGACTCGTGCTCTTCCCATAGATTCTTGCAAGCGCGATGGCCCCAGTGATCCACCCACCATTCGCCAAAGGAGTCTTCAACTGTGATATCGACCTTTTGGACTCTTTCCTCTCTCTTTAGTCCACATAGTACGCATGGTTTAGGGGCCTTCAAGCCACCAGCCTCGAGCTTGACGTGCATCACATCAGTGATGTCAGGGATCTGCAAGTGCTGTGAAGTGTTTTTGATGCTTGTGTTTGCCACAGCAACGGCAGATTTGAGTCTGCCAAGTTGATCTTTCCATACTCTAACGACCTCAGCTGCTTCTCGGTCTTCTCGCGTTACTTCTGCTTTGTCCACGCCCGCCAGTTTCATGCCTCCTTTCCCCCCAGCCGCGGCCTGGCCAATTTTCATAGATTGGGATAAAATAGTGTCTCGTTTCCAGCGTAACTTTCGGCCCGCAACTACTCTAGCTGCTACGGTAGCAATGAGAAGGTAACCTCGAAGAAAATTGACAGTAGAAGGATCCGATAAGATGCGGTTCTTGAGTGAAAATGACTGATTGACAACACCTTTAAACAAGGTTGTTTGGGGAAGGTCGAATAATGCTGGGAAGAGTGTTAAAATGATTGACGGCGGAGGTATATTTGATGGAGGTGGAACATCGTTAGTAGCCTTTACTGGCTTTGTAGTCACACCATCAGCATCATCCCAGCCCCACGCATCAGCTTCGATACCAGAAGTAGGTTTGTTCTTGACAGCATGATTTGTAGACGGTGTTTGCGCAGGCATGTCTGAGAAATCTCCCCAATCTTCATCCTCATCATTGTTGACCACAGGGGAATCCTCATATGGATTGTCGTCTCTTTTGATCTGAGGCGTTACCAGAGACGGCCAGACGGTAATCGGACTCGCTGACGTTTGCTTGTCTGCTTGTTTCGCCGCAGCTACTTGGTTCATAGCAAGGCTCATTTGTTGTCCAAATGGATTTCTCTCTTGGAAAGAAGGTGACTTGGGGGCTTGTGGGTATGGTAGGCCAGGAGATGTCAGATTCGGCGAGGAGAGACTAGGTGACATGAGAGAAGGGGATGTCAAACTCGGCGACCTTAGGCTTGCAGATGCCACAGATGCAGAAGCCACAGATGCGGGAAGCAAGCTTGCTGGCTTTGCTTTTAGTGCAATTGGCCGTTTTGGTTCAGGTGCAATACTGCCAAATAATTTATCTAGTGACTGGGAGGATGGAGGTGGTGCTGTTGGAGGTGGAGGGGAAGTGACAGTCTCAAAATCTCCAAAATCGTCGTCGTCTTCGCCAAAACCGCTGTTCATCTCATCCCCGGCGTCAAACAAGACTTCACCGTATGAGTTACGACTGGTTGGAACTGGTGGGCGGGGAGCGACGTCCTTTGCGATTGGAGTGGGAAGGTGCGGCAACGATTCAATTGTGTTCACATTCCAAGAAAATAGGTCGGGCGTATTTGTTTTAACGATGCCGCCATTATACCCCGGCTGCGCAGAACCAGAGCCTGTTCCATAGTTTCCTGTCATTGGCGTGAAGGCCTGAGATATTAGCTGTTTGGGCGCAGGAGCGGGCTCTGCAAACGCTTCAAACGATCCCCATCCATCGTCCTGGTTTGTGTTCACGTTTGTGTGGTTCAGACTCGGCTGTGTGCTTGATACGCTTCCCCAGATGTCGGCGCTCTGCTGCGTGGTCTGATTCTGCCATTTCGAAGCTCCAAAAGCCGGCTGTGTCGCTGGGATCGCGTCGCTCAGCAAAGAGAGATCGTGTGAAGCTGTAGGAGCATTGGTGTGGTCTTTGGACGGAGCTTGATAAAAGCTGTCAAATTCTGCGAGCAAGTCGGCCGACATTTGGTAGGATTTGAAAGTTATTTGGTAGAATTGGACTACTATTCGATTATTAGAACATTATTGAGCGAATGTAAAATGTAAACGAGGAAGTGAACGGCGTCGCATGCAGAGAGGGCAAGTCGCCTCTGCTGCGCTTCCAATGATAGCAGGAGAACTCGGCTACAGAAATCTCAGCCGGTGCTGCCCAGTTCGCCAGCTCGCGATCCAAGGAATAGGTACGAAAGGTACTCGATCACCTCGTGGACTCGATGTTGCGCAGGTGGTGTTGCGGACGTCAATTGAGCAGCCGGGTTTCTGCCTTGCCAAGGAGCTGCCCAGGTGAATACAAAGACTGATCTGCGACTATCAATGATATGCGTCTTCGTATCAAATTGCTGACAAGGGTTGTGGGCCTTGAAACCAAAGGATCAGCTAGTTGGCGTCCTTGAGAACACCCAGATCCTTCGTAACGGTCACTCGGACGACGAAGTTATGCGGCCGTTGGTGGATTCAAGGTACGAAAACTCCCAATACATGTTGCAAGTGGCTAACCGACCGCTAGGAAGCGCTGGGAAGAGACAAAGAAGCATGTGGCGAGCTTCGATGGCCTCAAGAAGGCAGTCACGATAGGTAGCGAATCTAACCCATGTGTCACGGGTCTGCGCTCAGTCTGCTGGAAGGTATTCGTCTTCTGAAGCCAATATACGACCATAGCGTAGAAAACTAACACGTTGTACAGACATTTTTGCTCTTTCAGGGCACTGATGTCACGAAATGGTCACGAGCTCTCGCTGATTCGAGAAGTGCATATTCGTCGTTAAGAGAACATTTGTTGCGGTACATAGACAACCCAGATGAGGTTGGTTCGGCGCTGGATCCTCTTGATGATGACAAGAACGTATGTTGCTATCCATTGCCTAAATGCTGGGCTGTCTTACCCCAGCCGCTCACTAATACCATTCCATAGTCACCGTGGAATACCATGCGACAGGATGAGGAAATCCGAGCAGAAATATACCAAGATGTGGAAAGATGTATGCCCGAAGAGGAATACTTCCGTCAACCAGCAACACAGCATATCCTATTGGATATACTATTTGTCTTTTGCAAGATTAACCAAGACATTGGTTATAGACAGGGCATGCATGAAGTTCTGGCTCCCATTCTATGGGTAGTTGAGCAAGACGCCCTTGATATGACAAGTTTCCAGAAAGCTGCTGGGAACCAAGAAGATGAAATACTAAAAGACTTGCTGAATCCTTCATATATTGAACATGATGCCTTCACTTTACTCTCCCTGATCATGCGATCAGCGAAGTCATTCTACGAGCTTGGTGAGCCAGAACGTAAAATGGTAGTCTCCTCAGATATCCCCGGCTCGCCCCAGCAGCGGGCTTCACCTATTGTGGAAAGAAGTAAGCGAATTCATGAGTATTACCTTGCTCGGCTGGATCCAGAGCTTGCAACACACTTGACGAAGATAGAGATTCTTCCTCAGATATTCATCATGTAGGGAGCTATGAAGAAGCCTTAGATATTAGCAGGACCTTGTGCTAATATGTTTCGTAGCCGATGGATTCGCCTCCTATTTGGACGAGAGTTCCCTTTCACCGATTTGTTAGCACTATGGGATACCCTATTCGCGGAAGATCCAGATTTAGAATTAATAGATATGGTTTGTGTTGCGATGTTACTCAGGATACGATGGCAGTGTAGGTGTTCTCTCCTCTCTCTCTCTCTCTCTAAGCAGACGTTAATTGTAGCCTAGTGGTAGAAGCAAACTACTCCATGGCTCTTATGCTGTTGTTAAAGTACCCAGCTCCTACTCAACCCCACGGACCTCAGACTTTTGTAGACGATGCTATTTATCTTCGAAATAATTTCAGTGCTGCTGGCGGTGCGAAAATTATTAGCCAGTACGGAGCTGAGCCTCCACTAGTTCCTTCACCCGACTCACGCCCAAATACCCCTTTGGCATTGCCTATGTCCCCAAGGCCAAGATTTTCACGACAGAAATCTCCACTTCCGTCGCCTGTGAGATTTCTACAGCAGCAAGGTGGCGTCGAGGGTCTTTTCCGCGGTGCAGCCAAGGGTGTGCTAGAACGTGGGGAACGTCTAGGTATCAATCAAGCTGTGAGAGATGCAGTAGGAGAAGTGAGGCAAAATATGCAGGGCTTACAGGTATCTCGAGCCAATTCCACGAGGCAGGAAGGTGGGAGATGGTCCCTGGATGAAGGCAAATCGCTTCCTTCATCAAAAGCTTCCATATCAGCTATGAATACGAGAAACAAACAGCTAGCTCGTATGCTTGATCAAGCTATGGCAGAATTGAGAACAGCCTCTATCGCGAAAGAAGTCGACAAAGATAAGTGTGTCGAGGCAATGGATATTGCAATCGCCAAGGTCGATTTTGTCAAGATCTACTTGGAAGATGCAACTATGCCTCTACCTCCCGATTCTCCCCTACTCCAACCCTCAAGTCCAAATCTTGAGACTGAGCAGCCCCAACTGCCACTTCCAGCACCACCACTAGTTACGCCGGCATCTGACACCGCGAAGTCAGCAAAGCCAAGCACATCCACATCTGAAAGACAAAGTTCGAGCAACTCCTCGATGTCGCAAATAGACACGGTCTCTCCTCTTAGAACGGAGGGCGGAGCGATTGGCAAATCAAAAGAAAACACGAAATCTGAGGACTCGATTCAATCCAGAGAAAAATCTGCTACACAGGCTGGTCTGCTGGCAGCACGGCCCAAAGCGATGCCTACACGGTCAACTATTGCACAATCGTGAGTCTTGCGGCCAGAAGAGTGACTTTTTGCAACGCATTACTAACAAACAGCAGTTCTTTCAGTTGGATGCTAGAGCCAGAACCCCATCTAGACATGCCGTCCAAGTCGTCTCCGCCAAAAGCTACGACCCCATTTCAAAAGACTGGGCGCAAGCCTACTTCAGGACCGAACCGGGAGAAGGCGGCATTTTTATTTGGTGAGGAAGGCGGAGAGTCTAGTATGACAAAATCCAGACTCCCATTTTCCAACGATGATGAGGAAGGATTTCATCTAGGTACAATTGGAAATAGCGATAGCGTTAGATAACAGGCGTCTTAGAGGAGATACCCAATTTATACCAAACGGATTCTCTGCTATATTATACGTTCAAAGGCTTCAGTCGATCAGTAATTCCCTTTCGCTGCATAAGGTATCGAGAGACTACATCAGGTAACATGAGATGCAGTGCGCGCTTTATCGCGGTACGAGCAGGTGCATCAAATCGCTTCTCTATGGTGGGTTGTGCATTCGCTTGCGTGTGAGAATGCATGTCGAGAAGCCTTCACGCAAACGACTGGCTGTCAACGTTCCAATCACCTTATATCCAGACATCATTTTCTGGGGAAGAACAGGTGACCGTCAAACGTACCATCGCCAGTCGTAGTGACCAGGATCTCGGACCTGGTAGGCTGAGAACCCGCATGGCTTGATGGTCAAGCATGAGACAGCGGATTGAGTTTTCTTTGCAGCCACTAAACCATTACCCAAATACTAAGCATGATTTCGTGGGGTTTATTGAGGATCTTTATTAGACAAATTCTCAATTCACGGTCGATAGCGTGACTTACCCCTTCCAATTCCGAATAGCAGTCGGATACGTCCCCGGCGCCGAGAAGTGTTGAGATGATGATTCGTTAGAAGTGCGTGAGCAAAGTCACACAGCGAAGCGTAAAACACTGGACGAACTCTACGCCCATGAGAGCCAATTAAGCATCGCAACACGAGTTTGCCAATTGATTTGCTGAATCACCGACCACTTATGTCCATCTGCGAACGCTTTGGTACTGTCTTGCCGCAAAGAGCAGAGCCGAAATGCACGCCTATATGCAATGGTATTGCTGAGGCAGTGAGGAGAAGAAGGCCGGATCCGGAAAAGAAGTTCATGGTACAAGCAAGCCGAGAGGGAGGAATTTGAAGTTTGCAGAGCGAACGAAGATAAATTGACCATTACTTGGTGATGAGACGATTTGGCCGTTTTCGTAGTTGTATTTTCAAAGGTAATTGGCGACCAGAGGTTCGCGACTCCCACCATTCGCTTCGCCCCTGCCCCTCGTGATTGGATTGCATGCCACAAGCACCCCGCTTGCCGGCATCTTCAAAGCTCTTTCCACTCCAGAACTTTTTCCCAACCTCCACCTCCTCCTCCTCGCCCTCGACCACGCATCCTCTCCTCTACTCCATCTCTCCATCCCTTTCCCTTTCCACCCAAATTCTCTCGACTTACGAAACTGTTAACAGTTCTCGTTCCTCCATCCTCCCTAACCTTTCACCCCGCGACCAGCCTGCGCTCGATTACTCAAGTTATCGCGCAAGTTGTCGCGTCTCTTCTCCTCTATCCGACACTACCCACCTCAACCCCGCTACCTCCAGCTTTTTCACCCCTCGCCCGCCAATTCCAACCCAGGTACGTGTAGAATCAACGTCGCACTCGCCATATTGCTGCTCTTCTCGATTCAGGATAAATATCGAGCATTCAAAAGTTAGATGCTAACTATCCTGCAGCAAGTGGCTGATCTTTCATCACATTCTTCAAGAAGTGACCACTCAATTGATCACATTTCTCTCCCCCACACCCTCTAAATCCGACCGCCCAAATAAATAATGTCTGGTCATCAAGATAACCGCGAGGCTGGCTCCAACGCCGATGAGCTCGCTGACAACCTCAACAACCTCAGTATGGATGGAACGCAGGAGCGCCTTGGCCCTGATGGCGAACCTCTTCCCAAGACCGATGAAGAGTACGCCGAGTCTCAACTAACCCTTCGTGCTATTGTATCCTCAAAAGAAGCTGGTGTAATTATTGGCAAGGGCGGCAAGAACGTCGCGGATCTCAGAGATGAGACAGGTTGTAAGGCTGGTGTCAGCAAGGTTGTACAAGGTGTTCATGACCGTGTTTTGACTATTGCTGGTGGTTGCGAAGCCATCTCAAAGGCATACGCAATTGTTGCGAAGGCTCTTCTCGAGGGCGCACCGCAAATGGGTATGGGTGGTGTTGTTGCCCAGAGTGGCTCTCATCGTAAGTCTTCCTCGTTTGTTTGCATCGCTGCACGAAATAGAGAGAAATAATCCGTTCTGACATTTACATAGCAATCAAGCTTTTGATTTCACACAACCAGATGGGCACGATTATCGGCCGACAGGGTCTGAAAATCAAACATATCCAGGATGTCTCTGGAGTCCGTATGGTCGCGCAGAAGGAGATGCTACCTCAATCCACAGAGCGCATTGTGGAGGTCCAAGGCACCCCCGAGGGCATCCAAAAGGCTGTTTGGGAAATTTGCAAGTGTTTAGTCGATGACTGGCAGAGAGGAACTGGAACAGTCTTGTATAACCCCGTTGTCCGCACACAACCAGGTGCTGCCGGAGGAATGGGTGGTGGACAAGCCCTAGGTGGGAGCCCGCGTGGTGATTATGGCAACAACCGTGTTATGCGCACTGGCAACGGGGCCGATTTCAGTAATGAAGCACCTCGCTCTTACAACAATCGCCGATCGGACTCTGATGCTGCTCAACGAGGCCCTCCTACCCACGATGAGAATGGAGAGGAGCTCCAAACTCAGAACATCAGCATTCCATCGGACATGGTCGGATGCATCATTGGTCGCGCAGGAAGCAAGATCAGTGAGATTCGCAAGACCTCTGGCGCCCGCATCAGCATTGCCAAGTCTCCCCACGATGAGACTGGAGAACGTATGTTCACCATCATGGGTAGCCAGAAGGCTAACGAGACAGCCCTGTATCTTCTCTACGAGAACCTCGAGGCCGAGAAAATGCGCCGAAGCCAAGGCAATGCTCAGGACTGATCCCTCTTCTCTTCGGTCCTCATCAAAATTTCCTTTCATGCTGGCAAGCATTGTCGAGGTTTTCCAAGATCTGACTTGCCGCAAGGCTGATATTGATGTAGTGGATCTAAGCAATGATTCACATTTTACTGTGCGAACACTTTCCAACAAAAGCGATGCTTTGCTCGATTTCACGAATTTCCTTTCTTTTCACGTTCATTATACGATACGGATTTTACGACGTTATGGTCATCCGACACTTGCAACGGTACACTCAGGTAGCTCCGACGCAGGTGTCATTCCCTTGATACTCGATACAGACGATTCGACTTGACATTTAATTTCTCGAGACATCCGACATCCTGTCTCGAAATCTCTGCCAATCCGACGTCCTCCCTCGAACGAACGAGAAGCGCCCTAATCTCGTACTTCATGCGGCATGACCCGATTTTTTAAAGTCACAAAATCACGCTCAACATCATCCGTTCCGCTCAACCACATAACCAAAACAAATCAACCGAATCCACCGTGGTCTCACACTCTCCCTCATCCACGCTACATGAGATAGCGCTACTGTGCTCGTTTGACCACTTCCACCAAAACATTGATATCAACAATCTGTCGACGATGTAGGTAGATTTAGCCAATATGACCATTGAACAAAATTTGGTATTTAGATCTCGAGCTTAGTGACGATGAGCCCAGTGAAGTATTTATATCCAAGATCCCTAGGACTTTTTGTCAGCATGCCTCGTAATCATCCCAACACACGTTGCATAGTCGCGAGGCTACAATGCGTTCTCATTATCCTGAAATATAAATCGTAAAACTGTTGTTCATCCGCTTGCAATGCTTTAAAACAACCACCCCTTCCTACAACGCCGCACCAACCCCGCCTGTCCCATTTCCTACACTACCCTCTCCCCCCGTTGTAGTCAGCACCTCCAGCCTTCCGTAATCTGATTACGATTTCCTTTTCATCCAAGTCGCTTTTATCTCGGGCATCTACCTGGATTGAGTGGTGACCCAATACTCTTTTGACCTCACCGCTCTCAATAGATACGCGGGCTTTTCGCATTATCTTCGTGCCTTCTCCGATCCAGATTATGAGTATGAACTTTACGCGGGTAGACTCGGTGTCGTTTGCGTATTCAATGCGGGCGTAGGCGTACTGTCAATTATTATTGTTAGTCTTTGTGCTTTTGTCAAGCAAAATGGTCTGGTGGATTGGACTTTTGGCATTTAGCTCTCCAGTTGGATGCACCGATGAGGGAGTCTTAATGAGAAGCCGAAGCTTTGAAGCAGAGCTATGAATTATTCTGTTCACAGAAGACAATGTGCTGTCATGCCAGTACCTAATCCGAACCAAGCTTGCCCATTTCACCAAGACAAAGGGTCGTGAAAGAGCAAAACATACCTGAGCTTGTGAAGGGTCAAGCTTCTCCGTCAACTCACTCAACCCTCCTGTCCCTGTTGCGGAAAGTGTAAGCTTGTCGCCCACAGCCGAAGCATATGATATTATCAACCAGTTTGTCTCGTCCTTGTCACTACGAACTGCGTCGTACGCCGCTAGTATTTCGGGGCTGTTTGCGCCGGACATGGTGGGGTAATGCGAGGGGTGGCTTTCGGGGTGATCGATTTGGCTGGGACGCAGGGGGCGAGTTGGAAGCTAGGAAATATTGTAAGGGGGGTTTGGAAGCAATTGAAGAGCAATGGACTCTTAATCGGTGTCTGTAATGATTGAAGCTGTGGTTCTCGTCGAGTGGGATGAAACAAGGTTCTTCCCGTGCCGCCAGGTACTGCGACTTCACCGCTTCACCAACCGCTGAAGAGGGAAAGGTGGATGATTATCTGCCGTCCTCGGCATATCTAAACTGGGGTCTTAATTGCAAGGTGGCATATCCAGGAAGCTTTTCCCAACACGCACGAATTCATACTGTTGTTTTCTGATTTCCTTTTTTTCAAGGCTTTCGAGAGTTCTACTTTTTTGTTTCCGTTTTTGGGAGAAAGTTCAAACGCGAATATACAACGGAAAAGTAGATCATTATGGGGAGAACGAAGCAGAGTACGCCTTTGCGCCGAGAGCCCTCCAGCGAGTATGTTCAGGGCGAGGTCCGCGGGACACCTTCAAAGGGTGCGAGAAACATTGGAAATGGGAGATCTAACGGTGATCTGATAAATGGGACGGCCAATGGAGATGTTCTAAAGCCTGCTGTCTCGGCACAAAAAGAAGCTGGTTTAGTACAATTGATCTTCGCTGCTGGTGGTATCTATGGATCTTTGTAAGTCTGCTCACAGTCTTTACTGGCCTTGCTAATCCCTAATAGTTTGACTTGGGCTCTTTTACAAGAACGCCTTACAACAACACCATACGGCAATGCCAACGCGCCTGAGCTATTCAAATTCCCCGTGTTTCTCAACACGGTACAATCGCTCTTCGCAGCTTTAACGGGATATATGTACCTTCGATTCGATACAAAAGCCGGGACTTCACCCGCGCCTGTCTTTCCCAACAGCAGAATTTTCGTTCCGCTCTTGCTCGTCGCTATCACCTCCTCCCTCGCCTCTCCATTCGGCTACGCATCACTTGCACATATTGACTACATTACATTCATTCTCGCCAAATCATGCAAGCTGCTACCTGTGATGTTCCTACACGTTACAATTTTCCAAAAGAGATATCCATTGTACAAATACTTGGTGGTTCTAGCGGTCACTTCTGGTGTTGCGGTCTTTACGTTGCATGCAGGTTCGGGAAAGAAGAAGGCGAGCAAGGCGGATTTGAACCCAGATCGTAATTCAAGCTGGGGGCTTCTTTTATTGGCCGTCAATTTGTTATTTGATGGCTTGACCAACACCACACAAGATTACATCTTCACGGCCAATAAGGGTTATAAGGGTCCACAGATGATGTGCGCGAATAATCTACTCAGCACCGCTCTGACTCTGACATACCTCGGTCTTTCCCCATATATTATCCATACTGGAATTGGAGAGTACTTGGGAATGGATCTTTCTTCAGGAGGAGGTGGAGAGTTTGCTTCAGCTTTAGGATTCATGCGACGGAATCCAGGTGTGTGGTATGATGTTCTTGGTTTCGCAGCTTGCGGTGCTATCGGTCAAGTCTTTATCTGTAAGCTCCTCTTGCCTTTCTATATACGTTAATGCTAACACTACACAGTCTATACATTATCAACCTTCTCCTCTCTCCTTCTAGTCACCATTACTGTAACCCGCAAAATGCTCACCATGATCTTGTCCGTGATGTGGTTCGGACATCGTCTAGTCGGCAAGCAATGGATGGGTGTTGGGCTAGTGTTTGGCGGCGTGATCACTGAGGGCGTAATCACTAAAATGGAAAAGGCGGCCAAGGAAAAGGCTAGGTTGGAGAAGGAAACGAAGAAGGAGCTGTAAATATGAAAAGCAAGATGTCGTTTTAGAATAGTTAAAGGTTCAGATTTTGGCGTAGGCGTTTGAATGGATGGATACCAAAATGGGTTAGAGCTATGGTTTACTGGGTAGAAACAATTAACAGGAGAAACAAGGTTGCTATGAGCCCATATTTCTGCAACAAGATGACGAAATTTAGTCCTGTTTACCTACATAAGTACTTTCCAGGTGTTTCTTATTAAGGCACTGCTCCGAGGCTACTTTTCGACAAGCAAGTCCAGCTCGCAGAGAGGAAACAAGTGGCAGAACCTCCTTATCATTCTGTCGACTTAGAGGATCATTGAGGGCGGGCAAGTACTTTAATCATTAATTTAACTTGATTAAATCATGAAACTTATTTACCGAAAACGAAAGACGATTAATGAATGATACTTTGTCAACTTGACTGAGAAAATGTCGTGTCTCGGCTGCCACATATTTAATCCAGGCCGGAAGTGGTCCAAGCTTCCGCCCTTGCACCCCGGATGGGTCTTTCCCAATGACGGCTGCAGCAAAAAATTCAACCTCTTCATTACCAACATGTCGCAAGCCATAAAAGACAGCTTTCTCGATCTCGAACGCCATAGGCAGCTTCTAGAAGACAATGTCGAGAAGCTTCGTAAATCCCTGCGCCACTGGCAGATGTGGGAAGCTGAGTATGAAGGGTTGAAGGAAGAGATCTTATCCGCAGAACCTACGACCGACGAAGAGCTGCTGCAAATTGGGAACAACTATGGTGGAGAGCTCGTCACTCGGAAAGAGATAAATGAAATTCTTGGTACTGCCTCCAAACGAAGCCCTGCTCAAGTCGTAAATGTGCTCGATCGACGAATGGATTATGTCCAACAAAATGTTTCCACCGTACAGAAACAACTCGATGCCGCGGAACACAAACTTGCAGCAGCTACGGTTATCAGTCATCCAGATGTGAGAAATGAGGAGGGTCTGCCTTTAACCGATATAGTCGAGGAGTTAGATGATGACGGCAATATCATCTCTAGCCATACAAACACCCCCGGGAGTAGTAAACCTCAATTACTGGAAGTGTTGAAGAAGGCCAGGCTAGAAAATTTACCAGAAGGACCCTCAGATCAGATCGCCTCAACCTCGTTGAACTCAAAAATACCTGCTAGCGATGTGAAGAACGTACCTGAGGGCGGAAATGAAGATGTTCAGAGTCGAGTAGCTACGCCAAAGGTGGCGAAGAAGGCTGTAAAATTTGCGGAAGACACGAAACCCGGTCCAAGTTTAGAGAAATCTCAAACAGAGAAAAGAGTTGAACAAATCATGAGCTTGGCCAGGCGGTCGCAGGAGATGCCCTCTGACCCACCGATTATTCCTACGAATGAGTCTCCAGAAGATGCAACGCTTCGTCAAAGCATGCTAAATTATGGCCTCTCTGAAGTAGGATCTGTGGTAGCAGAACTAGAAATCGAAGAAGGCAGTGACTGGAGTGGTGATGAATTTGACGATGATGAGGCGAGTGCTTCTGATGATGAAGATACGTATGGAAGGTCCACCGGACGTGTTGTCGATGAAGAGCTACGTGAACGGATGCGAGAACTAGAAGCCCGACTTGGTGTGAGGATGATGGAAAATATAGGCAAAAAAGCTGATGATATTGACATTACCTCGGAAGGGATCGGACGTGTCTCAATTAATGGGACGGAACGAGGACCAGGAAAAGAGACATCTGAAGAGGACGGAGGTGATGCCAAAAAGTCGGTACGATTCTCTAAAGATATCGATATATCACCTCCTCCCCAGCCGGCTATCTCTTTGCCATCTACCAAGCAGGCACCAATCAGTGATATTGTGGAGCGTACAGCGCCAGTGCAAGAAGTCACTATCGCTCCTACGAAGCGAACATCTCGATTCAAGCAATCTCGCGCTTCGCCAGTTGCCAGCGACGTTGCAGCTGTATCTCAACCGAAAATGGAACTCCCCTCCATGTCGAAATTCAATCTCCCAACAGAGCAAAACATTCAGACTGTGCCCACAGGACCCGAAGGAACGACGCTGGCTTCTACCGTCGTCGAGCGAGATATCCCTGTTGATGCCTTCCCGGCAGAGCCGGACGAATTAGACCCTAATCTTCTACATCAAGAGGTCGCTACGCAATATCACAAGGCACGTAATCGATTGATACACCGCCAAGGTGGCTTCCTGAAGGAAGAGGAGTCTGAAATCGTACCCTTTACGGAGGAAGAAGGGGGACCGAAGAAATTGAGTAGATTCAAGGCTGCACTGTTGGCTAGTAGATAGTACGTAATCTCAGTTATTGCAACGACTTTCTCCTCGTTCCAGCGCCTTCTCGATCTAAGCTTCTCTGCTCTATGCATGTTTCACTCGTCTTTGATATTCAAGTGGTATTGGCTGGACTTTCAGGCAGCAAGGTTCAAGAAAACGTTGCTCGCTAGTTTCACACTCCATCTACAAACTATCGGGCGTCCTCGTACCCCCGTTATTCCCCAGGACTGTACAATCCCAGTGGGAATCATAAGTGGATTGGTGAGCCTTTCCTCCTCCATATACGATACAGTCCGAGATCAAATAATTTAGGGCTCTCTGACGTCTTGATCTACATCAGTGATCTTGAGGACTCGTTTCACCCTTTACATTCATTGAGATATTTGCGGATATTGTGTGCATGCGTGATGGAGGCTTGGTTTAGGGTTGTTTTTTGGGGTCGTTCTTTTGGGGTTTGCCTTTGGATGTTGTTGGAGGCAATGATCGGGCAGGGGGATGTAGCGATGTAATTATCAGCATCACCAGTGTGTTTCAAGTTCAAAAGGGATACCTCATGAAAGGCAGACGTTAGATAGTCTATCTAAAAGCTACAATTAATCTATTTGTTTGAAGAAACATACCATGGTGTTTCTACTAAACAGAGTGAGCATACCTATTCGTGAAGGTGCGTTGGAAAGTCGGGTTCTGGTATCACTTTACTTAAAAGATATCCATCAGTCTTGCAATTCAATGGTGGATTCTGGACTCTTCCAGCTCTCGCTGTCTACAGCTCCTGGCAACAATTGATTCATATGGGTTTAGAATATACTTGTAATCAGATAGCTTAAATTTACGTGTTGAGATTGTTGGGGTGACATTGCCATCCTTTGTGCAGTCGTTCTTGAGCTTATTGTCAGCGAGAAAAAAGCCAAATAGCTAGTACTAGTCATGGCCATCTTTTAACGCGGAGTCATCGATTTGTCAACTTTGTTCCAGCTCGTTGTCAATTGACGTAAAGAAAACACAACCATAACTCCACTCCTTTTCAGATCATTCTCTCTTCTCGTCCTCTGAATTCGGCCTCTTCTATATTACTCAGAGGATACTCAAGGTGCACCAGTATGTTGAAGGTCTGACGGGACGCCTCTTGGCGGTAAATTAGCACCACATTCTGTGCAAAAAGCTATATTTACTGGATTTGTTTGAGTAAATATACGTTATTGTTTCTTGTGATAGGGCACATTACATCTATCGAGGAGTGCAAGTTAGAAAGTCATTTTTGAACATCACTACACTTAATCGTGTCCCGTCAGTCTTGCGACGAGTTGGTGGTGCATAATGTAAGTTACAGTAGAAACATGGCATCTTTGACAGCTAAGGTAATTTACTTGGCCTATCAAATTGAATGAAAATCCTATTTTCGATAGTCAGGTCAGTACCAAAGCTCTCTCTTAAGATGTACAGACTTTGACAGAAAACATGAACTCGATTTCGATTTTGATACAAGTTCGGTCATTCAAAGTGTAGAAGAACATCTTTTGGGTTTGTAGTACAATTTAGGAGGTCAAACTCGAATACTAGAACAGCGACAAGTTCGAAGACAAACAAGCTTTGTAAAATACAACAACTACTAGGTACTATCTCTGCGTAGAAGACCGAGATTTAAAAAATAGACCTGCCGCCGAGCATCAAGTCAAGTATAGCACAATTTTCTTTAGTGCTACCGCACCAAAATAATAGTGATTACTTGAACATTTGGCCATCTCGATATAGTGCTGACAAGATTCTTGCCGCCGAGGAGAATCACGTGATGTATCAGGGGCTTAAGCGAGACTGTGTGAAGTGGAACATGGTTTTGGGGTTCAATTGGTAGGTAGTTGTTAAAGATATTATTCGCCAGAGGTATAACCAAAGATAGGTCACTTCACGGGCTAAGATAGTCATGCTCTTTGCTTGGTCATAGTCTAAGACACGATATGCGAAGTGGTATTAAATATTTCCATTCAAACTAATATAGTCAAACTTCTATAGCTATAAGTCAAGAGCTTCAACTTCTAAACAACAGGCACCATTAACACCTAATCATAGCTTAACCTCCTTAGTGTCACCAGCGCCGTGGTGCTTCTCATCGATACCACGGTCAAGATGTTTCTCATCAATGCTGCTGTGTTCCTCGTCGAGCGAGCGGTTGGGGATTGGAACTGCATCGTCAACATGGACAAAGAACTCCTCATTATCCAAGTGCTTGAACAAGAACCAGAAGACGAAAGCGGAAACGAATCCAATGATAGATGGAACAGCAAAGACCCAGACGAGGTATGGATCTTGGATAGCGTTGGCGGTAGCCAGGGAGATGGCAGTAGTGATGGCTTGCATGAACAGCGAGAGAGCCATGACGAAACCCTTCATGTTCTGAGGAGCACGAGAGTATGCAACTCCGTAGGCTGTGACGTTGATGAAGACCTCGGAAGTGGCGGTGACGAGAGTTGGGATTCCGTAAAGCCAGACAGATAGGGAGGAGACACCTGATCCGATTTCGCAATCACTAGCATGGTCGCCACATGGCGAGGTCTTGTAGACGTAATGCTGGATGATGGCGTATGCGGAAGCACCAATAGCGGCGACGAATAAACCGAAGGTCATTCTCTTGATAGGTCCAAATCGGATGCCTAACTTTCGGAGAAGAGGATAGATACCGTGGTTTAGGATTGGAATCAAGACGATAATGGCCAGGGGGTTCAAGTTGTCCAACAAATCGTTGGGCACACCGTTTGTGGTCAAAGCTGCAGATTGGGCGTTACCAGCGGCGCCCAGACCACCATCGTTGATCTGCTGAATAGGGAAAAAAAGGAAGATAGCACAAGCTCCCATGGTTCGGCGTACGTCTTCGACAAAGTCGTCATCCCAGGTAACAACTCTGCTGTCTCCAGATGCTGCAAGAACGGATGGCTTAGCCCGTTCGAAAAATCCCTTGCGGCCAAAGCCACGAATCCCAGCTTTCTTCAGAGAGAGAAAAATGACTTTGATAAAGTTACCGAGGGCACTTCCTCCGGGAGCGAACTTGATTAGGCGGGGATTGACAAAGTATAGAAGAACCGGGAGCATCAGGTACTATTTCAGTCAGCATTGATTCAATTTTAGACCCTTTTGGACAGCTAGAACGTACGACAATACACGGCAACAAGTACGCCGCGTAGAATCCAACGTCTTTGGCAAGATAAGACGTAGCAACACCGAAAAAGCCTCCCACGTTGACTAGGAGGTAGAACCATAACATGATACTCTCAGATGTAGCCTCAGGATCAACAATCGCCTTGCTTCCATCCTTATTGGTGATAACATGGGGCTTCTTATGAGGATTCTGATCAAGAACAGTTGGGGCGATATTGGCTTTGAAAAGCGCGGCACCGATGGCGAGCATGTACAGACTCAAGGCGAATGGCCCAATGGCCTTACCAGCTTGAATGACACTTGGAATAGCAGAAATGACCATAATGATATGGGCAACACCGCAGATAGCGACACTAAAATAACATTAGCAAACATGTCCTGGAAGGGGGGTCCGTTGTTGTTGGAAAAATGCTTACCCGATACAGATGGTTTTGAACCGGCCAAGATGGGCGTCGGACAACCAACCACCAAAGATGGGACTATTAAGCGAGACGTTAGGAAACATAATATCTCTGCTCAATTAGGGAAACTAACAGTCCGTATGCTAAAAAGGTGAATGCATCAGTCATAGCAGATGCGATGACTGTACCTTTACCGAGAGCGCCAGCGGTTTTTTGGGAACCCTTTGGTGGTGCTCTGATGTCCGTTAGCGAGGATCACTTCCATTAACTATGCTTAAACTCACCCAGCTCCATTTCCTCCGACTGGAAGTGGACCTCTGATGAAGTTCTTGAAGACTTGTTTGCAGCCATAGTATGAAGCACGTTCGGCGAATTCAACGGCGCAGAGGAGGTAGGCAGATACTGGCATGGTACCAGCAACCTTGGGTAAAGTTGCTAGCTCATGTTCGGTGGGTGCGATATGGCCTTTGATGTCCATAACATCGTAGCGACCGGACTGGTTGACATGGTGCTCTGTATCGACCACATTGACTGCAGCTGGGCCGGACACCAAGGTATCATCGAGAGCATCTATTGAACAGGTCAATCATTGTTATGGAAGTAAGGATACAAGACTTACTCATGGTGGCAGCGGAATAACAAGGAGATTGTCTGGTTGAGATCGGCAAAATGCTGCTGCTGCTGTCCCAAGATCGACGAGGGAACCTGCCTCTATATAGAACTCTTCGTATTCACCCAGACCTCTGATCAACCTCTTGCAGGTCAAAACCCTGTCCTATTCCAAATTGGATGCACCCGATTTCTTATCAACCGCCGACATACTTCGTCTCGTGGTCGCAAGATCGATTGGTCCAGAGCAAAGCGTATCGCACTGGATGTGAACATCTCCTCGTTCTGGAAGGCTTCTAGAAGGAGGACCGGTCTGGATGGCTCCAATCAGATGTCAATGGTTAAAAGAATTAAAGAAGCTCAGTCCTACCTCGGTGATATGCCTTGTAACATCCTGATAGTCGCACTATGGAAAGAATGGCTGGCGGTACACCGTCAAGCATTCCTACTTGGCAACGGTCTAGTTGTTCCAGATAACAAGAAAGATGCAGCTCGCAGCTCGCAGGGCAAGAGGGCGTTGCCAGTTGTCTTGGCTTCGTCTCGAACAAGAAGGTATGAAGCTCTCGACGCCAACAACAAATATTCCAAGGCCAGTGAAGTCCGGGGAATGTCTCCACTTGGGAATAGTGTCGCCAAGAGAGCACAGTCAAGACAGCCTTCTTTGGAAGAAGCATATCGCCACACGGAATAAGCCCTGCCACGACTCTTGACTGCATGGCACCAAGTGATCAACAGCTTGACTCTTGTGTCTTGTTGTGTGACTGCGACAACAAAAATCGAGTAGTGGAGAGCGGTTGGTGATCCGCGACGTATACCCAGCTGCAAGCAAGACGCAAACGATGTGACGAATGGTGCGAGCGCGGTGGGTGTTTGAAAACAATCGCGACGCATATTGGGAATATAATCGCGCTCATTCATACTCGAGAAGAGCAAGCGGCAACGAGCTCACTGGACGCCACTCGGCGCAAACAGAAGCTATCTGTCCAGACAGGAAGGTGAAGAAGGTCTACTCGGGAGCTTACTGATTAGGAACCATCCATTTGGATAGCTGATATTGCGATGTTGCAGATGTGCGCTCGGGTGGGTTGGTGTAGCTTCTGGGAACGAACTTTCAAGCACGCTGGCGGCGGGTACAATCGGGCCCCATATAATTCCAATCAGACAGATTACATGCACTTCACATTGGAAAAAGACCAGGATGATAGTACGATACGAATGTTGTCGCATGGAGCCAGTATGATGTGCTACAACTCTGGGCTCTGCTGTACTTGGGGTCTTGTACATTCGCGGAAATGGGAGCGGGAACGAGGGGAGTTAATTAGTGGTGTGCTGCTAGCAAGGGGTTGGGATGAATTGTCAATGCACTGGACTTATTATCCAGAGTGTTATCTCAGGTTCCAGGTTCCAGAACCAACAAAATGACAATCGGCAAACATATCGTTGGTCCCACCAATCGCTGTTCTATAAGTCAAGACCTGCAATACCGAGACTGTGTATACTTCGAAGTAGAGTTTACGGTTTATTGGACTCGGTATGGTTTGCTCCTGAACTTGTTCGCTCCTTGTTTATCGTGAGACCAGTCTTAATAGGGTTCAACCACCAGGCGTTAGCCGAGCTGAAGATAGACGGAGCTTAGGTTTTGCGTACGGGCGCTGGGCGAGAATCGGAGAACCGTTCAATACAGTCCACCAGTGTGTTGCAAGTCTGACGGGACATTTTACTACGGTAGAACAGCAATACCATCCCCGAAACGTTATATTTACTTAATTCCTTTGAGTGAATATACGATTCTCTCTATTGTAGAGGCTATTTATAATAAATGTTGCGGAAGGTGTGGTGGAAAGTCGTTTTCTAAATTCGTTATCATTAGATGGTGTCCCATCGGTTTTGCCATGCACTGGTGGTCGGCATCATTTCGCAATTCGTTGTTGGAAGAGAGTAACACAGATGCTAGATCAAGAACGCGGTAAGCATTGCCAATCCTCTGGGCGTCCTAGCAAGGAAATCAAGCTCCAGGACTCGAGGCTTCGGTCCATCCAAGATCTGTGCTGGTTTCACGAGATCTGCGTCTGCATCATACATTATTCGACCTTCGCACCTGATAAGTTGATAACAATGGACATTTCATTGCATCTCATACGAGCGACCTCGACGTCTCAGCCTTATCCATCCACAAGTCGTTCTCGAGTCTGGACCGTCCTCCTGAACTTCTGAGATAAAGGGATGTTTATCGTTATCCCTGGACCTCTTTCCGCATTCGGTCATGATCGAGATTCCCGAGGTCATGTCATCCGCCCATGATTGGTACTCCTGCCCGCTACTTTTTCATCCCGGTATCCTGCACACTGGCCGCAATACCACCTCACGTCCAGCACATGGTATACACACCAGTTTGTAGCTGGAATTCCCAAGTTTCAACTATTTTATGCTGATTCTGTATTAGATCTCTTGGTTGATAGTGTGCTTGTGGATTTTATCTGGTTGTCGGTTATTCCCCCCACTCCTCCTCCCAACCCGTCATGGAAGAGATAATCGCTGGGCTTCCAAAGGCAATTATACTTTTTCACTTTACCAAAGAAAAATTTCAGCAGCAAGACGATACTTTGCATGACGCTTTATTCGTTTATTTCTTGGGTAGATGCCACTGAAAAATGGTCGGATTGTTCTCTTAGCTTTTGAAGGGTCACGAGATCCTAGCTTCATGCTCCTCATCCTCATGCATCATACACGTATGACCTTAACAAAGGTCTTTTTGAATATGCACTTGGTGGCTGTCTATTGCAGATTATTCACAGCCGGAGTAGGAAATTTTCCCCCATCCAGCCTCTGGAATGTGTTGCTAGGCAAATTCAATCAAAGGAGTTACCGAAAGCGTCTCAAAACAAACGATCAAAGAAATCGTACATTTGCAATGTACCCAGAGTGAGTTATTAAAGAGCACATCCTCGATTTGTCTATATCCATTGGTTTCTTTCTTCACAACTTTCTTGCCATCACTTGCTTTGCATCAAGATTAATCTCACCGATCATATCGAGCCACACAAGATGGGTTCCACTGCAAAAGTAGCAAATGTCATTTTCCGCTTCTTCGCACTGTGTTCTGCAGCTATAGTTGCTGGCATAATTGGGCATGGGATCTACCTCATCGGAAAAGGAGGGGGAAATATCGATTCACGGATCATCTACACTGAGGCACTCGCCGGGATCAGTATCTTCTTCGCTCTGATTTTTTTGCCACCCTTTATCCACGCTTTTTGGGCTGCTCCTCTCGACCTGGCAATCTTTATCGTAAGGCTTCTCTACCTTTACAGCCAACAACTCGCTACAGTATAATCAAGCTAACCATAATTAGATGTGGATGGTATCTTTCGGCTTACTAGAAAACGTATGTCACTTTCCAACTTCTCTCAAGCACGACAACCCATTTCGACGCAATTCCTAACAATGACTTCAACAGGCGAGTGATCGAAATGCTTGTTCAGCCTACTGGCAATATAACTATTGGGGCTATTACTGGGGATACTACTGGAGAGATTACCCTGTCACCTACGGCACCACAGCCATCGCCAATTCTGCAGGATGTATCGAATGGAGAACCGCACTTGCATTCATCTTTCTTGGAGGAATGTGCTGGTTTGTAAATGCTTGTATCGTAAGTTCAGATACATCTATTTCCTAATTTTACGTTCTCGGTTAACGATAATTGTTAGGGTGCAATCCATCTTGCCTCTAGACATGATGAGGCGAAGGAAGTCAAGGAAAGAAAAAAGAGTACAAGTTCTGTCCCTCCTCAGACTCCTCATACTGCTCACACCGAGGCCGATCCTGCTGGAGCTGCACCTGTTCGTGTTCAGGAAACTGTTTAGGAAATATCCGCTAGTCTTTTCTTCTCGTCTGGGATTTCAGTATACCATAGTTTAATAATCATATAATTTTTAATTAAGAGTAAAGTTGCTGCTTATAAATCTCGTCTGTCAACTTTTGTGAACTACTAATGTTATACTGATGCTAGCGACGAGCTTTAATCATTAATTTAGTTATGAAATCTGAGTATTTAAGCCCCTGTACGTACGGGAGTACTTAAGGCTATATCACATACACACCATCTCCAAACCCGCGGAGGACTATGAACAATTTTGCTCTCTTCTATCATTCCCACTCAACTTCATACGGATTGCTTCTTTCTTCTCACAATGCGCTCGTCAAACTCGTCGTGTAATAGAGATAATCCAAACATGTCAAAGTCCAAACCTGCTACATGGTTTACATTACTTTATGGAGATGCTTGATGAATACGCGTCTCTCGATCTCAGAAGACAAACAATAGTTAGAACATGCGATTTCCAATTCGAGCTTGAAGCCGTAATGGTGTAATTTCAGGGTAACACTAGGAGGCATCGTAATCTCTCTGTTCCTTTGCATCATAGTCTATTTTATGTTCTTGATACTCAAAAAACTTGTGAAGTGAGCAACTATTTCACGACCCCATAACATATGTTGCCTTGAAGATAGAAAATGAATGTAGTACCCCAGTCTAAGCATTCAATAAGTGTCTGGCAGAATGGAACAGTCATAACCCTTCCGGAGATGATAGCTTAGGTTACGGTTTTTAGTGTCCTGAGAATCCAGCACAATGTATTCATTTTACTCCCATTCATGTTCGCGAGTAATTCACCAATTGCTTTCGTTGATCCTCTTACTTGAATTTGATAAGCTCGCTTAAATGAAAAGGGGTAAAAAGTTGGCACGGTAAACATGGTTTGGGTTCTGGCGTAAAAAGTACCCACGAAGAGGAGAGTGGAGACGTTACGTTGCTTCGTGGGATCTTAATTATTGAATCCTAAGAGTTTCCAAGTGCTACACCACTTAATTACCGCATGTTTTGCGATTGCTTCACCGCATTAAGAATGAATATGCGATACCGACTGCTATTTTGATTCATACTCATCGTTTGTCACTTTGAGTTTGCTTTTCACTAGAATCAATTCCATTAGACTAACATTTGGACTAAATTTACTTGTCGCTTATTATCTTACGACATTTAAGCTTAACCAGGCGGCTCCAATTTAAAGACAACTGTGTATTCCAATATAATATTAGATCCTTTGAGCATCGGCAATCACGCTCGAATCAATAAATTTTGTGAGATCTGCCTTCGAAGTCACTGCTCTTTTATCGCTTTGCGCCAAATATGCGTCCTCCACAACCAGGAAATCGACAAGATCTGATGGTATAGTTCCACTCCACTTGTGGACAGGCCATACCGCCTGAACAACTGATGCATCGACACCAACATTTCCTCCAACCGTCGCATAAACACTTTCTGGACGATTCCTGAAAACATCCAATGTCTGGTTTAATGCTTTCACATAAGCGACAATATTCTTCCTGGTGGCTATGTTGTTCAATTTCTCCGTCGTGCTGTATAAACTGTACACTTCTCGGTAGATTGAAACGTTTTGGAATATGACAGCACTACTTCCCAACGATTTAGCACCAAGTTCAACTGCTGGTTCCCAAATACCGAAAGCATCGATTTTCTTCCCAGTAATCATCGAAGGAAAAGTCCCAGAACCGCATGGAGTTTTCATACACACGCTGCCGGAAACGATAGTGTAGTCGGAGCTTTTGAGATTGGCACTACCCAAAAGCTTGTTGACAAAATAGCTTGCTGAGGTCCCTTGCATTGTTCCGATTCTTTTGCCCTTCAGGTCGCCGATCTTAGTGATACCCGCAGCTTGGTTGGCCACCATACGATATCCAACTTCCACAATGACATAGATAAGGCGAAGGTTTTTGTGGGAGGCGTACTGTTTAAGGCCCTGAGTCTCCGCGTTTGCGGCAAGGTCCAGACTGCTGTCAGTGGCGAGGTTAGCGACACCTCCGCTTGATAGTGTAGCAGTATCGGTCCCTTTATAGAAGTTTTTGATAGCATAGGGCTGTGGTGTATATTCAATCCACTGCAAAGACGTTGCGATCTTAAGTGATATTGCTTGACCGAAAAAAAGAGAGAGGAGTATGCCGAGAACATGGATCCCTTGCGCCATCTTTGTTGAACAGAAATTTGTCGTTATCGGTAGTCAAAGAAATGGTAATTGGGGAAAGGCAGGAGGATTCTTAGTTTTCTCACTCTTTTGTTATTTCATACGTAGATTTTCGAGGACTTTTATATACTTGGCAAATATGTTTTATCCAATGAGAGATGATTCCATTTAAGCTTGAATAGATAGAAAAGCTTGAACTCGTGCCAATGTGCTGGATTACTGCAAGTCCATGCCGGCCACGAAAACCAATAACCATGACTGCAGAAGAAGTGCTGCATGAGTTTCTAGAATTAGCCGTGGGATCTAAAATAACCGGGTGGAAAGGAAGAACAGCAGCAGCCGGCTATAGACGGAAGGATTCATTCGGCAGATATAATTAACGCCAAATTTTCGGCAAATGCATTTTGCTCTGAGCTGATCATTTTTTCAGTAAGAAGTAAGCCTATTTGTCCAATCTTCTCGTTTTATGTGCAGACGCTGCCAACTATTTGGGAGCGCAATAATGGATGTCTGATTAGCGGAACAACGAATTGCAAATGTGACACATGACTCCCGGAACATTTTTAGATGACAGCACGCGATATAGTCAGCAAAGTGTATACTGGTTATGAGAATTTAGACTACTGCTTTATGCTACTATCTCCTATAAATCCCTTCTTAAGAAACAGCATGTCGGCGAACCCACCCGAAAACCCTAGGTACCCATCTACTCGAGAGGGTGGTTTCTTCTTCCTTATCTATATACCGCTAGGGGAGTATTTGCAGGACATCTTCAAATTGTTCGGCTACATTCTATCACATTCAGTCTAGTTAAAGAGAGTCCACGAGTCCTACTATTTTCAATCCCGCACTATATTAGACGTTTCTCCATCTTACCCTGAGACACGGCCTATTGACGCATTACATCATCGGCATTGCGATTCCAGGGAGTTTGTCGAGCCCTGTGTGGTGTTAGTCCTCGCTCATATAAACTCAAAGGCCGAACTTACATCCGTCGACATTTTCGTTCACGGTGGTTTTCACGGCGCACTTCTTAGCCGCCTCGATTGACTGTGTCTTAAGAGTTCCACAAGTTGCTCCCATGCATCCCGATTTGTCCATGGCTTTTTGGAGGGAATCTCCCTTCCAACCGAATACGTAGTCGGCATGTTGGCCAAGTCCAGTAGCATCCCCAGTGCTCAAAACAAATGGCTGGCTACCATCTGTAGGCCAGATCGACTTGTCGTTGAACTTCGTGGTATCCCAAACCACCTCGTACATCAACTGGCGTTCAAAGAGATGTGTCAGCTGTGATCTTTTCACTCTTTCGGGCGGTTTTAATCATAAATTCACCGCTAGAAGAAAAGGGGATGAACACATATGTCGACAGGCAAGAGGACACGAGATGAGATGAGAAGAAGAAAGTTCACAGCTTACCTGCGGTATTCTGACAGGGTGGGTTGCTGGGCAAGCACCACCAAGGCTCAAGAAATTGGCAGGGCCGCCGACAGGGTACGCAACATGGTCCTGGTGATTTGGACTATCGAGATTCTTTCCATCCCAGCAGCTGTATATCACTTCAGTACCACTTCTTGAATATATGAGGTTTTCTTACGTTGGAAAATGGATGTTGGAACGAATACCACCTAGGCATGGCTTAGGGGGCAATGCCTCAGTATCTATCCTATTGGCTTATTAGCTTTTGTAGGATTGGTTGACAAGAGATGACTGACTTAGCATCCATGCATGGAGCACTGGTATCACCACCAAAGTTTGGACCCGTATAACAACGATAGCAGTTTTGTCTCTTCAACGTGGTGTCCTTTCTTGAGCGCTGGTTAGGGTCACCAACGAGCATACGAAATCCCTGAAGTCGTTTAGATAAGTACGAGTACTACTTGAGCTGAGACGCTGAACAGCAGACATACTGGTTTGAAAGCTGTGATCTTTCCGGGTTGTGCTGAAACGTAGTATACAAGAACACCACCGGCAATTTGTGTGCTGAACTTGTCGTTGAATTGTAGACTAGATAAGGTCAGTGTTTGCCCACGTCAGTCTGCATGAAACAGTTTATGACGAGATATGATATCGAGCAACATCAGATTGCCCAGCGAGGTAGTAATTGAGATATACATACGCCGCACCCCCCTGGGGAACACGCTTATAAGTGCCATTACGAGCCTTGAAGTAAAGATTCGCCGTCCAGTAGTTAGAGAAATCTTCGGAAAACTGGCCTACGGGGTCAAATTAGTCAATATCAAGGGAAATGTAAGGAGAGAAGGGGGGGGGAAGAGGTATTCTAAGAACTAACAAGTAGTGCAAGTGGCAACGTTGGAGACATCACTGGTTGTCATTGAAGCGTTGAACGCATTTCCGCCCACAATTTGATGAACGTGGGTGGATGGGACTTGTCCAGGATTGACTAGAGGGTCAATTCTGTCGATAACAATTTGGGGGCATCCAAAACGCAGCATAGTAGTCGAGCCCTGCCGAGTGACCAGGTCGTTCCACTGAGGCATTGCCTCAGTGAGTCCCGCGAGTGCGAGTATAGAGGCGAAAAGCATTTTCGGTGTATTTCAAGACGGTAAAGATGATTTCTTGTGCAAGAGACATCTTCACTTTAAGAGGGGTGTTTTCAACCTTTAACAGTGTAGACTTGAACGCGCGACAGGGATTTGATCATCCCATGATAGGCTTGCAACTGCCGTGCTATTGTGGCAAACGAGACGCCGATGCGTCGTGACTGCTCGAGGTGGCGGATAATATGAGACCACGATTTGCCGGATTAATTTTAGATTGAGTCTCATATTGTTAATATGATATCTACACAAAACCAATCAGTTTTATTTGTATGGTTTTACAAACCCCACATACTCTCAATGCCTCTTCTTTACTGTTACTATTTAAAGTTACCATAATTGAAAGTTTGATGTATCATGTGACGGAAAGAAGGGATTATACCCGTGATATATGCAACTTCCCCTTCTCCGAGATTTTCGCATACCGGCAAGGTGACTACCAGCTGGGGATCGACCCAAAAACTAACCATTCATAACCGAGCTACGAAAAAAACTACTAACGATCATTCTTTCAAAGGGTACTTTCAGTTAAAGTTGGAAGAGTTGGGGCCGTGTTTCTATCCCGTTAAGTGCCGGAAACACCACCCCAAAAAGCACCTTTTGTCATGAGTGAAGCTCCTTTAATCCTATACTTTGATTAGGTATATCCTTTCGTCTTAGTGCTGTACTCCACAGGTGTTCCCTATCGCACTTAATAGGATACAAATCGCCTATAATCTGTATAGGAAAACCGGCTTTTTGCGATTTTGGTCAACTTTGCGTATATAGAACTTTCGACTCCCAAAAGACAGAAATTCTACCTTTTAGTATTTTGAGTAAATATTATTAACCTACTATATAACTTAATTTTAACAACGTATAATACATACAGCTTGAGTAGTATAGCTTTTAAACCAGGGTGGAAAGGTGCTTTTTTATTGCAATTCGCTAAACCTGCCGGAACGCTGTGGCCCCAACTCTTACAATTCAGAATTCACTTAATTCAGCAACCGACTACTAAGTATGAATGAAGGGGCACCCGTATACAAAGCGAGCAATTATTGAGGCCTTGATAAGCCAAAAGTAGCTCGTTGTGACTCCTTAACGAGGTCGATCAGCTTGTTTCTATCGACATTCAAATGCCAACTTCGGTAGTTCTCAGTTTCCTTTCGGTGGCGCAGAGAGAGAGCTGCATATCACAGTTTAAGTTAGCTGCAAAGGTGGCGACCAGAGGTTGCCGAACGAACCGTTCTATTTTCACTGAAAACAACACTCGTGAAGAGTGACGCTTATCATTGACGGCAGCACTCAATAACCTCAGCCGGTATTGGGCTACTGAAATTCCAAAGTACTGGTAACTTCTCAAAGTCATTGTAGGATTTTGGGGTGACAATTACGAATCGGAAATTACATACAATGCTTGTACCAGTTTATGCTCGACCATTGAGTCGCAACCCAGATCAACTTGACACAACTGAGAATGTAAGTTGCTTCGCTCCATGGGTGTCGTTAGTCAATGCAAACTGGGGTGAATTGAAGTTAACTGTGGTAGCGCTATATTTTACACTCAAGTCGGTCACGATCAGTTGAATGGTAAGCGAAGACTTCACGTAAGGTCTTCACGTAAAACTTCAAAGAAACGCGCATACTATGTAAGCCTTGTCACTACATAGACACTCGATTACAATCTGAACTCAACCTCGCTCTCTTCAACCTTCGCACCACCGTTATTAAGACAAGCCAGACCAGGTGTCTCAACGCCTGCAACCCAAGTTCTCGCCTGCTGTAACCTCCAATTGCACCAAATTATCTGTCACTTTCATTCGGCTCATCAAACAAGCTCGCCCACCAGAATGTCTTCCCTCGCCGCTACTCTCGGTCTCCGAGCTCTTCCTTCGCCTTATTCAACCCCAAACTTCGCTCCCGCATATCTCAGTTTCCATTTCGTATTTGCCTATTGCGTTCTGGCCCCACGACATCTCAAACAGATATATGGAATCGACCATAATGTTTCGCCAAGGGAAGACTTGAGCCGCTACGGGGATGCAGCTGTGAAATCAGGCAAGATTTCACAGGGATTATTGAACATGATGCGACGTAACGAGTCTACACAAGCCAACTCAGTCGAAAATTACATTCTGTTTGTCGGTGCTATGAGCTTTGCTTCCTTTGCGGGAGTCAAGCGGGAGTCAATCAATCGTGCTGGCCTAGTGTACACTATTTCACGAGTCGTCTACGGCAGTGTATACATCTTGGTCGATCAACCGGCTTGGAGCTTCCTGAGGAGTGCTGCGTGGTGGGGTGGTAACATTAGCTGTCTTTGGTTGATGCGTAAAGCGGGCAAGAAGTTAGGTGCCTAGAGAATTAATACGCACTAGAACTTAAGCAAAACAATTTACACTCTTATAGATATTGCAGAATTCGTTAATTTTTAATATTTCCTCTACGTAGTAGCATTATCTACTACTTTACTATAATAGATTAAACCTAAAGAGAGTCCTAAAAGTATTAATAGTACTAGCAAATCGTGCATTGACTGCTTCCAATACATCCACCATATTCAAAGCTTTGGACGGGACTTCGGATTCTGAAACCCAAAGCCGCAGACGTAGAGTTCACCCGATAGGGAGAGGCCTGAGTAAGCTTGACGAACCCTTGGATCCTGGCGCACTCTTTAAGGAAGGTTCGTGGGATGATAAACAGAGAAGGCATCAATGAGGCCAAGAAGTGGCTAGCTTTAATTCTCGACGCATTTGACGGCGCTGAGAGTATGTCTGTCAGGTTTAAAATATCACACGAAGACGACGAGCCTGAATTTGTGGAAGTCACAGACAAGAGAACCAAGCTAGAGAACACGCAGCAACCAGTGAAGAAGCTGGTCTTCTCCCTCTATAAGCTCAGAAAGAAGCGACAGCGAACCGAGACTCTTGGGCGGAAGATCCAATGGGCATTGTATCAAAAAGATGATTTCGATAGCCTGATCAAGGATATGTCTGGACTTGTCGAGAAGCTCGTGAAACCATTACCCACCCTTCAGCCGGAACAAGCACAATTGTGTAAACAAGAGGTGACGGAGATCTAGCCAGAAACATTCCCCATATTCGTCAAAGTTCTCGAGGGCCCAGATGAGCTTCTCAATCGCGGCGTTGTCGAGGAGGTTCGAGTGAATGGGCACAAGCTGGAGGGCGCAGTCATTCCGAAGGGGGAAAATAAGAACTCGGTCGGTGATGATCTCGAAAACAATCCTGACACTTTGGCGGCTGGCCCATGATGCTGACGTCTCAAACGGGTACTTTTCGTGCATATCTCGGATTGTTATCTCAGGGTTTCGAATGCTATATATCCTAGAATTGTGCGAGACAAACAGGTCTTTACTTCTACATGTATTCAACATCTCCTTTCGGATGGGAGTGACCATGAAGTGTTGGTTGTTCTTATGCACCTTGAAAATTTGAGAGCTATCAACACAGGTAATTCAGAGCTATCAGCTTTTAGAGGATGTTCGAACGGCAGCTGGGTTGAGCCGCTGCCTCTTTTAATGGCTACGCCAGGCAACTTTTGTCTTCTTGCCATTTATTTCATCTGATAGAAAAGAATGAGAAATGATTCCTGGTATTACAAGAATTCCCCAAAGCATACGAAAGCGAGTTTCGTGTTCTCTTTTTCCTATCCATTTTACGCCCACAAACCCAATAACCTGCCATCACTCCTACAGCTTCAACATAATGTTAGTGTTTGAGCCAAGTATGTGCGTAGGTAATATAACCGCTGAGAGGTAGGGTGTCTCAACATTGCTGTGGATAGGTACCCGACATCGCCAACCGTGATGTGCTTAGTCATCCGAACCTCAACCTCATAAAAGGGAAGCCCCTTTAAATCCATCATCCTTCTTTACTATGGCCTCTCTTTTGAAATGGGCAAAGAACGCTGTGCGCAGAGCGCCATCACCGCCTATGCTCTTCCGAACGCCGGGGGTTGACGTTGTCGCTAGTGACCAATGTCTTGAGGAAGAAAGCAACGAGCGCTTCAAAACCGGACGTTATTATCCGGTCAACATTGGGGATATATTTTCATCTAAGTATCAAGTCGTTGGAAAATTGGGTTGGGGGGTTACTTCAACTGTTTGGCTAGCGCGTGACCTTCAGTAAGTCTCCCACCCAAACTCAAGTTAGAAGTTGCGGGCTAACAATCCGTTTTAGAGCACATCAACATGTGACATTAAAAATCTATGCTCGCAATGAAAATATAGGAAACGAATTCGGGATCTATGAGCATTTAATGAAGATCAAATCGAAATCTCGGTATCCTGGTTATGAGTACATACGAACGGCACTAGACACTTTTGTGAGCCCACGGCCTGGGGGCGACCACAACTGTCTTGTGCAAAAGCCAATGTGGGAGAGCTGGAGTGATCTCCTATATCGAATCCCTAGCGGTTTATTTACGGAGGATCTCCTTAAGATCACTAAAGCATGTTTTTCTAGCAATGGACTACCTTCACACCGAATGTAAAATTGTTCACACAGGTACATTACACATTAATCCAAAGAGTGACCTATTAACCTAAATTACAGATATTAAAGGGAATAATGTGCTCCATAGTATTATTGACGAGACCCTTTTGACAGATTTTACCACGGCTGAAATGAAACATCCGAGCCCTCGGAAAACTATCGATGGACTCCCGGTTTACGCGTCTAGGCGATTTGGAGTTCCTAAGATTCATGGTGTCGCGGTACTTAGTGACTTTGGATCGGCAGTTAAGGGTGAAGAAAGAAGGAATCATAATGCTGGGCCGGATATTTATAGAGCACCCGAGGTAATGATTAAAGCAGATTGGAGCTATCCGGTTGACGTCTGGAGCGTTGGTGTGATGATTTGGGATTTATTCGAGGGGAAACACATGTTTCTAGGCCAAGATCCCGATGGCTCGGGCTACAAAACCAGAGCACATTTAGCGGAGGTCATTGGATTCTTAGGGCCACCGCCGCTTGACCTTTTGAAAAGGGGACTTAGGAGCAGGGAATGGTTTCATGAGGATGGTGAGTACTTCCTCTTCTTCCTTCAAATCTTGGGAACAAGGGGGGCGCTAATGATTATTTTCCAGGGACGTGGAAAGCCGAGGTAGAGAGTCCACAAGGTACAAGCTTGGAAAACTCAGAGGAACGACTTGAGGGCGACAACAAGGTTATGTTTATGAATTTCCTGCGGAGCATGCTCTAGTGGCGCCCGGAAGACCGAAAGACTGCGAAGGAATTACCCGAGGATCCTTGGCTTAATGCCGAGAACTAAAAGAGTTAAACTTATTTATTTTTCTATAATTAAATAGAGTATAAGTATATAATAATATAATTTTAAAGTATTATTTATATTCTTAAGCTTTAGCTAAGAATATTTTAATTAAATTATCTTTAAGTAAAATAAAGAGAATATTTAACTATTTAATAAAGTAGACTAGTAAGTTAATATAGTATTATTATTATATATTAATATAAGTAGTAAAGAATTAGTAGAAGAATTTTTAAGTAGTTTAAGAATTATATTCTACTTTAGTAAACTTAAAAAATTATCTTTTATTATAAAGACTTATTTTCTTATTACTATAAAAAGATTAAATTAAAATTCTATATAATAAAAACTATAAAACTTAATAATATATAATAAAGTATATATTTTACTTAAAGAACTTAAAACTAAGAGAAGAGCTATTTATCTATATAAATAATAACTTTAGTTATTAGTAAGCTTTAAAGTTAAACTAATTAATTTATAAGATAATTATTAATAATTTTTTTATAAATATTAATTTATTAAATATCTACTAATATCTTATCTTTAACTATTAATATATTAAAAAATATTAATATATATAATAGTTTATTATATTAAGTAGTACTATATATAACTATATACTAGTTTATTATAAAGTATTATAGTTTTTATTTTCTTATCTTTAGTAAATAAAGTTAATAAGAATATATTATAACTAAGTTTAAACTTAAGTTATAATAACTAATTTTAACTAGATAATATATAAAGAAATAATATGATTATTTATTACTAAATATTAATAAAGCTAATACTATTTCTTAATAGATATTTATCTTATTTCTATCTTTTTCTTATTTTATAAGAAAAACTAACTAAGTAGTAAAAAACCTTAGTTTTATATTATATACTAGTTATAGTTAAATATATCTTATAGAATATAGTTTTTAATATAGTTATATTAAGTATAACTTTAAGTATTTTAAGTATTTTAAGTATTTTACTTAAGTTAAGTTAATTTTATTTAAGTATAATAATATAAGTTTATAGATACTAAGATAAAGATATATAGTAGTATATATCTAGTATCTTATTAGACTCTACTAAGTCTAATATAAAGAATATTAAAAGATAAAAAAAATATAGATAGAAAAAACTACTAGCTATATACTTAAAGTTTTAACTTAAAATATATTTAAACTATACTTAACTCTAGTACTTTTAGATTAACTTAAACTAGACTTTAAATCTCTTTTTTATATAAGTATATAATAGTATACTATTATATTACTCTCTCTCTCTAGAGTAAAAGCTTACTTTAAGCTTTTTAAAGTATAATTAGAAAAGTATTAAATTACTATTAAAATAATTTTAATTTTAAAGATAAAGTAAGAATAATAAAGAGAAGATTAATAATAATAGAAAATTTTATTTAATTTTATTACTATAATATATTTTATAAATAATATTATTTTCTAGAATATATATAATTAGTAACTTTCTTTTAATTTCTAACTTTCTTTTCTTTCTTTCTTTAAAACTATAATATAAGTACTTTATAATATCTATTACTACTTTAAAGAAAGAACTTAAACTAATTTAATATAATAAATTAATAATATATAATCTTAATTAAATAAATAAGTTTATATTTAGTATAGTTTTAGTTTTAATACTAATAAATACTATAATATCTCTTTTAATTTCTACTAGTATACTAGCTACTATTTATTATTAGTATTTTATATACTATTTATACTATACTATATATTTTTAAGTTATAAATATATTTTTAAAAATTCTAGTTTATTAAAGTATATATATTATATAGAGAAAAATAACTTTTATTATTTAATATATAATTAAACTAAAAACTAAAATAAAAGTAAAATTATAACTAACTCTAGTAGATTTATAGTATATTAAGAAGAAATATAAAAAGTTTACTAAGATAATTAGTAATAATAAAATTAAGATAATAGTCTTAAAATTAAATAATATTATAAAAGTTACTTTTACTTAAGTACTCTTAACTACTACTAAAATAGTATTTAAGTTATTATAATAGTTATATTTACTATAGTATATTATAGCTATAGCTTTTAAGACTATAGATATAAGTTATTTATTCTTTTTATTTATATTTTAAATTAAAGTAAAATAGAACTAATTTACTTTTAGATTAAAGTTATAGTATTAAAGAAATTAGTAGAAAAGATAAAGAAGTTATTAACTAATAGTAATAGTAATACTAAGAAAGATACTTTTTAGAGCTAGTAGAGAAAGAAGTATTCTAGAAAAAAATCTCTTTACTTTTAAGTAAGTTAGTAAATTTAAAGAGAATAGAGAGAATAATAATAATAGTAATAATAATAACAAAAGTTATTATACATAGTAGTACTAATATTAGTAATTAGCTAGAAGTCTATAGTTTTATTTTAAAAAGAACTTATCTTTATAGATTAAAAGTACTTTAAATTAAAGAGTATATAAGTTATTTCTTTTCTATCTTTATAATACTATACTATATTACTTTCTAAGTAACTATAATCTTTCTTACTTAATTTCTATATATTAAATTAAGCTTATAAGTTCTTTAGTAGTTTTAGTTTATTTAAATAACTTAAATAAAAGTCTTTAACTTTATTTAATAAATCTATAAAGTCTAAAGCTAAATTCTAAATAAGATCTAGATTATATTCTACTTATTTTACTTAATACTTTAAAGTTAAGTAAACTAAATAACTTACTAAGATCTCTTATACTTTTTACTTTTCTTCTTTAGTAATTGTAATTAGTAAAAACTCTTTAGACTTCTATTTAAGTAAAAAATTACTAAATCTTTTAATAAAATCTCTTATATAAATATATTATATATCTTAAAACTTTTAGAGAGTTTTAATTAATATAAATATTTAATCTTATCTAGTATTTTAAATAAACTCTTTTATTAACTAGCTAGTTTTTAGTTTAAATAGTTAGTCTTTAGATTTTTAGTTAAAATAAATACTTAGTTACTAATCTTTTAGTCTATAGTTCTTTAATACTAATTTATAGAGTTTATATAGATTTAAAATATCTTTATATTACTTTTAACTAGATTTTATTTTTACTTTATTCTATTAGCTAGAACTTTAGTATTCTAGTAATTAATTCTTTTTAAAATAATAGTAGTTTTTAGTAATTTTTAATTCTTACTTATTTTTAAATTAGTACTATATTAGAGCTAGTAAGAAATTATACTTATAGAAGAATAAGATAAAATTACTTAGTATTTAAGTTTAATTTATTATTAAAATAAGTTTACTTTAATTACTTTAGTAGTAATTAATAAATAAATAAGAAGTATTATTTAATTATACTTAAAATTATACTAGAAAATATATATTATCTAGTTAAATAATACTCTAAGTAGTAGCTATTTATCTAAAGTATATAAAGTACTATACTACTCTCTAGTACTTTCTAGAAAATATAGTAATATAAAACTTAAAAAATCTTATACTACTATATATAAAAATAATTTAAAGTTTAATATTATCTTAAAGTATTATCTTAGTTTTATCTTTATAATAATAATAAAAAGTACTCTCTATATAATTTATTATATAGTATATAGATAGTAATAGATAGAATTAAAATAGTGTATTATAAAAGGTTTACTATTTTAAGAGTAAGAGATAAGTATCTCTTATATAAAGTTAAATACTTAGATATATCTAGATAAGTATATAACTTATTAAATAGTAAGTATAACAATTCGGTTCTCTACTCGATAGTAGACTAGGGTATTGTTAGGTTAGTATATAAGTAAGTAGATATAAGATTATTAGGTCGTATACTTAAAGGTATATTCGTTATAATAAGAGTAAGTTAAATAGATAATATACTATTACTATAGTAAGTTAAGTATAAAGCTCCTATCTAAGAAAACTATAATTATTATATAGAACTTTCTACTCTACCCGAGTTCCGACGAGTTCGACGGGTTCGACGAGTTTAATAGTAAACCTAGCGAACTTATCGAACTCCTACTTATTACGTAATACTACCCAAAACCAGGGCCGATCCGCTAACCTAAATATAGCTAATATTAACTAAACTAAACTATTAGACGGCAGTCCTAGAAACTACTCGATTCCTATAACCTCGTCTAATCCTAGGACTTTTTAGTCCTAGGAGTATTACGACGCCGAGGCCGACGCTGCTCGTAATAGTAAGAGAGATACTTTTAAGATAAGTTATATTTATTATTTCTCTAGTAAAGAGAAGAAGTCTTTTTTATATATATAGTAAGTCTAGTTAACTTTATTATATAATCTATTATTATATAATCTATTATTATATAATCTATTATTATATAATCTATTATTATATAATCTATTATTATATAATCTATTATTATATAATCTATTATTATATAATCTATTATTATATAATCTAGTTACTTAACTAATAGCTATATTTAATATTTCTACTTAAAGTTATAAGTATTAGGTAATAAATACTTATATTATACTATAGTACTTATAAAGAGTCTATAGTAAGTATAGAATATTCTAGAAAGTAATATTACTAAGGTGGCAAAGTTAATTTCTAAGCGAATATTCTAGAATAAGGATATTACTAATATTCTTATTAATATTAATAATAGTAACTAGTTAATTTTTAATAAATAGAATCTTCTAGAGTTAAGGTTTTACTATATAAGGTTTCTTTAGTTCTAAGTAGATAGCTTCTCTCTCTAAGTAATTTAAGTCTTTTATATTCGAACCTTAAGTCTCGCGACTACGATAATTACCGCTATTCTCCTTATATTATATCTATATATACCTTTTAACCTAATAGGTTATAAGCCCAGTAGCCTAATTATCTTTCGAATACGATTACTTCCGGTATTATATTGTTACGAATAGAGTTATAATACTCTATATTTATAACTATCCGACTACGAA